TCGTAGAGATAAAGCCATTAATCCCCTTTACACGGGAAAAAATGTTAGATAAACAATAACAATGAAATGAATCACTTTTCCTTTCTCTTCCCTGAGTTACTTTCCTGTGGTGATCAAAAGATGTGCAAGAGATTGAAGGCAAAAATAACCTGAAATGCAGTCCATAGAAGCCAACGGCAATTGCCACCAACTAAAATGAACCTTTGTCGCAGCAAGGGTAGATGCCAAGCAAATCAGATTAATCACGGCGGGACCTCCTGCGCCTTAACAAAGCCCTTCAGCACAGGACATCCGTCTGTCGCCTTTTTTGTCGGTCAAGCCATGTCCTTCAATTGCATCTCGTAACCTGAAATGCAGTCCATAGAAGCCAACGGCATTTGCCACCAACTAAAATGAACCTTTGTCGCAGCAAGGGTAGATGTCAAGCAAATCAGATCACTCGCGGCGGGACCTCCTGCACCTTAACAAAGCCCTTCAGCACAGGACATCCGTCTGTCGCCTTTTTTGTCGGTCAAGCCACGGTTTAGACGATGCGTGAAAAAAAGAGACACCAACCCCAAGAAGATTTCCTTCTAGTAAAGGAGTCTCACAATTTCCAACACCGCACCACTATTGATCTATTGATGTATGACGTAATGTCGCTGCCAAGCGACATTGATTTCTACTGGCTGCGACATTACTTTTTGGAAACCCTGTACTTTTGTCACTGTCGTGCTCGTCTTTCTACTCGTTGTATATTCATTGGGATTACTGAGCTATGTATACTCACAGAAGTGCGAGCTATTATCTCATAGCAGCAGAAGCATCCACCTTACTTCACAGATCGTGCGCTGCCTAGCTTCTGGGTTTTACTATGGCTTCCTACGTACCAAGCTTTTATTGCGACGTTTTTGGCAGCTCAATTAGAGCTCGTTGACCCAGAAATTTTGGAAACTGCCCAACAATACGGTGCTCTTGAGAATCATCAAGTATAAAGTTTACCTCCAGAAGCTCAAGGCCCAATCATTCACGCTTATATGGAAGTCATTCACAGTTTTTTCAGTTGGTTTCCAGTATCGAATTCATCTTTCCTGTCTCTATCAATTATGTTCGCTTCAGTGGTGCTTCGTCTTCTTGCGTTGTGGATAGAACTGTTTAAGAACTTCTACGTGGGATAGACTACTTAGCATTATTGACGGAGTACAGCCTCTTAAATTCGACGATTCTACCGCTAAAAGATCCGTGGTGTATATATCATGGCCGAAGCTTACAAAATTATGCGTAGATGACACCACAGTAGAGATTATATAATTTATAGCTTTTCAGGAGCTGCTTAATCCACAAGAGTAACCGCATTCTTGCATTTTCCCTATTTTTGCGTGATATCTTGCTGCTTGGTGGTGAATGCTCAAAAGTACTACTATTATTGTGCAACTATAATTCTGAGTTGTAGCATATGTCAGTATCTGTATTTTTGGTCGCTGGAGTAACACTTATTTGATAAGTTACTATAATGTATACATTGTACTATCGAAGTATGTCTCTTTAAACGCCACCGATCGTTCTTTTTAGAAAGCCGGCACATTGGCACACTCGATTGGAAGTGAGTGATCTGAGAAACAAAAAACATAGTCGCGTTGTACGGACGCGCTGGACTACAATACGCGAATTGATTTTCCTGTGCACCATCTTCTCTTTTCGTTCCTCTCCCACTCAGACTCAACCGGCTTAACACAAAATAACATGCTTAAACGCACACGATCACAAAGCAGAGTATTTTGTAAGCCCCATCTCTGCAATAATCAAACTGCTTAAAACAACTTACTTATACGTCCTGTATAGCTTCAAATACGAAATTCAGGTCCAAATCGGCAACTGACGATAGCGATCAATCCGATAGCGATTCCAAAGAAAACTTGCTCTCACCACCGTCTACACCCAGTAAAAGATTACGAAGCAGCCCACCCACCACACCTAAAAATGTTCGACACATTACAAAAGAATTACAGCGCACCAAAGGTACGCATCAAGGACAACTTTTGCCATTCTGTAAAGGCAAAGGATCGAGGAACAAAAGTTTTCTTGTTGCTACGCCTGCTGCTGCAGCAATCCAATTACAACGCACAACCTCTCCTAATAAGCGGTTCTTGTTTGTATTATGTAGTCGCTGTATCACCCACGAAAGCAGCCACCACTACAACTACCACCGCTAAATTAACGAAAACGACCTCCACATCCGCTCCCAAGAAATCCAGCACTACCAAAGACAAACCTGCTACTACTGCCACCGACAAGGAAGAAAACATCTACCAGAAAGCAAAAACCGTCTTCAGACGAACAGCAGCGCCATCAAGACTGATCGGACGAACTCAGGAACGAGAGCGCATGATAAAGTTTTGGAACGACCACGTTCTGGGCAACAAGCCTGGCTGCTTATACGTGTCTGGCTCGCCCGGCACTGGCAAGACCGCCATGTTGGCAGAAATCGTACGCAGCCACGAAGACGTTGTATCAGCGCTCGATTCACATAAAGTAAAAGAGGTCGTGATTAACTGCATGAGTATCCGTGAACCCAAGGGCATCTACACAAAACTGGTCACTGAGCTCAAAACGGCACGACAAGCAGTGCAAAGTGATGTTGTCAAACAAGCAGAGCAGCTCTTGAATGGAAAGAAGAATGTTCTCAAGTAAGCGCTTCTCCTCTATCTTCAGTGCTAAGACAATTGGTCTTCGCCCATAGAAATTAAAGTCGTTCTTCTTTTCCGATGTGTAGTGTGGTCATTTTAGACGAAATTGACCATTTGATTACAAGAGACCAGGATGTGTTGTACAAGATTTTCGAGTGGGCCTCATCGCCTGCTTCCCGTCTTGTACTTATTGGTATTGCCAATGCTTTGGATCTTACCGATCGACTGTTACCTCGTCTACGCACAAAGAACTGTAAGCGTCTTTTATTTTTCACCAAAGTGTCTCTCCACGGGATTATTTCTAGTTAAGTTACTTACACACGTGGCATTTTTTTTCCATTTATCAAAGGTGAACCACAACTCCTCGACTTTAACCCTTACAAAGTCCCAGAAATCAGCGCAATCATCAAAGACAGACTCCATTCCCTTGACGCCGATTCCGCAGCACCTAAAGAAGGTGCGTCTCTCCCACTCATGCAACCCAATGCGGTTGAACTCTGCGCACGCAAGGTGGCCGCCTCCATGGGCGACTTGCGCACTGCGCTGGACGTATGTCGACGTGCGATCGAACTTGCCGAAGCCGATTGGAAGCGCAAAAATCAGCAGCAAAAGCCGGTTTTGGGCGAGCAAAAGAACGATGCAGCTCCACAACAATCCAAAAATGTTGATATTGTGAAGGTTGCTATTCCACATATCATGAAGGTCCTTCAGTCTGTGTTTGGAAGTCCAGCGGTGCAGAAACTGAAGCAGTTGAATCTACAGCAAAAAGTGGTAATGGGCGTGCTCATGGTCATGATGCGGAACGCGAAGAAAGAACAAATCACACTTGGCAAGGTAAAATAAAGATTTATACTTGTTTTGAGGGATGGAAGAGAGAGACAGATGGCATATGTACTGATGGATACAAATACTATGTACGTAGTTCCGAGAAAGCTACACTACACTGTGTTCGAAATCAAGCATGATCACGCCCGTGTCAGGCACAGAACTTGTTGATCTTATATCCAACATCGAGACCGCCGGTATTCTGACAGTCGGCAAAAGCAAAGAAGACCGGTCGCGACGTATTCATCTTAGCGTACAAGATAGTGAGATTGTGCAGATGATCCAAGAAGTGTCTATTTTGAATAGCTGGATGGAAACTGTGGTTTCGTGTCATACAAAATAAACATAACATACAGATATACCATTGATATTGTTGTTTTTCTTCATTTTCAAATACCCAACGCGAGGGTTGTCAGAATGACACCAAGAAGTGTTAAAAAGGATAACGCGAATGGATACGTCTTTCGTGATAGGTTTGTGTTGCCTCCTCCAGGTTGTCTGCCGTTCATATCTTCTGTCCCTCCCCCAGTGCTATCATCGCTGCTCATATCTTCGTCGAGTACATCCTCTGAATCGTCATCATCGTTTGCGTCGGTATTGCTGTATTCGGTTATGTTGGAGGGTAATCGTGATTGGTCTAAATTTGCAACAGAGAGCGGGAAAGGAAACCGATAAAGTTTACATGAATCACCCGTAATGGTACACACTTTTCCATGTCCCTTCGTGTATGCTTATGAATTCTTACACTCATTGTCAAGGCCATCTCCTCGCCAATAGAGCAGTGCGAATTCACTAAGGAAAAACGACCAACGCCATATTTCCGAACGTGGTACGGAAACCTTTTGCCAGATACCCAGTCGAGCCTGTCGTCCCAGTTCTTCTCCGTCGTCGTGAGTGATGTATATGTTCATTTCATGGAGTGCACAAGATAATACGTCGAGCGTATCCAAGGGGTCTATCATTTCGACGCATTTTGTGCTATGCAGTGAGTACAAGGGTGGCTGATGATTCTCCACAACTCGCAAACGCGTCGTCATCATAGATCTTCGTCATTATCGTCTTTCTTTTAGTGTTTCTTAAAAGTCGAGATAGAAACGATATTACCATCACGAAAAGATTGGATGATATGCTTTTTGAGTTCCGTCATGTTCAAAAGAGAAAAAAGTATGCCCTGTGAGTATCGGTTGTATAGAGGAGCATAAAAGAAGTGCGAGTGAAAGAGCAAGAAAGCAAAGTACTGCCGCCCCTTCCAGTGTTTGTTTGTGTCATACATATTTATGACTATGGTCACATGGCAAATGCTGTCGACTTAAGGTGACAGAGTTATTCTACTGGTTCCAGAACCGGAGTTACCAATCAATTTGCTTTTTCTGACAATAACAGTATATCCTCGTCCGTCTCGTCATTATGTCCATCAAAAAAAAATATTTAGCTCCACCTTCTCTTTACCGGTATTAGTTTACTTTTTTAGGCATACGTGCCGACAAGACAAGAGAAAGCACATGGAAATGTGAAGAACATACCGTTGACCTTTGCTAAGGAAGAATTTGGCGCGTAAGTCGGGCCCACAGAAGAATCGCAGAGAGACTAGTAGTTATAGAATCTATCTAGTAGTCGCAGCATAAAAAACAGGACAGGCGATATCAGATGCAATTCAAAAAGTGGATGGCCTTAAAAACTCCATGTGAGCTCGTTAGTAGGATCTTGCAGGAAGGCCCAACGCTACTAATGTATATCAGCACCCCGCAGTAAACTGATAGATGAGATAACCTATCCAATATAATATCTTATGATATTTCCGTACGCGGATCTCGAAAAGGTTCTGGGCATCGTTGGAGATATCGATTTAAAAGGAGAGATGATATTGATTGTACAAGAGTGATATATGTTTGAATTTAATTATATATATACCACTATATCCCTACTACTAGCAGTAGCTATTATTAGTGTATATGCATGTTGTGATGAAGATGATTGTGTGCGTGTCTTTTTTTTTAGATTTTGACGAGGGACATGAGTTTGGCAATATCTACATGACGGTAACCCGATCGTCGTAAATAGCCGTCTGCCACTGCGTTGAGTCTGATAAACGTCGTATGATGCTTGTTGATGATGGATTCAATTGAAGCTATTATTTTTAAAAACGATTAGAAATCCGTTTGCTAAAAGATAAAGAGTAGGTGCGTTTTATAGTGCCGGATTTACCTGATGATGGTGAGCTAGCAGCGCTTTGCTTGGCTTTGGATGGATCGAGGATGGTTGTGAAATATAAGAGTTGTGTATATAGCTGCTTGTCGGTATACTATATTGAGAAGACAGTTTAGTAAAATCAGAATCATGCTATGAAACGTTTTTTGTGAGAACCAAAATCTCAAAGAGCTCACCTCGCGTTTCATTGTGCCATGACAGCTTTCCTTTAAGCAACGTCGACCAAAGACAGACATGGACCGCGTCCGAGAATCACAGGTACTATCATCACAATATAACCAGCCTTGGTAGTACTTTCTGATATAGGATCGCATCGCCAGGATAAGCGCTCCACGAATCGCACTCTCCTTGATCATGCGCTGACAGCCGCCACATTGCAAACCAGGAATAACAGTGTTGTCTTCAAGGATTTGTGCGATGCCTTCAAACGTTTGTTCATGTCTGCAGTAGCTACATTGGATCTGGAGCCGCTCTGCGTCCTTGAACCGCTCTGCATCACTAATTTGTGATTCCAAAGTAGTAAATTCTTCGCTCTCTTCAGCATACGTCCGGCCAACGTTGAACTTGGTGCTGTCCAAACCTGCAATCATTTGAAATTTTGTTTAGTTTTCCATTCTTCCTGCGTAATTTGGAGTGGAGGTCACATCTAACTTACCAAGGCACTCGGCCAAACGAGCAATATCGGTACCGTCAATGGGTGAGCACAAACGGCCAATAGGTGGATGGACTTGTTGATTCAAATACCAATCGATATCAAGCTGCATTTCGCCACGGACAACGTCATCCGGATGAAATGCTCTCTCTGCAAATCCAGCCTTGGTGCCCGCAGGAACGTTGTCGACCTTACATATGACATATGGAATAGTATCTCCCGATTTTACACTGATGCCTGCTTGTCGCATTCGTAATGCAACTTGTACATGTGGTTGAGTCTTTGCATCTGCGTATTCTTGTGGATTTTTGGTCAATTGCTAATAACGAAAACAAAAAAGTCAGCCAAACAGGCACTTCTTAAACGAGGTAAATAACGCAAATGCACAAGAAACATACCTTATTAATAATGAACTTTTCAAGTGGAGTCACTCCTTCACGAATCTCTTTGCCGATTTCTTGAAGATATGCATGAATTTCATTTACAACGTCTTCACGGTCTTTATCGGACAAGATGAAGGATAAAACGCGCCTATCATTACATCGCGTTGTTGCGTTAGTGATTACTGGATTTCCATGGCAGCCACCAACTTCAAAACTTACGAAGATACGTCGTGTGAGAGATCACACCAATCTCGACGCACAAGGTCAAGACCCTTTGTTTCGACACTTTCCGAGAGTGTACCGTCCGGCTTCTCTTCCACCAACAGCGCGGCATACTTTTTCTTTTTCAGCAGTAGCAAGTGCTTGAAGAAGCCATCAATATCAATCTCGAGCAAATTATAGCGCTCGTTGACCTTCTTCTTCAGCATATTTCCAATGTCCTTGACCTTCTGGATATCGTTTTCGTTTGTATAGACCATAATGGAATCGGTATCACCATAAACAACGTTTAGATCCAAGGTACCAGCCAGATCCACGGTGTTTTGAAGAATCTCACGACCCTTGTGTGTGATCAACATGGCCAAAGGCTTTGCATAGAAGCGAGAGTTGGAGAAGCCAAGACAACCGTACATACTGTTAGCAGTAAGTTTGAGTGCTTTTTGTCGAATGTCGAACTATATTACATATATTGTTAGCTTTCAAATGGCTGTTGCTACAAGAGAACACACTACTATCCGTTACTTTGTAGCCTACTGTACCTGCATCAATTCTGCTTCGGTATTTTTAGGATCCTTCATAAGCTTTTTGACCTGACGACGACGGTCGACGAGGGTTTTGATGAGACGTGGTAGCAAGCCTTGACCAATGGACTGGTCAGGTACATTAGGTACCTTATCCTCGATTTCGTCCTAATGGTCCAATTTTAGTGTTGTTTTTCAAAGTACAAAATACTAATTTACTTGTCGCTATTCCATACCTCTTCTTTCGGAGTCAAGTTGTGTCGTTGCACAGTGGTAAAGCACACGTTATATTCCTGCATAATGGACGGATACAGACTGTTGAAATCGAGCAAAAGGACATATTTGTCGTAGAATCCCTTCTTGGGCTCGAGGACAAGACCACCAGCGTATGCGGGCTTTCTTCTGCCACTCTTGGACTTTGTCTTTTGAAGCTGTTCGGTTGCTGTGGATGAGAAGGGAGATTGATATATCTGAGTACATAAACATTATCAATTTAGTGTGTAGTATGCAATTTTACCCTCATCTGCATCAAGCTCAGGATCAAGTTGTTCCGGCTCGGCCATTTTGGCAAATTGCTTGTCAGGGCAAATATATTTCTGTCGATGGAATTCGTGCAACAACAGATACTCGTTTCTTTCAGCACGAGCACCCGTCATTGTTCTCGACCTATACAGATAACACATATTAAACCATATGTTCCCTCTGCTTTTTTTTTCGAAATACAGAATATTAATGGGACCAGAGACATACCATAAGTTACCGGCCAAGTTGGTGAGTTGTTTGGTGAGCGGAAGAATTTGAAGTTTAAACATGAGCGACGATGTCAAAAAGGCATCGAAAGCGCAATGCTTAACAAGATGCATCAAAGTCTTTGGATCCTCAAAGAACATGTGGGTCTTGTCGTATTCAATGTCTTCACGAGCAATCTTGAGCTGTGACTGAGCGAGGTCCGTTAATCGATAAGATTTGCTGCGGATCAAATCTTTGGCTGCAAGATACGTATCGCACACGAGTCGGCCACTCATGAACATTCTTTCTTGGTAGGTTGCTTCGCCTGCACCACCAGCACCTTGTTGGAGCTTGGGCCAGCTAGTAGAATCGTTGTTTGTAAGTTCTTACGCGCGCTAAGGTAAGAGAAACACTTATGACTTGTAGTTAATACTTACTACTTGCGCTTGAAACGACCGAGCTTGTGCCAGTGTTGTATATTCAGACTTTTCATACGATGAAGCAAGACATCTAGATCGAAACCAGCAAAGTTATGGCCAACAATTATATCGGGATCGGTCACATGGATCTTGGCTGCAAGTTATAAAAAGTTAATATTGCGTCTCCTCAATATACTGCTATTCCATGACACATTATTGTCTTACCAATCAAACAATTCAACAAAGCGTTCTCGGTTCGTTCAACTTGAATGGCAAAACCACCTTTTCTCTCACGAACAACGGTATCGTTGAAACCTGCTGGATACGGGGTATTGCTCAGTTGGCGGACAATGGTAAACCGTGTTTTAGGTTGTTTATCGATGGGTGTTGGCTCGTCAATTTGAACTACGCAGAAAAGTATCTCTTAATATCTTCCCTTCTTTACCTTTGCACCCCCATCTCGTCTTTTTTGTGATATCATACCTTGCGTGCAGGCAAGACCGCTAGCAGCGACAATTTCATTTTGGCTCTTTTGGTGGTTCATCACTGTTCGAAGACTGAGCGACATGATAACGAGAGGAGGAATATAGGTAGGTGCGTTTCCGTTCGCATCACGCAATGGATTCACCAATTTTGGATCATCCACAAGCACTTCAGCCTTACACCAAGTTTCCTAGATACACAAGGAATAACTGTAAGTATCACAAGCGAAGAGAAAGAGACATTCCCCGCCTCTCGAACCGACTCTCACACTTACATTGCTACCACTGATCTGGGCGTTTTCAATCTTGATCCAGCAAGGACCCATGATATCCCGCTTTATTAAAAAGTGTTCCATGGGACCAGTGTTGATGCCAAATACACGACTAAAGGTGGTGCCAGTCAAGTTTTCAGGTAATGATGGTTCTAAACAAAATTACGCAAATTCATTAAGTACATTTACACACTCCTCCTCCTTAATATGACGACGCTGCATCCTTACGCTGGTAATTATAATGGACTTTGAGATAGTCGCTCTCTGCTGGTACATCAGGCAGCTCAAATGCGTATTTTCGAGATACAGGCTTGGCAAGAGTCTTGCTGATATTGTGGCTCGTTGTGATATTTGTGAACTCGGCGTGGACATCCGCAATGGATACTTCTTCTGAAGTAGGATTTCCTTGTCCTATTTCGTTTTTCGTGAGTATGTCGTCAATTGGACTAGACCTCATCCATGTTTAATTTTTTTTCAATGTCATACCATCAACCTTGAATTTACGAGGAAGAACGAAAAGTGTACGTTCAATGTTTTTGATAGTGACACAGCAACTGATATATCGATTGCTGGCCTTATTCAAAATCTGTATATATTAGAGCATCACATTATAGCGTTAGACTCGTCTTACTCTTCCACCCGTTATACGTTTCTTCTGCTACAACGCCCAAAAGTATACTTGCCTTGCCAAATAGGTATACGAAGCCCTTGTCGCGTCTTTCAAATGCATCGTACCACCACATATGCAAGCTCCCGTCCTCTTCGAGTGAATCCACATCTCGCGGTGGCTCCATGGATTTTATCACATCTTCGGCACTTTCTTCTGGCGCGATATCTGACACCAGGGCTGCGGCCTTTTCCCATGTTTGCAAATCCGGGCGCTCTTCTTTGAGTTTCATTTGCTTTCTGATAGCAGCGGGTTCTGCCTTTGGGACATTGAGGGATTGAATATCTTTTTCCTGGGCACCCGTGCTTTGCTGTTTTTCATAGCTGTCCATGGCTGCCATCATCATGTCTGCGTCGTCGGTGGTATCGAAAAACTCGTCATTGTCACTATCTTGACTAGCTTCACCATTCTTTTGTCCGGAAATAGTAGTAGCAGCTGGCAATCCTTCATCCATATCTACATCACCATTTGCGTCTGCGGAAGAAGTGCCGATCTCTGATTCTGCTGAAAACGAAACATGATTTGCATTGCGGTTCTTTGGCTCTGAACCTTTCAATACGCTGCTACCAGCATTGTTGTCGAATGATGGCTCGGATTTGATGGACGGAACACTTTGTTGCGAGGCTGTAGATACTGTTGATCTTTTAGTCGTTCCACCACGAACCATATATCCCGAGCTCAATCCAGATCCATAACGTAATGACGATTGTGGTCGATGCTTAAATCCAAGATTTTGCGATGATGATGATGATGATGATGATGGTGCCAAAGCTTTTTGCTCGGGTTTGTCGTCACCAATACTTGCGAGAATATCAGCCATGAAAGCGTCATCCTCTTTTTTCGATTTCTATTCATAAAACTATGATTAATTTCTTGTCATTTCCTTTCCTGTATAACATCGTTTCTCTGGTTTATGTTTTTTTACCCCGTCTGTTTTGACTTTACGGTCTTTAACAGCTGACATCTTGGCCGATTTAGAGAACATGCTGGCAATGTTTTGTGACGGTGGTGGTGGTGCTGGTTTCTTATCTTTGGACGTTGACGAAGAAGCAGCACCAGTCTTGCGCTTTCTTTTGTCTAGAGAACAATACAGATAGTAGTGAGTTTTCACCGTGCTACTCACAGCCAAATACCTTCTCTCTCTCTCTTTCCTCTTTAGTACTAAGACGTACTTGGTAATTTGGAATTGCTTTCGTCGTACTCGTCAGAGTATTGATTTTCGTCATCGTCGTTCAAGCCATTGAAAATGTAACCTCCTTCATCGTCGTCTTCAACGAAATTTTCATCGTCATAAACGGCGTTATAATCAGCCTCGTTTACTTCTTCGTAAATGTCTTCGTCAGTCTGCAATCATGTAGAGGAAAAGAAAAAAGACATGAGTTTATATATACTTTTTCAACAAAGGTCATTGTAGTAAAGGCACAAAAAAATATCTAAGAGGTACATACGAGCTGTCGCTTTCCTGCCTTCTTTTGAGTGAGTTTTGCCAGTTTGGCCCTTCGTGCGTCTCTGTCCATCCTGAATGAATGGAAAAAACCGTGTCGGGAATGAGGTTAAAGGCAGAAGAGTACGCGCTTTTTTCCTTTTGTTAACTGTGCACTCAGAGGAAAAAAGAAAAATCTCAGGCACGCGTTTCAGTCACAAACACGCGAGCGTGTTTTTTGGCGTGCCGCAAAGCTTCCCAAAGCAAGCGTTCATTAAGGTTGTCTGCAACGGGCTTTTCTATATATCTCCCCACCTCTTTCTCTCTGTGTGTGTGTCCCCGTTATGTGTGGCATATTGTTTTCACTGACAACAGCACAACAACAAGTCGACCCGGAATTATGGCAAACGTTGACAGAAATCAACACCAAACGAGGTCGGTATCTTTCGACTCAGTCTCCAATTTGGAGATTGATCTTCTCGTCTTCTCCGATCTCTAATAATCAAGGAAAATTAAACTTATACAGGACCTGATTCGCAACAGACTCGAACCATCTCAGTTGGAGACCACTTTTTACAGTTTTACTCAACCGTGCTACACTTACGAGGTCGTGATAATGTACCGCAGCCTGTATGCGAAAACGGCAATATTCTCTGCTGGAACGGCGAAATTTTTGATGGATTATCTGTAAGCTTATTTTTTCAAACTATGCAAATTCAAATATAATCCTTTGACGATACTGAAGTGATACTGGAAAAATAATGGTGTGGATGATGTAGATTGCATTAGGCGAAAATGATACTGCAGCACTTATGCAGCATTTGACGCGAGTCGATACAAAGAATTCTACAGCATTTCTCAAAGTCATTTCGCGGATAGAGGGTCCGTTTGCCTTTGTATTTTGGCAGGTACAGTTTGATTGGATGGAAAGAAGGAAGCAGGCAGCGAAAAGTGACTGAAAATCGACTGCGTATCAGGAAGAAAGCAAACGGCTCTGGTTTGGGCGTGACTGTTTGGGACGTCGATCCCTTTTATGGTCTCGAAACGAGAACTCGCTGGTGATTAGTTCTGCTGCACAGCCTAATGATAAGGTAGAATGGCAAGAAGTACCTGCAAACGGGATCTATAGTGTACAGTTAGGAAAGGAGGACGAACCCGAAACGTTAAAACCGGTCTTTACGATAAACCAAAGTCCTGTACTGTTGTATCCATGGCTACAACAAGAAGAAAACCCACGTTTGGTATGTTTCCGACCTGAACGGACAATGCTGTATAAAACGCTAACGCAATGTATTTTCACGCGAATACTCATATAATAGGCATTGCCATTTCCTCGGCTTAACCGAGGTATACCCGCCTTGGGCACAGAAACAATAGACAGCAACAACGAGTTGCCACCACCAGACGAAACGATGCAAACAGCAGTCCGCGACTTTACCAATGTCCTCGATGACGCTGTCAAGCGGCGTGTCGCAGATATACCTTTTATAGAGTAAGGGTCACGGGTGGTGCGCACGGCAGTTGTGTGGATAGGATTTGGAGTCGAGAATTCAAGGTAGAAAAGGAAAATAAGAAAACAAAAAACGCCACTAAAGAGTCACATAAACAATGTTAGCTCGGTTCATTCCCGGCCACGGGTGGCTGTTTTGTTTTCAGGCGGACTCGACTGCATTTGTCTCGCTGCGCTGGCGCATCGACATTTGCCGGTGTCCGAACCTATTGACTTACTAAACGTTGCGTTTGAGAATCCTCGATCACAGAACGCAAAGCAGCAGAAAAAAGCCAGCGGCGATGGTGGTACTACAAACACTGCTACTGCTACTGTTTATAATACTCCTGATCGTGTCACAGGACGCGCCAGCGTGGAAGAGCTGAGGTAATGTTTATATCGGTTACTTGTTTGTTTATACTATACAAGAATTCCGAAAAATTGAACTTTTTATTGTCGCGTGGGGATGGGTGCGTTATCTATTCAGAAAGATAGCTCCTGAAAGAACATGGCATTTTGTCGAAATCAACGTTCCTTATTCAGAGGCGATGACGTACCGCGAACATATCATTAATCTGATGCATCCTCTTGATACAGTCATGGATCTGGTAAGTTAAATACATGGTATTCGCTGACAATTTAAAGGCGACTTGAAGTTCATGCTAATAGCGATTAATACAGAGCATTGCCATGGCTCTTTGGTTTGCGTCGCGCGGTAAAGGGACGATCGATATTGATGGTGCATATGAGCCTTATGAAAGCCATGCGCGCGTGCTGATCTCAGGACTGGGCGCTGACGAGCAATTGGGGGGATACTCGCGGCATAGAGAAGCGTTTCGCCATGGCGGATGGGAACGATTGATTTCAGAAGTATGTGTTGTCACTGTTGTCTCCTCGTGAACATTGCTTGTTTTTGCACGTGTATGTATTTAAAAGTCCATTTGAACAATTTCTGTAGTCGCAGCTTGACGTAGATCGGATATCATTTAGAAATTTGGGTAAGCTCACAAGAGAAAAGGCTAGAAATGTTACTTATTCATGCTTTTAATAGGTCGCGATGATCGGATTATATCGGATCATGGAAAGGAGGCCCGCTTTCCCTATCTCAGCACAAGCGTGGTCAACCATCTATGCCGGCTGCCTATTGATATCAAGATGGATATGCGGTACGGGCGAGGCATTGGTGAAAAGCTCTTGCTACGACAAGTTGGTCATTGTCTTGGACTCGTGAATGCATGTCGGAACTGGAAACGGGCGATCCAGTTTGGAGCAAAAACGGCCAAAATGACGGGCGAAACGCGCGCAGAGAAGGGCCAGCATAGACTTACCACGAAATAGGTGTTTGCCACTCCAAATAATAGATCCTTTGTTAAAATGTGTACTACTTTGCGCCTGATGACGACTGATCACGCAACATTTCCGTTCTGGCGCTACTAGCCTCCCCACAGTCAAAGAAGTGTCGCCGTCATGTTGGCAACAGGGCCAAATTCTGTTATTACCATGGCTACTACTACAACGTAAAATTATACTCTCTCTCTCTCTTTCTCTCTCTCCTTCATATTTTTTCTGCATGTCTCACATCTTCGAGACATTGAGCGCGTTACACCCGATAAATATGCTTTGGCCTTCCGGTGATGCTGTTTTTCTGGACAATAGTATTTGTTGTTTTCTCTCGTTTTCCGCTGTAGAACAATCATCAGTTTTTATTTATTCTTATAACGGAGTGAACTAACGCGTTTCAGATCTGCATTAGCATCAACAGTTGTAATCAATCTCCTCTGTAAAGAAAAAGACAGAACGAGGGAAGGGGCCAAAGGACGCATGCAAAGGTGATACAGTAGAAGGCGCAACTCACCTCCTGGGTGACGCTATCCGCATCAAATATTTGTGTAGCCCTGTCGTGCAACATGTAAATTGGCTTTCCTTCTCCCCCACCCTCTAAAACCGCCAAAATCCCAAGCACCGCCACAGAGATTTTCTCGGTCTTTTATTAACCACTCTTTCTCACAATGTCATCTCGATCACCTTCAAGTAAACAACGCAACATGAATTACCACACAATGCTGGCTTCGACATTGTCCACATCGCCGGGCTCTTTCTACACTCCCAACGACACGCCTGACCTGAGGCCACAGCATGACCAAGACGGCCTGCTTTCACGTGTAGAAAGCACAGACCTGCCACAGCAACAGCTTCGTTACGACGAAAGCAGAATTACAGCTCGCACCAACTCTAGCGATACGTTAAACATACAGCAACAGCAGCAGCAGCAGCAGCAACAACAACAGCACTATTCACATCGATGCTCATGTTCAAGGCAGGTTACGTTCCAAAACACCAAAAACAACGAGACAGAAGATGAGGATGATAGTAACGGCGAACAACAACCGCTATTGAGCGGACGAGACAATGATAATGCGAGAAGAACGGCACGACCAAGCTGGCTTGAGATTATCAGCGATGGCTATAGCAACGTTTCAGCCTCGCTGTATCTGGAGAACACCGGTGCCGTTGCTAGGGACCATTTAGGTGAGATTCTCTATTCTTCTTTGTTTTAAATAAAAGTTAAATTATGCCTTTTGTCTTAATATGGGAAAAAAACATAGCGAATGAACGAACATATCTTGCCTGGGTACGCACAAGTCTATCGACGATTTCGGTTGGTGTAGGCATCACCCAGCTCTTTCGGCTCGACCGAGCAGTCGAACACGACCCACATCTGCAGACGTGGGGACGGCCGGTGGGCTTGATGTTCATTGGCATGGCCATGCTGTTCCTCTGTTTTGCATTTATCCGTTATTTCCATTCACAAAACACCATGACCAAAGGCTACTTTCCCGCCTCTCGCGGAATCATCCTTTCCACGTCTGCAATCACCTTTTTATCCATGGTTGCATTGCTGCTCGCTGTATTCTTCAAACGATAACTTCACTCCACTCCACTTGATACCCTTTCCTCTTTTATTCTTTTCTTGAACTTTTGCTCGCCTCAAGGCCTATGTAGGCACAATCATCCAAATATAGAAATTTATAAGATCATTGGTGCCGGCTGTCGATCAGCAATAAACGGCCGTCAATGATAATAATGACCACGGGCTTTCAAAAGAAAAAATCGCTCGCCATTAATTTTCTCCGAGTTTCTTTTTGTAAAATGCATGAGTGTGCTGGATGTGGTGTGGAAGACAAAAGAAAGAGATGATTCACAGTGTGTACTTTTTCATGATGCATACAGCTTCTATACATTCACTTGTTTGCAAATAATGACTTTTAGGTAGTTGTCGCCAGCGCTGAAAGGGGAAATTAGAAGATATAAAAGACCTAACCAACGTATCTTCCGAAACCACTACGGCCGGATCATGCAGCAATAATGCGTCTTGTTTATTGTTTCAGTCTAATACACGTCGGGGATTGGTAGAGTGCAGAAAGACGATTACAGTACGTGGGTTATTGGTTAGTTGCGAATTAGAGTTAGTTATTAACTTGTTCGTAGTTGTACACTGAACGAATTTGATAATATGTGTATGAGTAGTTCCCAGTTTTCAGTATGGCAACATACAACTCATAGCCTTGTAGGTAAATTGAATAATGATAAACGTTAAACACAACAGGAGTATAAGGTTTACAAGAATTGCTCATTTGCATATAAAGTATGAACTTCTACCAGAATGGGAACAGACCCGGTATACAGCGCTCCCTTTCTATATGTCATTGTTGAAATAGGTACAGTACTTGTTTTTGCTGTATCATCAGTGTTATATACTATCATTGTCTGCAAGGAACGGTCCCATTCGTTTGTCAAATATGTCTCGGAAAAGAACATTTTTTGGTCACAGATCGGTTTTGCCACTTTATCCGAGAAAGGGTGTTACAACGCTGATGTACTACTTTTGACACGAATGATCGGCTCAATATGTAGTAAGGGACAGCAGAATTTTAAAAGGACTGATGTAGGATGCCAAGAAGCTACGGGTAATAGCACGGAAAAATATTCGTATCATCCAATTGAGGTCATACGTAAGCCTACATGGTTTCATAGATTTTCAGAAATTAAGTGTGCAAATCACGCAACAAGGTGGCATCAGTGATCAATTTTTAATACTGCCTAAGTGTTGTATACATACCAACATACAAGCGCCCTATAATGCTTTCTCCATCATGAGCTACAGATTGCGATTTACAAAAAGTCAAGACACTATTCAAACAATGTAGCTGATGCCTCTGAAAATATTTCGTAAATAATTTCATGGTTATAAAGGACTTACTTCCGTTGTCGACCATTTATGTATCATTATATATTATAGGTCTTTTCCTTTTTTCTTAAACTTTTTTGTAAGTTTTGATTCGTCGTTCACCGGCTTGTGTCTCCAATACTACGGATGTGCCATGCACTTGAGAAAGTACTACTCTGTGCGTGTACTAGCGTTACCTATTCAAGGCCAAGAACCAAGTACGTTCAAGCAAAGTAATATGGCTCACATGCTGCTAGACCGATATTCATGCATGCTTTTGTGATAAATCTCCAAAAAGTGGAAATCCAGTAGATCAAATCATTGTCATTGAGTCGTAATAGAATTCCTTACATCTTTCAACTTAGATGGGACTTCAACAACAGTACTATTGTGTGGCTAGCACTCGAGCAAATGAATACAATGGTCTCTATAATAGCCCTATGCAACCAGAATTGAAGTAATCTAAGATGCTTACGCATGGATTGGCTACCATACCCCAACATCCAACATATAATTTTGCCTTATTGGCGTGTGCGCTTTTGAGGACTATTATTAACTTAGCTTTTCAGCTCCTCCTTCAGCGCTTGCTATCGAGAAGGGAAACTTGAAGACCCGTACATAAGATTTAATAGTTCACTGAACACTCATTAGACCGTGTCTTTTTTTTATTAACTCGTGTATCATTGTGAAGATGCGATTAATTCATTGCTAGGACACGTTGCGTTATTAATTTACACTTTCTGCAAACGGGTAATGTGCTTGATTTTTAGATCTGTATCAGTTTACTACGAATGAGCAAGGTTTTTTTATATCAAATAATTTCTCATTGATAACATCTCATTGTCATTCCTGAATGAGTGAGTGTACTCCACTCTCCATTGTAGTAATTCTTCATATACCTCCAGTAATGCCTTTCTTTTTCGCAAAGAAGCCAACAGTGCCATACAAAGGCTACAAAGATAAAGTTAAAAGTGTTGGTAGGAATTATCGAGTATTGTAAGTATATCATGCAAACGGCCGAGTTGTGAAACCGCTGGATTGATGCTCAACAACAAGAGAAGCTAATAAGTGGGGGTAAAGGCAAGACTGTAGTAAAGTGGGGCTGTGCCGATCATCTTACTACAGCAAAATAAAACGAAGCTGCTGGTTGGTTAAATTAACTTTATTATACGCATATCTAGCAAATCTAGCAACGGGATGATGTTTTATTCCAACAAAACATAAAAAAACTCTTTTATATTCTAGCTATTAAGACGGTGATATCAATTCATCCGACTAGCAGATAAACTATGTGATAGACGCTGGATCAAGGACGTATCGAAGCTTTTCCTAAAGTCGCTATGTTAATTGGGCATATCTCTGAAACCGGTGTTAGCTGTTGTAATAATGGCTGATGAGGTGGTTCATTGTCCTGTTCACGTAAGGTGAATCATCTGAGTGAGAGGCTCTATTCAGTAGTGTTTAGCCGGAATACCGTAGTATTATTCATATGTGTGTGCTATAATGTTTAACTGAATGTCTTATTAATTGATATCTTGAGCACTGTATTAATGTGGTTCACTACACAATCAACTGGGTTCCTTGCTTCATTTGCTCAAAGTCCCTCTACTAAGAGGCTTGAGTGGAACAAAGCTGTTCAGAAAGCAAGGCGTTGCTGCTTGAGCAAAATTAATAAAGTGGGGATGATATGAATTGATGAATGAAGATCACCACCCTCCCTCCCCAGCGTCGACATCGGACCAAAAAAAATGTCGTAGTGCAATACTCGATTATTTTAACAACCATAGATACTTCTTTTACTGCGGTCGTCAAGTCGTCCCTGACGTAATGCGCAGCCACTTCCTCGTGTACTGCCTTGCTATGCAACAGCAGTCATCAACGTTATGCGCAGCATTACTTTGCATATATTCAGTTGTAAGGCGTGGACAGGAACAGGACAAGACAAGAAGGAAACCTGGAGGTAGGAGACCAGATGACGAGGGAAGAAATTAGGGACTACAAGATAACTGACTGATGTATTTTTATTTGAAGACTAAGGTATTTATATGCTTATTTTTTACCAAGGAATTTAATGATGTGAACAAACGGAAAGATTGGTATTAAGGTTGTTAATTGACTAGGATGATGATGATGGATGATATTGATACTAAGGGAATTAATATGTGTTCATCGAGGTTAAGGATGATCACTTAATGAGGTCGAGGAATGTTCATAGCATTAGTTTTGAAAAACAGTATAAATATGGGTCATCTTTATTGAATAAAATATCATCTATCTATGTGGTAATTCCTTTGTGGATCATCCTTACTCTCTGTGATATTACTCTACAAAATGACAACAAAAATTGGCGTAATTTATATAGATAGAAACCACAGGAGTAGACCACACAGAGAGAACCACAAAGTAGGAGAAGACCACGAAGAGAAGTAAGACCACGAAGAGTAATACCGATAGGTACTACAAAGATAATACGATGGTAGCTAGATACCTTCTATTGTGATTGTTGATCCAAGGTATTTATACCCTTTGGTCAACTTATAAGAAGCAATAAAATATACAATATCAACATTACTAATATGGTTACAAATCTGATGAAGGTTGATGAATAATCGTGGAAGGAGTAAAAAAGGGGATTGGTGCTTTGAATGTTTTAGAGAAGTATTATCGCGATTGGTGTGGTAACTTCTTGTAAGCACAAAGGATAAAAGAGGAACACGGACAATACACACGATTGGTCCGTGGATCTCATTGGTTCATGTTTCGGGCCGAGAAATATGCTGCGACAAAATAAAAAAATATACTCGACAATGCTCACATATGTGAGACAAACGAGGGGGTCGACCGGGATTTGAACCCGGGGCCTCTCCGACCCAAACGGAGAATGATAACCACTACACCATCAACCCACTCTTGTTCCGCTATTCATCACTTTTTGAGTAGTTTTCAGAGTTTACGCAAAACTGTTAGAAAAAACACCAAAAAACTCTTCAAAAATTCAACAAAAAACCCCCACTCCTTCTCGTAAACGCCGCGACCATCCTACCATGGACACCAGCAGCACTACGAAGAAATTCCAGTTCAATCGCGACGGCATTGAGCACCATTTCGCTGATTCCACTTCTGAATCAGCAAATGCACCATTCACCACCACCATCCCGACCAACATCGACTTTGGGATCAGCACCGCCCCATCCGCCACCACATCCGCATCCATCCATCCATCATCCACCGATTCCGACCTTCGCGCTGTGATTGCCAACCTCAACAGCACTATTGCTGGCTTGAGAGACGATTTGCAGGGCTTACGCGCAGACAATGCTAGCCTACGCAAGCAGTTGTTTGCCGCCCTCGGAATTCAACCGCCGACCATGCGCACAGACCACCAAACCACCACCACTACCAGCACCACCAACAACGACGACTCGACGACCGCCGATTCGCTCATGGCATCGCACCATGCACCGAAATCGGTGAAATCGCCTGCATCTGCCGCCACCACTAAGCTCACCAAGTCGCACGCTGCCAAAGGCAAAACGTCCACGGCAGCCAAGACCACCCACCACCCCAATAACAACAGCAACAACAACAACAACAACAACAAAAAACCTTCTTCCTGGGCAGCTGTAGCTGCTAAAAACACCCCACCAAAAGGGAAGAAGCGTCCCACCAACACCGCCACCACCAAGTCCCTCACTGTCCGTGCCCTCCAAGAAAGCACAGGCCCATCGCAGTTCGACTTTGTGTACGTTCCTTGCCGCCACCACCTTCGCTACCATGATATCCGCAAGTTTATCAGCAGCCTGAAGATCCAGCAATCTCGTGTGCTGGATATTTACTTCCCAGCAAGAGGCACAGTTGCTCTCCTTGTCCACCACGACTTTAAGGACGAGTTAATTCGTTGCCTCAACGCCGAAAAAGTTACCCCCCGCACCACTTTCAACCAACTCGACGCATCCGTCATTGGCGATGCCAAGTACGCCAACGACAGTCAAGAAGCCCGCCTTGCCCTCGCTCAGCAACTATTTGCTGAGAGGATCAAACGCACTTGCCTTCGCCTTCCACGAAAAATAGGCATCAGCATCGCTCGTTTCTTTGCTTCTCCTGCCGCTGGTGCCTTGCAACTCGATAGTACCTGGTGGTCAGCATTTCTTGCCGAGTACAACCCACCAACACAACAACCAAGCACACCACCTGCACCAACACCAACCACCACTAACAACGCCACCGCCACAACAACCGACGACGTCGAAATGGGTGAAGATACGCCCAACGACAATGACGACTCCCCCCACAGCAGCAAACAGCAACATCAATGAGTAGTGATCGTTTAACGATTGCTACTCTCAACGTCCGAAACATACGAACTAATTTGGTAGGGGTTATAGACGCTTGTTTGGATGCAAATATTGATATTATTTTTCTCTGCGAAACTTACTTACGCCATGGCCGTTTACGCTGTCAATGGCAACAATTTTATAACTATGCACAACTCACGGAGGGCACCAACACCTTCAACCGCTTTGGCCTCTCCTTTCTCATCCGACCCGATTTCCCCTACGAGGTTCATCCCCTTTCCATCCGCAACGGTGAGGTACTGTCACTGAAAGTTGGCCCTTATACTTTGCATGGTGTATACCTACCACCAAAGCTTGATGCTGCAGTGGCTGCCGAGAGGTATACTTCCTTGTCAGTGGATCCATACACAATCATTCTTGGAGACTTGAATACGCGGTTAGGGAGTACCACGGGTGATGCCAGAGTCACTCCCGATCGTCACCATGCACTGTCTACCTGGATAAGCACAAAAGACTTAACCTTGTGGAATGCTGAGTTAGCCAACGGAGAAGCTACTTTTTCTGTGCTACGCGGCAATCGTCTATGCGAAAGCATCATTGATTATTTCATATCGATGAGAGACAACATCCATGATCCAGCTATGCGCATTCATACAGGCCTAGGCTTGTCGGATCACCACTTGTGTGAGCTGTCATTTGTGCCCGTGAATATGTCACGGCTCCCGGCCGCCACGGCCCCTCGACGCACTTGGCGACTTCAAAGGTTGAAAAAACCTGAAGTACTCGAACGCTATGCTGACAGGTTTACAGAGTCTACAGGTGCTCTTTTGGGAGATATCCGTTCTACACTGGAAACCGACGATTTGCATCCGAGCGCTGAAGTGTTGGAGGCATTTGTCGATCGGTTGAACACAGCTGTATACGATGCCTTGGATAATACTGTCGGGCGCAGTTGTCCTCGTACCGACTCCCACAAGTGGTTTTGGAACGACACACTCCAGCAACTAGCCGACCGTCGTCAAACGTTGCATAAACGCTGGCTTCGATTGCGCAATGACATTGAACGCATTACAGCCCACAGTGACTATATTGCTGCGTGTACTGCTTTTCGCAAAGCGGTAAGGGCTGCTCGGAAGCAGAACTGGAATGACTTTTGTCAAAAGCTACAAGCTGACCCAACCGAAATGACTGCTGTTGTTAAACGAATGCGCCTGCGTAATCGAAGCAACGTCACACTTTCATCGCCTCAGGGACCACAAGCTGCTGCTGATAACATGGCTGCTCACCTCGAGCGTGTGTTTGGTGGCTCTGTGTCACCTCGGCTTTCACCCGGAAGCAATTTCGACCGAGAGCAGAGGACCTGCTGGCACCGGGCAGACATTGAGCTTGCTATTGCGGCCTTGCCAAACCGTAAAGCACCAGGTTGTGATCATATTAAAGCTGAAATGCTCAAGCCCATTGCATCAAACATCACCCCACTCTTGGATGGACTCTTTACCCTCTGCTGGCGCTGGTCATGGACTCCTATCTCGTGGCGTACCGCACAAGTTGTCCCCATCTATAAGAACAAAGGTTCTGCTGACGATCCTTCCAAGTATCGACCCATCAGCTTAACCTCGGTCTACCGCAAGCTCCTTGAACGATGTGTCATGTCCACCCTTCTCCAGACTATGCCAACCCTCGACATCGCACAAGGTGGCTTTCGTGCTCTCCGTGGTACCCTGGATCAGGCCCTTTGTCTCCAAGAACTGATGCAAGCATATAGCTTTAATGAGGGTGGTGTGCAGCGCCCTCCAATCGTCGCTTTCCTGGACATAGCAAGTGCATTTGACAGCTGTAACAGGCGCGTCATTTGGGATACGCTTCGGCCTTATGTGTCTGAACCGCTGCTCAAGCTACTGCGAAGCTTATTCGACGACGTTGTTGTTCGAGTAATCCTCTCCAACGTGGCATCCCGGGACATATATCCACGGCATGGTGTGCTTCAAGGAAGTATTTTATCTCCCATCCTTTACTCTATTTTTATCGACACTCTTCCCCGTTTACTACGGTCTGTGTCCTCTCATCCCCACCTTGTGCGTGTACCTACCCCTCCCTCTTCTCGGTCTCTCAATTTTTGCTCGAGTCGTCCTTTTTCTTTTGCCACCCCCAATGCTGCTCCGCGATCTCTGCTCGAGGACTTGCAGGCACCTTCTTATAACCCTTACCTTATCCCGGACGATCCTGCTACTGAGAACCGCTACCCCCACTCCTTCATCCCTATCAATTGTCTGATGTATGCTGATGATGTTGCCATTATCGGTGATGCTCGTGACGTACATATGATGCTTTTGGCAGCGGAACAACACTCCAACCTCCTTGGTTATCGGTGGAGCCCTACAAAGTGTGAAATTCTCAATGCCAACCCTCAAGGGGAACCGTTCACTTTATATGGTACAGAAATTCCTCGTTGCTCGTCATTCAGATACCTTGGCATACCCTTCTCTTCTCTCGGGTTGGATCGCGATATGCTCGTGGCACAGTCGAAGACCAAAGCTCTCTCAGTCATGAGATTGCTTCGGGATAGTGGCGTCCACATGTATGGTTTTGGGCTTACCTCTTCCCTCCGTGCCTACAAGATCTTTGTTCGTCCAATTATCGAGTACGGCCTTGCTATTACTTTTCTTTCGGCTCAACAAACTGATGTGATAGAACAAATTCAAAAGCAATGCTTGCGAATGTGTATTTGTCGCAACCCAGTTGAAAAAGCCATCGGCACTGTCACCCTTTCTTACCTTTCTGCCCTGCCCGACATGCGTACTCGCTATCGTATTTTACAAACTAAATTTTCTTTACGCGCACAAACACTTCCTCGAAGCACCCTCGTAGTCTGTGTTGTCCCGCACATTTTGATTTCGCAGAATGAAGCCCGTTGGCCAGCCCTTCGGCGCAATGTAATCTGGAAATCCGTCCAACAACTCATGAGCCGGCCTAACTCGCCACGGAAGCCTCTCAAAGAAGCTATCCGCGCTCATATGCAAGCTGAAATTGATAAACTTGTAAGGCATCCTGCCAAATACATAACCATCAAACGAGGCTTGCGCCAACCTGTATGGGATCCAACTCTCTTGTTGCCGTGCACCAAAAAAGAACGACACCGGCTGGTCAAGTGGCGTCTTGCTTGGCTGCCTCCAACACCGTCAGTACCTTGCCAATGTGGCTCTCCTAAAGCAAATCGTGATCACCTTACTTCTTGTCCTCTTCTCTCTTCTGAATTCCGCTCCTTCCGCTGGTCTCTCTCCTCTCTCACACCCGACCCCCCTACTAATGCTGATGCCATTGATGTCGCATTAAACTTATTGCCGCGCAAAGTCACCGCCAAGCTCGGTAAATGGCACCGACTATGGCCGGCACTTCTCTCTCTCCTCCGCCGCATTGATGAAATAACATCCGACACACCTTTTGACGATGAACCTCCTGCAGGCTCACTTCTTCTTGAGGCTTCGCAGAGTCTCGATTCCCCTCCTTCTTCCTCCTCCTCCTCCCCTACTTGATGTATCTCGCTCTTTGTATCCACATATCAATATTTGCATCCGGCCCTTGCCAATTGGTCTCGTACTAACTCTCTACTCTCTCTCTTTTTTTATCTTTTTTTTTCTCTCTCTCACCCCAATTCGGAGTTTTTTACCCCACATTTTCATGCTCTCCAAATTTTCTCCTTATCTCCCTACTTCTTTAACTTCGCTCTCATATTCGTCTTGATCTTACTTCCTGTCTCCCTCACCGCTCTCTTTATACTCCCTTAGTTTTTTCTCTTATTGGTAGCAGAGACACTACTGTATAGGTTTTTTTTATCTTATTATTTTTGTATAAGCTGTTCGCTATCTCACTCTCACCCATACTACGAGCGCATCATGAATGCTAAACTTCAGTGACGATGCAAGGCTCTTAATAAAACTTTTGAACTATACCATCAACCCAAGTTATACCTGCTATCTTGTTACTTTGCCTAAGGCTGCCATCTATGGAGGCACTCCTCCTCCTCTCCTCCTCCTCCTCCTCCTCACGACAGGAAAAGTAGTATCTAAGATGGTATAAGAATAGTGTATACTGCATAAAGTAGGCAAGAATCAGGTAGTGAAAAGTAGGGGTTGCAATTAGATGGGTCAGGTCGTGTCAAGGGTCTGACCCGTTGACCCATAGGTCAAGAAAACTCTGACCCGACCTGACCCGTTCAACCCGATGGGTCAAAACTTGGGTTGACGGGTCACTACTGATTTTGATTTAGGGACAAAGGAGGTGCCAATCAACCTGAGCTTGAGCACTAGAAGTGCAAAACTACATGTATACACAGCTCTCTAAGATGATGGCACGCAAATTCCTAGCAGTGCTAGCAATATCTACATTTTGTGTGATTATTCTTAAAGGTAAAGGGGTTTGTGCCATAAGAAAAGAAATCGTTTACGCTCACATGCATTAAAGAAAGCATAATGGCTAAAGTGTGGTTAAAAATCGACTTCCTTTAAATGCCCCTAATCCTTTTCCCTTTTCTTTTCATTTCTTCCTTCTTCTTTCATTTTTCTTTTCTTAATTCCTTCTACGTCTTTTGTCAAATCTCGTCTCTCACTGCCACTCTCTATTATCTATTCTCATTGTACTATTGCTACTTCTTTACTACTATTACATATATTGCTTATAGCTTACTTATCTTACACTTTTGAATATAAAATATGATCCCACAATGAAAAAGAATATAAGTACGTTTTATGTTACAGTTCTATAGCAGACATTTTGACAACTACATCTTTAATATAATGATCCTTCCCAACAAGAAGATTGACTACTTGAATACAAGTATCTCATAGATATCATATGTATACACGGGTTACAACGGGTCAACAGGTCGAGTCAATGGTTAGACGGGTTGACCCATGGGTCAGAAAAGCATCAACCTGACCTATTGACCTGTCCTCAACCCACGGGTCGGTTTTGACCCGTGGGTCAGATTGCGACCCCTACCATAAGGAAACTTTGAACAATGGTGGTTTTTAGCTACACTGCTTTTGTATGTTTTACATAACCGTATTTATCATTTTCATTAACAGCTGGACTACAATGTACCATTTTCTTGATCAGTAGTGTTAACCTTACTTTACAAACGGCTATTGTATAATCCAGCTCAATACCGATACTGTCACATAACACATTATTTTTAAACATTTTCAGTAAGCGATTTTCACTTGCAGGGGACTAGCGTCTATAATGATTGGATGGCTTTCTTGCAGGTGTCTATGGTAGGATAGTCGCGGCGTTTATAAGAAGGAGTGGGGGTTTTTTGTTGAATTTTTGAAGAGTTTTTTGGTGTTTTTTCTAACAGTTTTGCATAAACTTCGAAAACTACTCAAAAAGTGATGAATAGCGGAACTGACACGTGTGGTGTTTGGAAAAGGACAAAAGGTAGTATATAAAAAGGGAAGAAGAAGAGGTAGAAAGGGTTTAGAAGAATAAGGTTGATATGCGGTAAAATACAAATAGGGGTTGATGGTGTAGTTCAAAAGTTTTATTAAGAGCCTTGCATCGTCGCTGAAGTTTAGCATTCATGATGCGCTCGTAGTACGGGTGAGATAGCGAACAGCTTATACAAAAATAAAAAGATAAAAAAAAACCTATACAGTAGTGTCTCTGCTACCAACAAGAGAAAAAACTAAGGGAGTATAAAGAGAGCGGTGAGGGAGACAGGAAGTAAGATCAAGACGAATATGAGAGCGAAGTTAAAGAAGTAGGGAGATAAGGAGAAAATTTGGAGAGCATGAAAATGTGGGGTAAAAAACTCCGAATTGGGGTGAGAGAGAAGAACAAAGATAAAAAAAAGAGAGAGAGTAGAGAGTTAGTACGAAACCAATTGGCAAGGGCCGGATGCAAATATTGATATGTGTATACAAAGAGCGAGATACATCAAGTAGGGGAGGGGGAGGAGGAAGAAGGAGGGGGATCGAGACTCTGCGAAGCCTCAAGAAGAAGTGAGCCTGCAGGAGGTTCATCGTCAAAAGGTGTGTCGGATGTTATTTCATCAATGCGGCGGAGGAGAGAGAGAAGTGCCGGCCATAGTCGGTGCCATTTACCGAGCTTGGCGGTGACTTTGCGCGGCAATAAGTTTAATGCGACATCAATGGCATCAGCATTAGTAGGGGGGTCGGGTGTGAGAGAGGAGAGAGACCAGCGGAAGGAGCGGAATTCAGAAGAGAGAAGAGGACAAGAAGTAAGGTGATCACGATTTGCTTTAGGAGAGCCACATTGGCAAGGTACTGACGGTGTTGGAGGCAGCCAAGCAAGACGCCACTTGACCAGCCGGTGTCGTTCTTTTTTGGTGCACGGCAACAAGAGAGTTGGATCCCATACAGGTTGGCGCAAGCCTCGTTTGATGGTTATGTATTTGGCAGGATGCCTTACAAGTTTATCAATTTCAGCTTGCATATGAGCGCGGATAGCTTCTTTGAGAGGCTTCTGTGGCGAGTTAGGCCGGCTCATGAGTTGTTGGACGGATTTCCAGATTACATTGCGCCGAAGGGCTGGCCAACGGGCTTCATTCTGCGAAATCAAAATGTGCGGGACAACACAGACTACGAGGGTGCTTCGAGGAAGTGTTTGTGCGCGTAAAGAAAATTTAGTTTGTAAAATACAATAGCGAGTACGCATGTCGGGCAGGGCAGAAAGGTAAGAAAGGGTGACAGTGCCGATGGCTTTTTCAACTGGGTTGCGACAAATACACATTCGCAAGCATTGCTTTTGAATTTGTTCTATCACATCAGTTTGTTGAGCCGAAAGAAAAGTAATAGCAAGGCCGTACTCGATAATTGGACGAACAAAGATCTTGTAGGCAGGGTTGATGGTGTAGTGGTTATCATTCTCCGTTTGGGTCGGAGAGGCCCCGGGTTCAAATCCCGGTCGACCCCCTCGTTTGTCTCACATATGTGAGCATTGTCGAGTATATTTTTTTATTTTGTCGCAGCATATTTCTCGGCCCGAAACATGAACCAATGAGATCCACGGACCAATCGTGTGTATTGTCCGTGTTCCTCTTTTATCCTTTGTGCTTACAAGAAGTTACCACACCAATCGCGATAATACTTCTCTAAAACATTCAAAGCACCAATCCCCTTTTTTACTCCTTCCACGATTATTCATCAACCTTCATCAGATTTGTAACCATATTAGTAATGTTGATATTGTATATTTTATTGCTTCTTATAAGTTGACCAAAGGGTATAAATACCTTGGATCAACAATCACAATAGAAGGTATCTAGCTACCATCGTATTATCTTTGTGGTTACCTATCGGTATTACTCTTCATGGTCTTACTTCTCTTCGTGGTCTTCTCCTACTTTGTGGTTCTCTCTGTGTGGTCTACTCTTGTGGTTTCTATCTATATAAATTACGCCAATTTTTGTCGTCATTTTGTAGAGTAATATCACAGAGAGTAAGGATGACCCACAAAGGAATTACCACATAGATAGATGATATTGTATTCAATAAAGATGACCCATATTTATACTGTTTTTCAAAACTAATGCTATGAACATTCCTCGACCTCATTAAGTGATCATCCTTAACCTCGATGAACACATATTAATTCCCTAAGTATCAATATCATCCATCATCATCATCCTAGTCAATTAACAACCTTAATACCAATCTTTCTGTTTGTTCACATCATTAAATTCCTTGGTAAAAAATAAGCATATAAATACCTTAGTCTTCAAATAAAAATACATCAGTCAGTTATCTTGTAGTCCCTAATTTCTTCCCTCGTCATCTGGTCTCCTACCTCCAGGTTTCCTTCTTGTCTTGTCCTATTCCTGTCCACGCCTTACAACTGAGTATATGCAAAGTAATGCTGCGCATAACGTTGATGACTGCTGTTGCATAGCAAGGCAGTACACGAGGAAGTGGCTGCGCATTACGTCAGGGACGACTTGACGACCGCAGTAAAAGAAGTATCTATGGTTGTTAAAATAATCGAGTATTGCACTACGACATTTTTTTTGGTCCGATGTCGACGCTGGGGAGGGAGGGTGGTGATCTTCATTCATCAATTCATATCATCCCCACTTTATTAATTTTGCTCAAGCAGCAACGCCTTGCTTTCTGAACAGCTTTGTTCCACTCAAGCCTCTTAGTAGAGGGACTTTGAGCAAATGAAGCAAGGAACCCAGTTGATTGTGTAGTGAACCACATTAATACAGTGCTCAAGATATCAATTAATAAGACATTCAGTTAAACATTATAGCACACACATATGAATAATACTACGGTATTCCGGCTAAACACTACTGAATAGAGCCTCTCACTCAGATGGTTCACCTTACGTGAACAGGACAATGAACCACCTCATCAGCCATTATTACAACAGCTAACGCCGGTTTCAGAGATATGCCCAATTAACATAGCGACTTTAGGAAAAGCTTCGATACGTCCTTGATCCAGCGTCTATCACATAGTTTATCTGCTAGTTGGATGAATTGATGTCACCGTCTTAATAGCTAGAATATAAAAGAGTTTTTTTTATCTTTTGTTGGAATTAAACATCATCCCAAAGATACTGAATCTTGTCCCTTATAATTATTATTGAAGCTCCATCATCACAGAGTGGATAGTTCAAATTGTTTATACTATAAAAGGACGCACCAGGGCAAGCACTATAAACGTTAGCCAGTTGATTGAATGTTTCAAATATATTTGCTAAATTTGCTAGGTATGGCTTATAAGAAAGTTAATTTAACCAACAAGCAGCTTCGTTTTATTTTGCTGTATAAAAAAGATGATCGGCACAGCCCCACTTTACTGTAGTCCTGCCTTTACCCCAACTTATTAGCTTCTCTTGTTGTTGAGCACCAATCCAGCGCTTTCACAACTCGACCGTTTGTATGCTATACTTACAATACTCGATGATTCCTACCAACACTTTAAAGTTTATCTTTGTAGCCTTTGTATGACACTGTTGGCTTCTTTGCGAAAAAGAAAGGCATTACTGGAGGTGTATGAAGAATTACTACAGTGGAGAGTGGAGTACACTCACTCTTTTAGGAATGACAATGAGATGTTAACACAGAGAAATTATTTGATATAAAAAAACCTTGCTCAGTCGTAGTAAACTGATACAGATCTAAAAATCAAGCACATTACCCGTTTGCAGAAAGTGTAAATTTGTAATAACGCAACGTGTCCTAGCAATGAATTAATCGCATCTTCACAATGATACACGAATTAATAAAAAAAAGACACAGTTTAATGAGTGTTCAGTGAACTATTAAGTCTGATGTACGGGTCTTCAAGTTTCCCTTCTCGATAGCAAGCGCTGAAGGAGGAGCTGAAAAGCAAAGATAATAGTCCTCAAAAGCGCACACGCCAATAAAGCAAAATTATATATTGGATGTTGGGGTATGGTAGCCAATCCATGCGTCAGCATCTTAGATTGTTTCCAATTCTGGTTGCATAGGGCTATTATAGAGACCCCAATTATAGTACTTTCATGAGTGACTGCAGTAGCATCTCAGTATCGTTCTTATAGCTCTATCTAGCTGAATAGGAAGGGCATCTTTATTACGCCCTTCTGTACAAATATTTGCTCTGCTTTGATATTTCATACGTATATTCCTCATTATTATGCATGATGCTCATCATGCTTCTAGATTTTTTTCAGTGTATGAGATTGTGCAGATAGTGCGTGCCATCGTATTTCTATTGTACCCTTAAATTTTTAGCGTCACACCGCAAAGAATCTTCTCGAATTCTAGTGCCATAGAATTTTCATCCATATTTAAGAATCCACTTCATAGTCAGGCTCTGGTTATATGCAAGGAAATCAACGGCTAAAAGTATGATATTAAAGTGTCGAAAGGAGAAGTGATTTAAAGTTAAGGAAAGGCGCTGATGGTTGCTATTAGCTTGCATGAGATAGCAGCGAGAAAGACCATATAACAAACATTGGGTTCTCATACAGTTGAAAAAATTCTCGACTGTTACGAAGCGAAAGTTAAAAGCAGAGCTAAAATCCATAAATTACAAAACTAAAAAATATGAGACAGACTGCTCATGTCAGAGAGTTAAGAGCCTTGAGTTGAAATCAAGCTTAAGAGTAGAGTAAGCTTTTATATCTTGATTTAGTAAAAAGTAAAGTTTACGCAACAGATCATCCTATATATCTCAATTATTAGCTATATTATCAAATTGGCTAAAGATATTCTATTGTGGTATCGCAGAGTGACGGCTAGACTCTGGATACGACGGAAATGAAGTGTGAATAAAAGGAAGAAGGTTATTTATGACCACAAAGATGCTATTAAAGCTACTGTGATGGAAAATGGAAATTGGAAGTCAAGGATCGGGAATGTTTACTTCCGAAAAACCAATTAGGAGGTTCTTATTCTAGAGGAATGTTGAAGAAGAAAAGGATAAGATATGAACCGAACTGATAGTGAATGAAAAGAGAAAGGCTATTTATACTAATTGGCACCCTTTTGTCTCTAGCTATAGTATCATTGGGTTGCTAATGCCAATGTGATGAAAGCTCTTGATAATGCGGCAAAAGCATTTGCTAATACGGTGTAAGCATTTGCTAAGGCGGCTAGAGCACTTGCCATGAAGCATTGGACTAATCCAGTGAGGGTGCGAGGGAGATTGAATTTTGGAGAGGCAAAAATTTTGGGTGATGATGTGAAGTAAGGCTTTTATCAAAAGGCTACAATTTGGACTACACTATTATATCGACGGTAAACAACCGACAATGTCTGATTTTATAAAGGGTAGAAGCGCGAATTAAATTCTAGTCGTAGCGTAAGAAATGGCTGCTCTTATACCAGAAATCGTAGTAGTAGCTGTTCCTTTGTGAGCGGATTGCAATTTCTTTGCCGGGTCAAGAAGAAAAGTAAAATATTTTGATATTGCCGCACCGTAATATTTGAAGGATCAATCATGTATGAAACGAAGTAGAAATCAATTGACTGCTATCAGCAAGATAAGCTGAGCGATATCTTTTTGAGCTCTTAAGTACAGTCGTACATTTACTCTTCTATAAATCTTCTACTGCTACAGACCTTTCATTGTTATTAGAAGTATAATAAAGAGGGTTTATTAAGTATTCGCGTTAGCGCTGTAGGATGCAATATAATGCGATGAATTATAACGGTAATTATAGGGTATAAAATAGATTAAGGTACAGGTAGGTAGGTAGTAGGTAGAGAAAAGAAAGGAGAAGAACAAAGCATAAAGAACCATCTATTAGCTCTTAGCGCAGATCTAAGAAAAAAGGAGGAAAGGAATGGTATAATTAAGGTGCCCATTGACCGAGTTGATGGGCCAACTTGAGATTCTTCGCGTACAAAACCAGGGAGTCCTGTTCGAGCTTGACAATTTTAGCTTCCAACGTTGCTACTGTCATCCGCAAGCTTTTCTCTTCGGCTTCCCAATTAATAAGTCGCTTTTGGCACTTTTCTTCTGCTTGACGTTTCAAAGTTTCCATCCGGGAAATCGTTAGTGCATCCTCCTGTCTTCGTTTTTCAAGCACATCATTCTGACATTCTTGTTCAGCAAGCGCTCCAGCCAATTCGCGGACCTGGCGTGATACTTGGACTTTGAACGCTTCTTTCTCTTGAAAATATCGTGCTGCAGCTTGTTGTTCCCATGTCTGCCGCTCACCCTCGTAATGCTGAATGGTCGATTCTAAGTTTTGTATTTGTGCATCACGCTCTGCGACGATGGTTTGTCGACAGTCGCATTTTACTACTGTTGGTAGTGGCTGTTGTTGTCGTTGTTTTTTTGCTAGCGAGTTGGCGACTTCCAACCTGAGTTCCAGCTCTGCGATGGTTGTCTGCGTTCGTGTGAGCATGGCGCGTGCTTCGTGATAGGCTTGACGCTCCTGCTCCCTAGATTGTTCATCTGCATATCTTTCGGACGTCAATGCTGGTCTGACAGACATTAGAGTATCGAGTTGATTATGATGCTCAACTTTAAATGCTGACTGCTCCTCCACTTTTTCCGAGCTTTCTTCGTCGTTGTCGTTTTCGTCTTTGCTAGATGTTGATGGTGGCGCAGAGGAATCTGCTGGTCTCTGGGCTTGGCTGAACTGATTTTGGACTGCATTTAACTCTTGTTCCACCTGAGATCTTTCCCGCTCGCATTCCTTCAACGCTAACTCCAACTCACGAATGCGCACAAGCAGTGGCTCTTTAACAGAGTCTAATTTTTGCTGTATTTGTGGCTCCAATGCGTCAAAGGTGTTTTGCGGTTGGGGTTCCTCCAAGTCATGGGAGCGCTGGTGTTGCTTTTGGTGACGGTAGCGGGAATGATCGTCCATGATGTGTCGACACCGCTTTGACCGCACCACGCTAGAGCGACCGTTACACAAAATTGACATATTTGTGTGCCGAACCACATGGCGCTTGTCTCTTTTGAGATCGGCCCACGATTCTAGGTATGTCTGCAGCTGCTTGCAGAATGCTGACAGGGCTTCTTCTGAGTGCGCGGTTGACATTTGGAATTGATACACCATGCCAAGCAGTCGTTGGACTCGCATGCTTTCGTGATATTGCATACGGTAATGCTGCTGACGCTGATGTTGACTTGACCGGATTGATCGTCGTTTTTGTTGCTGTTGCTGCTGTTGCTGATGATAGTCGTATTGCTGCTGTTGTGGTGCATTAAATGTAGAAAAATCTTGCTCTTCTTGAATAATATCGTCGTTATTATTACTAGCTACACGTTTATGGAATAACTTGCCACTGGCAATTGGAGGCATACTGGTCCGGTGCATGCGCAGCTTTTTTGGACTCGTGGATCGTCGATGAGCAAAAAACTCGCTGTTGCGTTTGCTATTGTGCATGCTGTTGGGCCGTGAAAAAGTCGCAGACAACGCTGAAGAAAGCGACCATCGATGATTAAAGTGTGGTCCATGCTCTGTTGTCCAGCTCGTAGGTGTGTTGAGCGCAGTGTCGACTTCAGAAGAGTAGTCTGTAGCCGAGTCGTCAGCTAGTGTTGGCGCATGAGGTGGAGGTGCTGGTGGCGGCCCTCGAGTAGCGATGTCGGTCATTACTGTCGTTGAGAGGGCAGTAAAGAAAGAAAGATGAAAAAAAGAAGCGGGGAAAAAAAGAAAGCAGCACAAAAAATATTGACTGTCGTCCTAATACTGGAGAGGGCCATGTAATACTGTAGAAACGAAAATCTGAGTAATGTAACAGCGATGTACTTTTAGCGAGCGAAATGGGCCAAGTACGGCTGAAGCGTAATTATAATTTACATACTCTAATCTGCACTTTTTTTCCCGGGCCGAAATTTGCTTGGCATGGATACTCAGCTAATGCATTCTGATGCCATCTTTCCATTGTCGGTTCGTCGGTTCGTTGTCAAACTACGATAAAGGGTAACCATGCAACCTCTGTTACACAGCCGTGCCACCACGCGCAAAAAGTAGCCCCGGCATACAATCACAAGATATCACTGCTAGTATTAATGCATGTACGGCCATTTATGCTTTATTGGTGTTGTTTTTTAGGATTTATCCAGTTTTTAGTATGGAATTCCGTTGGTAAGTTTTTGGAAATAGTCATACATGACCGTTCTTTGGTTCTCAAAAGAGTCTCGAATTCGCATCATAATAAAGTTAGCCGCTACCCGTTCGGATCTGTCCAGCTGAAAGCGCACCTGCATGCGACGAAGTGTTTCTCCTTTGAAGCAGGGTAATCCTGACTCTAGCATAAGCGCGACAGTCTGGCATATCTGGTCGGCAAAAGGTCTACTGGCAAGGTACGCTTTGACCACCAATTCTGAGAATTGTTTGAATGCTTGCTCGTCACTGCCGCCACCCATGACCTTTCCACAAAATTTGTTATCGGATAGCTGATACAAAATGCATTTAGTAGCATGCATAGTTTGCTCCCTTTACCTGTATCATCTCTGTAGTGAGCTTAAACGGCGAGCTCTCAAAAGTGATACCACCAGGTGCAATGTCGAAAATGAATCCAAAGTCTACAAGAGCGTGCACAATCAAGCATATTTAACTTCCAATTCCCTCAACAGTGTAACAGCAATAGCTATAAGGTATTGTTCTTACCAATATGAAGAATATGACCTTGGTCATCCAGCATAATATTACCGTTATGCCTGTCCTTAAACTGGAGCAAATATGAAAGAACCGAATATGCGGCAAGGCTCTTAACGAAATTGGATCGAGCTTGCTGAAAGCGGACAGAATCTGGTTCACCATACTTTGCCACAAAATAATCGTACATGTTGTTCACTTTCTCTCTACCCAACTGGTCGCGAGAAATTGCATGCTTTATGACATCAATCACACCTTGACCCGGCGCAGTTGCAACGACGCGATAGGGGAATAAGTACAGATCCAAACCGACAGAATTAAAAATTGTCTTGAATACGGCAATAAGTTGCAAGGCCAGTACGTCTTGCCGACAGTCATCGCCCACTTTGAAAATAGCGCTCAGAAGAATCTCTCCTTCTTTCTTTTTGACCTTGAATGTAGCCATGAATGGCGCCTATACGTGTATTTTGGTATAGCCGTTAGTTTCACTTGTAAAATTTTAGTCAGTTGAGTCAATGTAAAAAACTTGTTGGTCCACCTTGGCGTGACTTTGTAGTGGCTTTCCTGATTTACGTTCGATGTCAACGACTTCGCCATCTGGATTGCTGGGAAGATAGACTCCCGGGTCTACTTCGATTTTACCCAATTCTTCATCCAATCGTATCTGTGGTCCAAACCCAAGTTAACTTTGCAGCTAATACCCTTGAATATACACCATCTTTACGAACCTTTTGCTTCGGCTTCTTTTCGCTCTGTCCTAACTTTATATATTCTTTGAGATACCCTGAGATGGCGGTAACTTTGTTGAAAAACGTAAACTCGCGCTCGTAGAACTCGCGATCGTCCCCAGTAAAAGAGTTGGCCAGTTGATCCACAATTCTTTCAAGTGTTGGTTTTATCGGATCGGGCTGATGACATCGAGATATAGATATTTATTACCAACTTGCGACCCGTCGATAAATGCCTCGTGGTATTTCTTTTGTGCTCTGTGTGTATACATTCTACGTACCTTTTCACATTCCTTGTCAGCATCAAGATAGTAGTTTGCTTGCATGTTCCAAATAATCTGATGTGCAAATAGCTGGGACTCTTGCGCTGCTTCCATGATATACTTTTCCACATAACCGTAATCATCGTAGCGTAAGGCTTGTACTATTTGAGGGACATAGAAGAATACCAGATCGACAGGATAATATTCAAGCGAGCGCATAGCATATTGTAAAATATGGGGATTGTCCCTAAAAGCGGGCAAAAAGTAATTTGTTGCTGTAATCGGCGGTACAGGTGCCCAGTACTGTAGATGCTAATAACGATAGTATAAGTTTCCCTTCTATGCTCAAATAATATGCTCTCTCTACTTTACCCTGAGGTCGAGTCTAGCATCTGGTTGGAGTCCATCACCAAGTAGTAGTACTAGAGCCTCGGGTATATCCACCGCATCGAGTGTGTTGTTTGCCACTAATTTATGTAGCTCCTTGTGCACGATGGGTTGGATGAACCTTTTATCGAGCTGGATAGCAAGTTTTGGCGATAGCTCCCAAGCAAAACGGATCATTTTCTTCCATACATCCTGCTCAAAGAGTAAAAGGATCAATTCTCTATTCACAGCTGCTTTTAAGGATATTTGCTTACATCATTTGTCATGCTCTTTTCAACCGTGCCAACAAAGGTCGGTGGACGACCATGACCCATGTCATTAAGCGGATTGCACCAGACCGATAAGCGCGACAGCTCGCTTTCAAGGAACAATAAAAGCAGTTTCTTCTTAGAAATATGTTGCTTAATAATGTCATCTTTGGTTTTATCTAATGAAACATGAGTATAGAAGACCGAGAGGTAAGACATTTCAATCTGCAGTTTTTTTTTAATTTTGATATTTACCGTCCACAAACTTATACAGGCCTGCTGCGATTTGAGAATTTGACGAGCGTAACGGTGAGCTCGTTAATATATGCGCTAACCGTGGCATATCCCTGTTGACAGCATTGTATACATCACTCAAGAGTTTATACTCTTGTAGTATATAATTTTTCCTGGATCCATAATGCCACCTAGTATAGAAATCATGAAGCATCGTTAAATAAGTGATGATTTTAGCAAAAGAAGGTGCAAGGACGGTCCGTTACTTTGGTGATAATGAAAACCAGCAGAATGCAGAATCGTAAACTAGGGTTCGGAACCTGTGTTCTGCCACAGCTTCCATACGAAACGACTGTAAAATTCGGAATCCTAGTAGAACTAGATAGAATCGTGGTTGTCTGGATAACGCATGCGTACTAAGTATATGTATTTATCAGAGAAGAAACATTAATTTAATTGGATGGCTGTATTTTCCGCAGGTTCCTAGTAGATTATAATTACATACCTCATCAACCGAGCATTGTGAAACGTTTCTTCAAGTAATCGGGTAAACAGACCAACAATGTACTTGTCGTGATGACATATTGCATTTAACCGACTTTGCAGAAATGAAATCCATGTGATATGTGGTGTAAAAAGCTCCTCTGCCTTTCTTTGTGTCTCTTGGCGCACAGATGGATCCGAAGGTTCATAGGTCATAAAGCTGTCAAATGGATTCTTGTAGCTTTTCTCAAAGAGACAGAAAAAATATGACACGACAGACTGAGTGAGATGACTTCATATTCAAACATGCAAATATGCTTTCACAACAAGATGAAATTTTACCTGAGATGAGGCGAAAATAAACCTTTCCGATGCCGATGAGACCAGCGCCACATGTTTAACATTTCAACCATCAATCGTTTCTCTACGTCCGGTCGTTCGACCAAAACCCAATTCCACACACTGGTCGCAATATCGATTGACTCAGGTGTAAATATCTGGGCCGGGATCCGTACAAGGTAGCTTACGAGATCGGGATGAACCTATATATTTACAATGACAAACAAAGCAAAGCCGTAAGATATTATTCTATCATGATGACATGAAGAAGAAGAGTAACAGCGACGGTTATACAGACATCCTTGAGGGAAACTATGACAGCTGCCGCTCGAAGCATAGTCCGATTGAGACGCTGAACATAGATGTATTTCTTATTCTTGACATCCTCAAACATGCGTTGGAGTATTGCTATGCCAAATAGCTCTTGATTATCGCTGAAACTGTCACTATTATCCAAGTCTGGCAATTTGTCTAAAACCGAATGTCTCATTAACAACAGAGTCCATTTATATAGTTTTTGCTGCTCTCCTACAACCATTACCTTGGTTTCGATCCAGGGCCGCTATATAGCTCGCACCGGTAATCTCACCAGTGTAATAGCGCCTAGATGTAAATCCATAGACATAATTGGAAGCGTCGTCTGGCACTACACTAGGTACCTTGGGAGCAAAGTCTTGTGGATGTTACAAGGATTGTTAGCTTTTTCTGCCCTTTGGAAAAAAGGTATTGTTTCTAGCGTTCTACTTATAAACGACTTTCTTTACGCACCTACAGTGAGTTGGTTTCTTGCCGCTGACTTTCCGATTTCTAATGCTAGAGTTCGACCCAAATGAATAGCGTCTATGTGCACTCCAGCACCGAATCGATCAAATTCTGCCAAATAATCTTGAAGCAGACTAGTTACTTCAAGCGGAGAGAGATCCATGGAAAATTGCAGCCATTTTTTGGCATGATCGTACAGGCTAGTGCAGACTTCTTTACGATAGACATACGAATCACCCAGCTCTAGCGTTACTTTTGCAAGCTCCGAAGTGTAGTGGAATACTGGGGTGTACTAGTAAATGATCGTTTGCGGATATGTCAGTATATATAATATCAGGCCGTAGTTTGCAAATCCATGAGTATACCTCATCGCGATATTCGGCTTCACAGGCCAGCCACGTCAACTGCACTAGCTCGAGCAATAATGTAATTAGTGATTTTCTTGCGAACATTTGCGGAAACGCATTAACCATCCTGTTGGTTATGTTAAGCGCCATAAGATGTACACGTTGTAGCCGATGGCAGCAGGAGATGAGGAGTTCCCGCATTTGGATGTAAAGCTCATCATCCAAGGATTGCACGGCCGCCTTTTGCAATGCGTCACGAATGAATACGTCCACAACTCTTTCCATGATATTTTGCAAACAGTGATCAAGCGGGGAATTGATCGCTACAGCATTGCTCATGAAATATCGAAGAATATAGCTGCAGTTACCCATCTGTCCTCGCATTGTCTCGACGTGATAGATGCTCAACGTGAAGATGATTTTAGTGAACGACAAATACTTGATATCATACAGACTACCGACGAGCACGCCTTGTAGTTTCTGCCGCATACTTGTTGCTAGCGTTGATGATGGCTCGCCTGCACTGAGAACCGTATTGTATTCGAGATCACTTTCAAGATGGTCTGTTGCTGTTTCAATCACAAGTGCCGGCGACTTTTTGGCAATCACCATCATGTATTCGTGCCACTCGCGCTCCCACATGGCGTCCGACGTAAAACCAAAATACACGCATTGGAGCCAGGCATTGCGGAAAAGTACAGCCATTTCCTCACACGAATTTCTGTGGGGGTTAAAGTCGCTATGCTCTAGTAGTGCGTGCAGCACCGTGAGAAGGCAGCCAAGCCTTCCTTTCAACGATGTTAAGCTTCCCTCTGAAGCATCCTTGTGCTTCCCATGGTCTTTCTTGGCCTCTGCAACAATCATGCGCTCGATGAGGATGCCATTCTCAATAAATAGCGTGAGGATATTGCGCAGATAGCTTTCATAGAAATCGGGTCGCTTACAAAGACCTCTTGCAAGGTCAAGCTGCGCTTGCAATACCTAACAGTGCAATTGTTCCATTACAGGTTATCAACTTTTGTTATAAAGCACAATAGCTATATGTAATCGTTAAAAAAAGGCACGATGATGAGCCGGAGCCAAAATGATCTCTTACCCCGTTAAATATCTGTGCATTGTTTTCTTTGTTTTTCGTCGATGTCAATGATTCGCGGTACAGCAGTGATAAGAGGTTGATAATGTCGTTGAAAACAGACTCGGGACTGACAAGTGCTAGTTGAACTAGTTGCTTCATGATTGGAGATGTCGACGGTGCTGACAATAGTTTACGCCTCAAAAGAACCATAGTGAAAGCTTGTGCAGTAACCTAGTATACATATTAACCTGTCGTTCGTAGTTTCCCTCGATTTAACAAGTTCAAAATTCATCTGTGCATACTTCATCAGCCTTTAAATGAACCGCAATACCAATTATAGCAGCCATCTGCTGTCGTTGTCGTTCGTCGCCTAGTTCTCCCGCAACTGCTTCTGTATCGTGCCGCATCTCGTCGTCGTATCTGGCCATTTCATTCAGGAGTGCATAAAGGGTGGATATCGCTGCTTGAGACCGTTGCGATGGTGGTCTTGACTGTATAATAAATGAGATTAGTTTTGTGTTTAGGGGACAAGAATAGTGCTCAAAGGGTAAAATACTAAACCGACTTTATTACCTGTACACATTGAGCAAGACGAACAATGACTAGTTGTCGGATACTCATTTCATTTGTATTCCCACAACACGGTGAATCGAGCAAAGTAAAGCTTGCAGTAACTAAGAACCGACGAACCGTATTTATCATGGCAGTTGTTTTATTCGGAAAGCTAAAATTGGGTTGACGAGCCAAATTTCATAATTCAAGCAGTTTAGCCGACAGTAATTTGTAGAACACCGGAGCACTTACTTTATGGCGATTAATGCTACAGCATCTAATGCGGCAATAGAAACCCATGGATTGCTTTCTTGGCCTAGTGTGCGATCAAATAGACTCTCATCTATATGACCGAATACTGCATCATCAACTTGACGGAGGTATACAGATGTCAATGCAGCGACATGCTAGTAATAAATAATCTTCTGAGCCTTCTTCTTTTCTTCATATCTGTCTAATACAAGATTGTAATCTCAACAGAGCGAATCAGCAACCAACTTACCAAGCTCAGTCCCATAATCTCGCGCATATAGCTATCCATTTTCTGTTCCTTCGACCCATGTTGCTTCAAGTAGTCCCTTGCATCGACGTAGTATCCAAGACTTATTACATAAATCGAGCTTAACGTTCGAGCAAGATCCTGACCCGGATCATTGTTTGAACTCATTAAATTCCGCTCCTCATTGTAATTGCTGCTGTTACTACTATCATAAGTATCATGCTGCTGCTGCTGCTGATGATGATCATCCTGTTGAGTGCGTTCCATGAGCAGCGACCACGAATGCTCGATTTCAGTAGTCAGATACAAATCTTTGTATCTTGGATGAAATCGTTGTCCATGTTCTGTTGATGCGGAAGACGCTACAACGCCGCGTCTAGCCACGATGCGAGCCAAGCAATTTCTCCAAATGATCAACAAGTCGTAGATCATTCGGTTGCCACTGAGAGGCATACTTGCATCCCAATACATTGTTAGAATACGTCGACTAGCAGCTTTCCTTTTATCCGAGTCATCACCGTCGAGACAATGACTAATCGCTTTTCGGACTGTATCCAGTACGTCGTCATTAATCAGGGAGCGAGTATTGATGCAGATAGCCGATAGCTGTTCTGGCTTGAAGATAAAACGCGAGAGCTGGAACGATCGTAATAGCCCTGCAAAAGCAGGCAATACAACAGCAACAATATAGTTGGCTAACACATTTTTTTTGCAGGAAACCGATTCATTTTAGCTTTTGTCTTTATCAAACGAGGGGCACCATAACGTATCATCACTTACGATCTTCCTCTTCCACAAGTTGAATAATTCGGTGTGCCAAGCTCCAGAGCACAGATACGATATTATTGCGTAATTTAGAATTATTGTATGCTATTTCCTGAAGACCAGATGATAAGGTATATGCTGCCATGTCGACCAACGCTATTGGGGGACCTAAATATGATATACACAATCAGCTTCTAGTCAAAGCTTCATCTAATGGTGCGGAAAAGAATAAATTCTTGCCTTGCTTGACCATCGGTTCTTGCCAATGAAATGCAGGAAGGTAGCGCACGTATGCTATTAGACGACTTATGATCTGGTTCTTTCTGAGCTCGGACCCGGATGTACAGCACGCATAGTTGACCAATGCACTAAGCGACTCCAAATCGCGTTCTGTCTGTGGATGTACAAAATTTATGCAAAAATAAAACCAGCCGGTGAGATAGTGATACGCTTTATAATGAGCTACGAACAGATAACTAACCATGGCTCCCAGTGTCGTGGGGGCGTTGTTTCGCGTAAAAATACCAAAACCGCTATCGAGTGGAACGTCGGGACAAGATGACATGAGACGATCGATTTCGGTTTCGGTAGGAAGCGATCGCTGATCAGCCAGTACAATGGACAAGCTCTCGAGGATTTGACCATGTAAACTTCCGCATGTGGATCTAGCATAATTGCGGGACTCAGTCTTTTGGTTTTACCTTTATATGAACAAGTGAGCATATTAATGATAGAAGAAAACATTTACATCATTAAGAGAAAGTGTGATACGCGCAGGTAAGAGGATATGAGATATGTATAGTGCTGGTAGTATGTGACACAAAGAGCGAAATAAGCACGGTTTAGCAGCGGTAAAACAGTAAACTTATGGTTGTGGTTGTAATGTAAATTTTAAGTAATCAAAAACTTCATATTTTCATAATACATGAGCATCGGGTTTTCACCACTGCGTGTAGTAGTGCGCTCTATATCGCCATAGCGTTCGCAGAAATCGCGATGCGTCAGCACCTTGACGCTTTTATCGCTTCCAGCACGCGTGCCGCGACACACCAACAAGTACATGTCTCTCAACAGTTCAAAGTTGGTCGGAAAAAAGATATCAAACCAGCCGGGCTGGACCATGTATGTTGAGCATGGCACCATCGTGCCTCTGTACCGCGTCTGCACAACGGGTCCATCCACGCCTTCTACGGCATCGGGTAATTGTGAAAAGTCGGATAGGATCAGTCGATGGTGCGGGAAATGACGTTTGAGGGTTTCCAAGAACAAGAACAGTTTGGTCGGAATGAACTCGGGTGCTGTGAGGTTGGGGCCCAACGGCATCAGTTGCAAAAACTTGTGCCACAGCTGCCGTGACAGAATAGGGCTTCGGTATCGCGTTTGTTTCCGTGTTGCTAGGTAGCGTGAAATGAGCGCGTCATTACCGACCGGTTCGTAGAGTTCCGAATAGTCGCCCTTTTCGTCTATGCTGACGAGTGCTTGGTATGGTTGCAGTGTCTCCAAATCGTAGCGTATCACGTCATGTGCAAAGTTATCCTTAATGTGATAGCATCGTATGCATGCATGAGCGTTACAAATTGCGTACGGTATATGCCCTTTTTCTTAGACTTACAATGACTTCCATGCCCAAAAAGAAACACTCGTCGGGCACATGGATATCCCAGTCAAAGATACTCTTGTTGATGATCTTGACGCAGGTATGCTGTTCGGTCACGTCACGAACATCTTGACTTTCGGATTGACGCTCGGCAAGCTTGCCTGAGATTTCGATAATGTTGTACTGTGTGCGCTTGTAGACAGATGGCTCGTACTTTCGGATGTAATCGAGGATATTCATCATGAGCGTACCGTTACCAGCGCCCATTTCGTAGATAATCAAATCCTTGTGCGGATACAAGTTGAGCTTGTATTCCGAAACCATGTATTTTGCAACGGCGTAACCGTACCAAGGCTAACATTTGCAAAATACATTAATAAAACTGCAACAAGAATTGTGGAGGGAAGAACTAAGGAAGGAAGTGATAACCTTTCCCTCCCCATCCCCATGCGTAAATATTTACCTTGAAGAGTTCAGTAGGCGTGTGCCAGACCTGCCGTGCAACCTCGTCCACTTCATCGATCTCGCCTTCGATATCCTTGTACATCTTGGCCAGCAAGTCCATAAACTCCAAATGGTCCCGCAGCTCTGTAAAGTCAACATCCATTTCTGGCGAGAAGATAACAGCTTGCTTTGAAAAGTAGCCATAGTTGGGATTGTATAGACAATCGTCGATAAAGTCACGACTCAACATGCGCGTACGTGTCGGTGGAGTTTTGGCAGAAGCCACGTCCTCAGCCGTTTTCCGTGAATATTGTGGAATGGGCTTATGTTGTTGATCGTTAAAGAAGGGATCGAGTAGGCCATTGCGAGGGGCAATGACTTTGGCTGAATTAGTGGCGGTAGTAGTCTTTTGTTGTTGAGTCGCAAGCCATCGTCGTAGTTGACACGGTCGTAGTGATGCTCGCAGTTGTGTGGGTGATGAAGCTTCCGGGCGATGCTTCAGCAAGTTAGTAGCAGTAGTAGTAGCAGGACGTCGTGCCTGGAATAACAGCCGTCGTTGTAGGGTCATATACGAAACCAAAAACTTCAAAGATCTGGCAACATACAGCGCCACCCCCTTGGGTGTGCGCGAGAGCGAGAAGCTGGCCTTTTTAAATTCCGCTATAGCGAGTTATTAGTCAGGGCTTAAGAAGCCCAAGGTTGATCGACTCAGTTACTGTACCAACGAGCGTGTTTATCCGATAATAGAGACACACCCACAAAGCACATGTGTCATGTAAGTGTGTTTTAGTCGGTCTTATGTAGTACTAATCAATGCTGATATGATGATGATAAAGCTCCTCAGGGCAACAACAGTGCATCCACTCCAAGCAGCTATAATGACAGGTGTTGATTAGTTATTGCACTTGTGTGCGTCGGGGTTTTCCATTTCACATTTCAAATGAAAAATCCACGGCGGTATGTCGCAATTTGATCACTTTCTTTCACTTCTTTCATAAAACAAAAAAAAATGGTAAAACCTTGCTTTCCTCCTTTGCAGGCTGTGATTAGACCCGTATCTCTTACTCATCTACTCTATTGAACTGGATAGACCATCAAAGTTGGCGACATCGTATGTACACCTTCTCTCTCTCTAAAAGAAGAAAGCGAAAAGACGAGACACAAGAAAAAATAGTAGTGAAAACGCTTACTAAAATAATGACATGCTTTACCCCAGATTCCTGACGGTACCTTGCAGTACGTTCCCTACGACCCCAGCGAGTCATTGGAAGCCTGTCCTCGGTAAGTGCACGTAAAACAAAGGTTGCAAGTACGATCCGATGCTTACTGTCTATATTTTCTTTTGATGCGGCGGATGGTTAGTCCTTTGCCATACAAGATTCACGAAAAGTTAAAGGGCAAGAAGGCAATCATCTTTGCTATTCCCGGTAAGTCAGAAGTAAAAGCCTAACATGCGCTGCATATACAGTTGCTGACCAAAAAATCGTATCATAGGTCCATTCACACCCACCTGCTCTGAGGAACATGTTCCCGGTTTCATCCAGGCTGCCGATGCATTGCACGCCAAGGGTGTCAGCGACATCGTCTGCTTGTCTGTTGTGGACGGATTCATCATGAACGCTTTCGGCAAGGTCACCGGTAGCAAGGACAAGGTCATCATGGCTGGTGACGGAAGCGCCACCTTCTCCGCAGCATTGGGCTTGACGCAGGACTTGTCTCAGGGAGGCATGGGTGTTCGCTCCAAGCGCTTCGCCATCTTGGTTGACGACTTGAAGGTCACCTACGTGGGTGTCGAGGAGGCCAGAGGCGTTACCGTCTCGGGTGCCAATGCTGTCATGGCCAAGCTTTAAAGTCCATTTTATAAAATAAAAAAGGAGCTGTGCTTATATTCCCCCCACCACCACACCCTCCCTCTTTATTCTGCTCGGCAGCGGTATGGATTGTGAGGGCGAGATACATACAATTTCGTATTTTAGAGTGGAGCATGCTGTTCCGATTGCTATCACCGACTTTTGGTATATTTCTTGTTGGTGTTACACGAACTCGGTAGTATATAAAACGAGTGAGAACGGATAGTTTCTGCCTGTCAAAAAAAGCCCATAGCCTTCCACCTGAAACTAGGCAGCCTGCCGTGGCCGATGACTAGTGCTGTGAAGGTGCTGCTGCTGCCATCTGTGCAGGGCTCAAGACTTGGAAGCTAGAAAAGTTGGATCAACAGGCTTAATCTTGTCCAAGACCCCTTTTTGTCCTGGGGCGAGAAGCAACGTATTTTTCTTATGATTGCAGGGGACGGCGTCAAACCCATCGAAATAGTTACTGCATTGTTTGAATAAAGCGTACGCATACCCGTTGGGTCGAAGCAATCATATTCGCCAGAGGTTGCAGACGATACATAAAATATAAAAGCGCTGTCACACCTCAAAAGACCTGTTTACTCTTCAGTCATCATGCCAAAAAAGTGTAAGCACCCTGAAAGAAGAAGGTTACAACGCGTTTTCCTTATCCAATCTTCTTATACTGTGACATTCCTTAGATTACTGCGATTTTTGCAAGTGTTCTTTCCCTGACAATGTCACCAATCGCCAAAACCATATTAATGGAGCAGTGCACAAGGCGAATCGGAAACTTCATTACGACTGGTTCAAAGGTAGTTTTCTTTAAAGTTTGTGCAAGCCTTTGACACTCACCTGAAGAGATTGGCAAACAGATCCGGACGAATATATTCACGAACAAGCTAGTAAGCCACCGTGTCGTCGTTATTTGATGCAAGGCTATTGTGAATATCAACTCCAGTGTCGATACAGTCATATCACCTACGATCCGGCAGGTCGACCCATCTATCCCCCCGAACTGACAGCTTGGCTGCAGGAACGACAACAAGCCGATGCCACTGCACGTGCACAGGCGCCAGTGGCAACACCATCCATGGACAAGCCAAAATATCGTCTACCACGAGGATGGAAAGTGCGTGAGCTGCCACCGTCATTGAAGCCGCCACCACCTTCGCCACCGTATTCATGGTCTAATGCAGGTGTCTGGGGTTGATCGTAGATCACACGACGACGGGCTCTTAATTGTGCCACCTTTCAGTTCCCTTTCGCGTATATTTTTTTTTGTCATTCATTCTTCTCTGTATATAATTACATTTCACATTGACCATACCCATGTACAAAAGGCTACCTTCAACCGATACATTACTGAGCAAACCACCATATACAACAAATATACACGATCTCAAACACAACCTTGTCGATGAGCTAAAAAACCAAAACAATTTTCAAGCCGGCGAAGCGCTATTTGCGCACTTGCTGAAACGGCTACAGTTGCAGGACTCTTTCGGACAACCGGCCGACGTGTATAATCCAGACAAGCCCAAATACTTTCGAACAGAACGTCCATTCGGCTTTGCAGAAATCGGAAACTTTCGCAAAGCTGTAGTAACCATGATCCGATACTCACCGCATCCGGAAACAGGCCTAAAATATGCCAGTTTCTTACTCGAACAGATTGATCCACCCCTTCGCGATGGACATACCGAAATCACAGCCTTGATCAATCTAATATATATCTACAGCCACAGCGGCGCGGACGAGTATCTCAAGAATGCATTGGATTTCGTCAAGATTGGGCTTGACCGTGGGTTACATTTGTATCGAAAAAGTCATTATGAGGAGACTCGCACGTTCAAGGATTCCTCGTCCGTGTTCTCGTCAGTCTGCAAACCTATATTGCGATATCATAAGTTGCAACCCACACTTGATGGCAGAGGACTTGAGCCGTATGTATCTCCTGGCAAATAAATTCCACTTCTCCCCGCCCATCACCCTCTCAATCTACACTGATGATGATACCCTTGTTTGCATTTCTTCCCCCCGCCCGTTTCGGCTTCTTTGCCAAAAAAAAACAGACATCATTGCGTGTTGGTGTATTTGTCCTGAAGAATGGTTTTTGGTAATAAGCGAGGGAAAGAGAGTGAAAGAGAGAAGGCAGTGTGAGAGCAAGTGTATGTTTGTGTGTGAAAGGGAGAAGAGAAAGAAAGAACGCAGCTTATATAGGTGTATCTCATTTGGATGTATGTAATCCCATTCAATGCACCGTCGTTCCAACGATGATGCATTTATCGTCCATATCTATTAACACAAAGGCCATTTTGATCAATACACTCATTGCACACTTTCATAACGAGCCCTCCACAGACAGAGCAAAAAAGAAAGAAACTTACTTTTGCCATTCCCATTCACGGTTGTCCAAGGGACATACTTGACGACTCTTGAGCCAGCGGGATATACAGTGGAAATGGAAAGCGTGCTATAGCCGATAAGGAGAAAAACGCGTGTATCAGAAAGTGTTGATATAGAGCATGAGAGCTCGAGCAATAGAGAGAGAGAGAGAAAAACGCTACTTACGTTGCAAGTACCCCACGCGACTGTGCACTCTTCGGAAGTAGCCGAAGCCTGGTTCGCTTGACATTCAATACCTAAATGAAAAATATATTTTTAAGTCCTCTTACTACCTTTTACCACTAATTGATAGAGGGAATCAAAATACTACGTACATAAATCCATAATGTGATTTCTGCAAATGGCGCAATTATCGACGACAATGTCTATCGAAAAAAAAGCAAAAAGATTAGTTTAATGAACATGATTGACACGTTCAACATGAATAGATTCCTTTCAATTCTTGGTTCAGAGATAAAGATTAAAAGTACTTACCCCAAGCCCAGAGTGCAACAGCATTCCACTAGAAGATAAAAAGATAATAAGCGTCCATTGTTGGAAATCATTACAGATTGCGTGTGTGTGTGTGTGTGTGTGTATGTGTCTGTGTACACCGTGTTCCTGCAGAACACAAAAAAGTTTACCTTTTTGACTTCGAATCGCTTCTTATCACCAACGTCCTTGGCCTTTCCTTTGCCTTTGACGACTTCTTTTTGTTGTTCTGGCTCCTCACTCTGCTCGTTGGCAGGTGGAACGTCGTCAATATCCATGGGCGTTGACATTATGTGTGCGTTGTGTTGTTCGTTACTGCCAAAGAAAAAGGGTAGCGCAGTCGGCTTCAAGCAAAAAAGTAGGAATGGAAAATTCGGAGTTATGGGATACGTCATTGCTTTAAGTCGCGATTGACGATGCCACTGTCAACCCCTTCCAATGAATCCAGTTTACATGCAACAGTACGTTCAACGTATTATCACATATACATGGACATACGCTGTGTTTTCTATGAAAGAATTTAAGTCATAGCTCCCGATAGTAGCTACTTGGCACGATAAGGGTAAGCAACAGTGATAGGCTGAAATTAGTCGGCATGAGCGGCGCGAGGTGGCCCTTACTCGTTGTTGCCATTTTTGACTGATGTGATACGCACAAGCCCAAGTAGCATTTCTTACTGACTACAAGTCAAGCACTCTGTCTTCTTTCTCAGATACTATTTCTATTTAAAAGCTCTCCTCACCATCGTTTATAAGATCCCTTGGCTCATACTTTTCTGACGTATCTTTAAGCTGATCCTCCTTGCTCCTACTACTACTTTATCAACTTTATAATTCCATCTGATGATACAGCATACAACAGCCATAAATATAAGGCAAAGCTGCCAAAACATCCTGTGATATTCTGTAACAGATAACTTGTTGTTGAGCCTATTTTCAAGATAGCTGATACTAGCAGCAATCTCACCACCTCCTATATTGGTTATTGTCAATATTCTTGCAAAGTGTATAGCGGAATGACGACAACTTTTAAGCAGACCAAACAAACTATCATTATCCAATATTCAGCTAGAAAGCTACTCTCTCGGAATATTGGGTTCACATGTAAATACCGAGTACTTTTCTATGTTTGTGGGTAGAAAAAAGAAGGAGAACATATGAAGGCTCTGGTGACGACGACGCGGATAAGAATGTAATACTTTAAAAGAGAGATGGTAAATAATTCTCTATAACGACAACGCTGGTTCTTATGATAATTGGGTGACTGCAGCCAAATTCTCACGCAGTTTTCTTCTTTTCGCTCGGCATGAAACTTGTACCCACTATCCGCTCCAGCTGAATTTCTGAAAAATTTTGGCGTATTAGGAACTGTAACCGGGGAAAAATTAGCTGCCAGCTGAGACAGACTCCTCTCCCTTGATTGTGTGTAAGAAAGGGGGAACAGTTACCAATGATATCAGATGCTTCTCGTAATTGTGAGCATATAACAGAATGAGCCACGTTCGTTGACCGTGATGAGTCGCCAACCTTCTTTGTTCCTTCCGATTATATGCTGCTTACTATTACTACTACTACTGGTAGTAGTACTCTCTGGCGACATATGACACATTTCTGTAGAGTTCAGCGCTCGTGTTTTTTTTCTATCATTACTCAGTCCAGTCAACGGACAAGAAGAGCAAGTCGACGTCATTGCCAGTTTTCATAAAAGAAAGGAGGGCATGCGCATGGTGACAATCCAGCAATAAAAGATAATGCGCAAAATGGGTTACAATGACGTTCTCGTGGTACAACAACAATCCTCGCAAACCCATTGGGCAATCATTGCGGGGTACTCCCTCTCTTTCCTTTATTTTTGTAGCATCAGCAGCCTCATCCGTGGGCAACGTGCTGAGGAGTGGAGCAGGAGTGTGGAGAAAGAGAGATATGATGATGATGATGATGATGATGATCACGAGGCTGTCTGCAGTTTCCACCTAATAATGGAACCTAGCGTGCATTTTATCAATCTCCATAATGAAAACAAAAAGCTTAACAAAGAAAGACCAAGCTTCCATCAGCTTCCAGTAGATATTCCATGTAAAAGGAAAACAAGTAAGCTACTTGTAATGCCTTGTTGACATAGTGATGCAATGCAACTTAGCAGCACATAACAAGCTGTCTACTAATAAGAACCCTTCCGATTTCCTTACTATATTTTCTCTATAATTACTGCTGCTGCCTTGTGCAGCAACAAAAACAACACAGCTACATACATGATTTATATATACACTGTTGTTCCATCACAAGACCTTTGTCTGTTCCTTCCTTCTTTATACATATCTGTCCTATAAATATCTATTTAAAAAGCCCTTTTTCTGCGTGGCTGCGTAATAAATATTATCTCTCTGATTTTCTTTCCACGCTTACGCCGTTTCTTTTCTATTGCCAAAGCAGCAGCAACAAAAAACAATGCTTACGACATACCGACCCTCCTCATTATTGACATCATCCAATGTCGCTAATCTTCCTGGTGCAACGCGATCTTGTACACGCCTTGATGAAATTCTTTCATCTGCCTCTTCTTCTGCTACTACCACCACTACTATGGCAAAGTCATCCACCAGCAAAAGTAACGATAGCAACAATGACAACAGCGACGACCATGGCAACAAAAACTGCTTCATTGATAATGCTGATAAATCATCCCAGCAACAGCGACAGCGTCACGAAGAATCGATTGCTGATATAATGGAGGATGATGAAGACGACTACTACGACTACTACGACGATGACTCTACAACAACTGTGTTTCTCCAATACAAGCCATTCCGCTTATCTTCATTTTACCGTCGTCGGCGTTGCTCTCTTTTGGCATCCATGGACTCTTGTCGGATGGAGACAATATTTGAAGAGGAAGAAGAACAAGAATGAATCTGCATACAGCAGCAGTGTCCTTTCCCTCCCTCTCTCTCTATCTCTCTCTTATAGTATCCTTACTAATCCTCACTGTAAATGTATTATTCATCGTTACTCTTCTTCTTCTTCTTCCAATCACATCTTCATCGTCTCATTTGTATATACTTCTTTCCTTTTATTCGCTTTTTTCTCCATCATGTTATGTCGTTCTTTTTATAAAAAGAAACCTTTTTTTCTTCCTTCCTTGGCCCCCGTGACAGCAGCCAGCCCCGCCGCCACCTCTCTTTTGGACTTTCATGTGCAGCTTTTTTTTCCACCAGTGGTGGTCACGCGCACAAGCAAATGCTACTCCTCTCTCTCTCTCTCTTACAATACTTTACTCTCAAGTTGGTGTATGCAAAACAAAAAGTCGTGTTTATTCATTTTTTTCAAAACGGCGGAATGGATATAAAGATGATATGATGCTATGTATATGCCACAAGAAGATGGCTGTTTACAAGCAAGTTTTGAAAGTAGTATTTAAAGATAGAAAGGTAATTATAAGAATTGATCCACATCCTTCCACTTGAAGGCAAGGATGAGACCCATCGCCGCCAAAAAAGAAAAAGGAAAAAAAGAGCGTCGTTCTTCTGGCTAACAGCTACGGAAAGCTACTCCTGGTCGTCGTTGTTCACACGCTCGACAACGGCTGCATGTCGAATCACTATAGCAGAGAAATCATTATCAGTGATATGTGCGTAGTATATGAGGAGGACTGCATAAAAGGTACTATTATGCCGACGAAGCGGCTTTGACGATGATTACGACACAGAGCAAGCCAGCACATGAAATATAAAGCCGAACTTACGTGTAGTCTTTCCCGTGCGTTCGTTGGTGATATAATAGCATGGGTGGTCGGCCGTCGCGCTTCCCATCACTTTTCCACCAATGCCCTGCTTCTGAAGAAAATAGAAAAGACATTTCTTTTTCGTTACAAAGTTCTATCATATTTGTGTGCGCTCTTGTTGTGGGAGCAATGTGTACAGAAAGCACATTTACTGGCTTTGTCAAAACTTCTTGGATAGTTCCCTGAGACCGCGCTTCAACTAAACACACATGTAGGGTAGAACGTAGTCAGCCAGATCGGCTTAAAGAAAAATGCAGTCTGCATAGCACGGTCCATTGCGCAATTTTTTTTGTTGTTCATGTCTTACAATGCTTCAATGATTTGATAGGATGCAATACTTACTGCCTTCCAAAGGCTTATAAGCGACAAGTTCGCCTGCTTTGTAAATGCTAGCGGATCGTGTGGCTGTCATGATGTGTTTTTTTTCTGGTGGTACGATGAAAGTATGAATGGATGGATGGATGGGTGGCGTGGAAAGGAAAGGAAAGGAAAGGAAAAAAGAAAAAAGAGCGAGCTATTTGCGTGGACCCGTCAATCGCATGAACGCATCGCAGTTTTGTACTGTGTATGGTTTAAAAGGGCTGACTTGGTGTATATGCTTATCCTTCTCACACTCGTCACCGGTGCTTTGACGCTATAATGTCGTTGTTGTTTTTAGGGTGTGGGGGGGGGGGGCGTTCCAGGCCTTTTGCTATATCGCTCGCTGAATAGCAGAGATATGGAACAATGACAATATGTCACCAGTTTCACTTTAAATGTTCGCATTGCAGAACAAAGTAGCACAAGTATCTATTATGCCGCTACGACTAGGCTGTGACAACATCCACAAATTTTGTCAACTCTTTCGTCCTCTCTCTGTGTGTGTTGATTGAATAGAATCAAAAGTGTCGTGCTCCAGCTGAACATAAATGTATATCGCGTAAAACACGCGCAAAAGATCACTTTATCAAAGTAAATTTTATGCAATACAAAATAGTCAAGGAACGCAACAGTAATTGTATTCTTTTGGGGAAATGACGTCGTAATGCGATCACAACAACATAGAAACACTCTACTTATCATACAGCTCACAAGACAGAAGGTAAGTCTGAAGCACTACCGACTATTGTTGGGGCATGTAACCACTCGTAATCGCTGAGTTAGGTCCACAGCGAATCCACTGACCTGAGAGAGTACTGATGAGAAAGGTGCCTCATTTTTGCCATTATGGTTTCATAAAACAATTATATGTCCACAATGGTATTAGCGATACCCTATTTTTCTAGAAGCATTCTCGAACAGACAACTAATAACTTGATAAACTGCAATTGTGATGTACGCTGTCATTCATTAGCACTACAGCTATAGGCTCTAGTATCAGTTTCTTTATACCTGATATAATACTTAACATGCGACGTTTAAAGTAAAATGATGTTTACTTAACTATAGTTGGAACTATTATCCGTAAATGTGTATAGGCACAAACCCTCTGTAATCTTGACGCGAGTAGTGGGGAGGCTGTAACAAAAGTTTAAACATAAGACGCGAACACAAGTTGTACATTTCTTTCTGATACGGTAGATTATCTAGACTTCGACCCGGGCTTGTTATCAATCGTGTATTTTTCCCTTCAAAATTGCAGACTCTCTACCATCACCATGTCATACTTATTACTACGCTGTGGGATGATATTGATTATAGACGGTCGGTAAGCGGCACTACCCATGACCCGCCCCCCACTCTATGTATAATTTTTTTCCCCCTGCCAGTGGAAGGTTTGTATTCGAAAAATGCACAGTCCCTACCTGCATACCGTTGAGAGCACTATATACAGCATCCATTCATCTCAAACTTCTTTCAGAAAAGCATCACACATTGTTCGTTTGCTGTGCTAGAAATGCAAAGTCAAAGAAGACGTGCTCGTTAATGTATATCAAACAACAACTTTTCACTATCGTCAACATTTGTTAGTACACATGCTATTAGAAAGCAAACGTCGTCGCCGTCGTGTTGTGTTAAAGCACCGTAAAAATTAAAGTAAGCGTTTCGGTGAAGATTCGTTCTCAGGAACTTTAGCAGTAATTAAAAACGATTTGTCATAAGGAATACAAAAGTCTTTTAAAGTTGAAGATAAGAAGGGGAGGGTGATCGACTAAACCGGTGATCTTACTATGTCTATAAAGTACATGTGTCATTGATTATTTTAACCGGGTCATCTTTATTATACTATCACTACATAGCTAAAGTATTCACTTTTGGCGCCGGCGCGATGAATGATGTGCATACATATGAAGAATCTTGAATGCATTTACTGCAAGGAGTAACCCTTATATTCTACGCACATGATGACGCATGATGATCCATCACTTTTATCTATCTGTCTATACTGTTACTGTATATTTCCGCACCCAATTGTTGTTGGTGAGTATTCTCCTCGCCATTATCGTCGTCCTTTTTCACATTTGCTATGCAGTGATATCGTGGATAACGTATGAATGTACAGAGTTTTTGTACATTATGATATACTGTCATCAGGAAAAAGTTTTGTGCTGTATTGAGATGTTTTATGAAAGAGGGGCTCTCCTTTTGCTCACACACATCCCTTGGCCCTTCTCCTGTTTGCTGCGCGGTTAGGGTGGTGGTGGTTGAATAAAGACAATGCTGCACTATATGTCTTTTCCCCACTTATTACGCGACCCTGGACAATATTATTAGGAATCGATAACGAATGACCCAATAGCACGGACATAGAGCTCTGCTTTGATGTGAGAGCACGAATTCATCTACGTACGAAGACGGATCACCAAGATACCATGCTATTCTTGTGATTTGGTGATAGTAGAATGTAGCAAAAAGTAGTTGAGCTTAAAGTGCAAACAAAGCAAAAATGTCAGCTACTTGTCCTATTTGTATGTCTTTACAAAAAAGAATAGTTAGACAATAGGGTGGATACAATAGGTTACTCATCGTATATGTCAGTCTGAGAAAAAAAGATATAGTAGTGTATCTCCTTCCGTAATATTTTCGCGTTTATTTATGCTTTGTGTAGCCCAGGGATGATGTACAATTCAAACACTTAATATATATACAGCAGACAGCAGTAGATAGATAGATAGATAGATAGGTAGTAGTGATCTGACAGCATCATTTATCAAAAGATGCCAAACCAGGAAACAGCAGCAATTGCCCGAACGACTAGACCGAAAAAAAATGATGGGGTTTATGCAAAGAAAGTGTCCTCCTTGTCTCCGTCGTTTGTTCTGCTCACACCGAAAAATATGACCGCTCTACGATTATCACGCTGTCAGCATGATCTCTATTGTAAACAATAAGACATTTTATAAAAAGCATGATCTGTTTAGAAAAAAAAAAAAAAGAAATAGCCGCGGAAAAGTGCACAATAAAGAAAACTCATATGTTAGCAGCGGGCGAAAAGTTTCCCTTGCTGCTGATACAACTCCTCTTATTCATGTGCTTTTTGTGTAAGACGCATACTCTATATCTGTACATGATTATTAGTTTTCTCTATACGGCATGCGCATGTCTGGTTGGGGTCTTTGCATACCTTTGCAACAACAACAACAACAACGACGATTCTACAAATAAGTGCTACTCTACCTTGTTGCTCAATTGACTCCATGTTGTTGTTAAAGAAGGGCTCTCGTTATCCCCAGCCATTTTCCACTGGACAAAGAGTAATAAAAAAAAGCATGTGCGAATCGAATCCAGCCTAGTGCCATAGCTCCGCCCTAGGTTACATAATGCGCTTTTAGGTCTTTGAGAGCATGTCTCTTTTTACACGTGAAATATTTGAACGTAACATATTCCATTTGTGGAGCTCTCTACCCATTTTTTTATAGGTAAACCTTTCCCTCCCCCTTTCTTTTTCTTTCTTTCTTTCTTTCTTCTTAGACAGTGTCTGCAGTAAAAGACGTTTATTAAAACTACAACAGTCACTACAACAAATTAACGACCCTGAAAATACACAATATATCGTCATGGCAGCTCAACACCACCATGCCACCTCACCAATGTCCATAACCCAACTGTGCAATTTCGAAGAAGAACAAGAAAATAAGAATGGCGTCGTCATGACTGCTGGTGGTGCTAATGATGCCGATGTGCGATTAGCTGCGGAAGCACTCGGTGATATGGCACGTAGCGGAGGAGGTGCTATTGAAAATAAAGGTACCTCTTTTTCTCTTGTTACTTGGTGTACATAAAAGCCGGATCAAAGAGCCAACCCGCCCCCTCCCAACACGCTGCGATTGCTGCCATAGAGTACATGTATGATACATCACTCAATAATAATAATAATGACATATGTAGATAAGATCGTATTACCGCCGATTTCTTCACCGCCATCCATGCGATACTATTCATTCTCAAGCGATTCATCGGCCGCAACAACAATCACCGAAGACGAACACCATCTCCAGCAACAACAACTAATACAACAACAGCAGCAGGAACGCGTCTCTGACTATACCTTGGTCAATTCGGCATGGCGTGCATTCCAGTCGTCCAAAGAGTCTGTCAAGTATGGTGCAGAAATGGTCGAGTCTCTTGCTGCGCCTATCTATGAACGCTATGGCCCACGTCGTCCATCGATTCAAGTAACGTATTACAAATAGTTCTCTGTTTTAATTTGTTGAGAGAAAAAACTCACACACCCCAACTTTTTTTTTTTTTTTTGTTTGTGTGTATAACTAGGCAGAAGATGAAGACGAAGCTACAGTGGCGACGGCCAAGATACTGGCAAAAACATTCATTTCCGAACATCCGGAACGGAACTCGTTAAGGCATCGACGTGGCGATGGAGGTGTTAACAATGGTACCAGTAAGTTGTGTTGTAGTTGGGTCTATGGCGAAAATGTTGTGTAACCTCGCGTGCTGATGACAATGATGATGCTGATGATAGCCACACCGATACGATCACGCCCGTGCTCCCGGTCGACCTCGCCACACCGGCCTTACACGTTGAAGCCGAAATCGCCAGTACGCCATCAAAAGAACTTGCAAACCAGTCGATGGCATCAGCTCGTGCTTCACGCCGGCTCCGCAGCAGGTACTACGGCCGCCGTTGTCAGTGAAGAGAGCATGAAGTGCCTTCGCTATTGTCTTTCCTGGCTACAGGTTAGCTCTTTTTCTCTAATACTAATGCACTCCTGACATCTTTTCAATTTCCACTCACTTATCATGGCACACAATAGTATGCTATCCAACACATTGAGGGACAAATGGCACTACTGCGCAGCTACTTGGTGTCACTTGCCAGCGGCAGTAGCCATAAACCCAACAACAACAACAGCAGCAAAAACGTCGTACACCATCACCCACAGCAACATTCAAACGAAACACTCGCAGCGATTAAAAAAGAAATGGTCGACACGGTCCGAAAAGTAGTCGATGTGATCAGTCGCTATGCAAGCTCCAGTTTACCCGAACAAGCAAAGAACACGGTGCGAGGGTTCATTCTGGAACTGCCCAAACGGTGGAATACAGCCAACAGCAGCACAAGCCCATCTCCAGTGACAGGGCCCGATGATGACCCTCAACTGCATGAAACATCCATCAAGCTTCTGAACTTTGGTGGCGAGTCCATTGAGATGCTCGAGTCTGTGTCCAACGTTTTTTCAGATACGGTGGATCGTGCTGATCTGTGGCTTGACCGACTCCGCGTCATGGGTGTCGCCGGTACTGCTACTGGCAGTTACCACGACAACAACAACAGCGGGATGCGTTCCGAAGGACACTCGTCCTTGTCACCTCCTGCTCCGAGAAAGGACACCGTTGCGATGGATACCACTTGATAAAAAAAAATGTACCGCTTTCTGCCCTCCCCATTCCTCATTTACTTCATCCAATCATTCATTCATTCATTCGTCTTATACTTCTTTTTAACTACACCATCCTTCACTTGATATTTTACTTATAGTCCTAATAAAATACCCCCACTTCTAAGGACATGGAGCAAAAACAGCAAAGCCCAAAAAGAGTCTGTCCACGTGCGACAATCTTGATTCCTATAATGCACGTGTACTGTGATATGCACACGCGGTTGTTAGCTACAAGTCCCCATTGTTTACATGGTGCAGAGAGTGTCACAGTACTCTATTCTTTTATAATCATCACTGATAGCGAAAATCATAATTGTCGCTGGGCTAATCTGAATAGGGCATTGCAAACACACCCATTATCGGAGGTTTCGTTCCAGCTTATTGTTTAAATGACCGGACCTGCAAGTCGAACCAACAGAAACAAGCAGAAATGCAAAAACATGCAACAGAGCGTTTCTGATTCGGCAATCGGCTTGTGGAGGGTGTGCGCCGCTGTTTAATTTTACAAGGTCAGACGGGGCAAAAACACTCTCTGTAAATTACGCAGGTACATGCCAGCCAATTGGGAGCGACGGTTGTGCCCATCCGAGTTTCCGTACTTGGCAAACCCGATTTAAAAAAAGAAACCCCGGCCATGTACGATAACGCTTTGCATGCTTTGTTGACAGATGTATCATTTGTTTGTTTGTGCCTTTTTTGCGAATAAAAGAGAAGACAGAGAAGTTCTCCGAACAGGCGGGAATAGTAAGTAAAGTAACCTTGGGCTATTATACTGCTCAAGGCACAATCCACTCGGGCCTTTATCCGGCACAATCACGTTGGGTTATGTACAACACGTTTGAGAAGTTGGATTGACAGGGCACTCACTACCTTGAGAGTTTGAAGCTGCACACACAACATATATAATAGCTCAGGCACATGTTTCAATTCTCATCACACAATAGGGACAAAAGAAGAGACTGAAACAACAAACAACAACAACAGCAGCAAAGCAGCAAAGCAGCAAAATAAAAAAAAAATTATTTTGCACACGATATTGACCAATGAGATCCTCCAAGGCCGGCATGTTCGTCCCTTCTGGCACCGCATTTTGTGATCAAAGCAATCCCCCCTCCTTCCTTTGGAATTATTCGGCATTTTTATTAATAGTCCAACCCACCCACAGCCCTCTTCTTCTTCTTCTTCTTCTTCTTCTTTTCCTCCTCCCTTTTTCTTTCTCTTTTTTCATTCTGCATGTAAATAAAGCCAATGGTGAATACGCCCCCTTGCCATCCACCAAAAGACCCGTTCACTCTCATTCCCTTTACCCACAAAGTCGGCGGCCATGTCGCAATGTTCCGCCTGACCTCCAACGGCGCCATTTGCAAAGATGTAACTGCAACCAAAGAGCAGTCGTTTTACGAAGACCTGCAATACCATACCCAATTCTTACCGTTTATCCCCCGCTACATGGGCGTCATTCGCTTACCGTGTGAAAAGCAGCAGCATTCAGCAGAACAACGACGACTGCAACAACAACAACAACGACGACGACTACGACAAAGGAGAAGAAAAGCAATGTCAACCCCTACTAGTGGCTCAACAACAACAGCAACAACAAGTCAAAGAATCGAAGAATATACATCCGATTGTTCCTCTTCTCCAGAACTGCTTTACGACGACGACGACGAAGAAGAAGATGATTCGTTCGAAGACGACGATTTGGATGAAGAGCATGTGGAACGCCGGCGGACTTTTCCGACAGAGCCGGAAGCAGCAGCGGCAACAATAAGCAAAAAGATCGTGTTGAGCAGGATCCGACATGCTTTGGACAAACACAGCAGCAGCGGTCCCAGCAGTCGGCAGGCACAGCAGCTCCTTGTCGACAGGGGGATTGGCCAGGAGTTCATTGTAATTGAGGATCTGACGGTCAACATGAAGAAGCCCTGTGTGCTGGATCTCAAAATGGGAACTCGACAACACGGCGTTTATGCTTCCGCGGCTAAAAGGGCCAGCCAGACTTTGAAATGCGAACGGTCGACCAGTCGATGCTTGGGTGTCCGTATGTGCGGAATGCAGGTATGAAAGTGGGGCCCCACTTGTCATGGGAAGGGGAGGAGGACACGTTAGAATCTTTTCTAAGTCCAAGAACTCATCCATTGTTTTATTTATTAGGTTTACAAGGTTAACCGACGTGCATATGACGTGCAGGACAAGTACGTTGGGCGGAATCTCACGCCCCAGTCGTTCTATGAGACGCTGCGGTACTTTCTGCATGACGGCCAACGGCTCTTGACGCGACACATCCCGGCGCTACTACGAAAGCTGCGTCGACTGGTGCTGTTGATCCAGTCACTGCCGGGCTACCGCTTCTTTGGCTCAAGTCTGCTCATCATCTACGACGGCATGGATCCGTCGTGCCCCATGGATCTGCGGATTATTGATTTTGCGCATTGTGTCACTCTGAAGGAGATGCAGACGAGTATCAATGACATGAGCTGGCCACCCGAATCGCCGGATGGGCCTGACCGTGGCTACCTTTTGGGCTTGCAGACGCTAATTCATGCTTTTGAGCAAATGTACAGTTCTACTACTATTATTACTACCACCACTGCCTCTTCCCATTAGTCCCACCTGTCGTTATAATCTATCATACCCCCCCCCCTCACTCACTCACTCACTCTTTATTGTCTTTTACCTCATCTTCTCTCCACGCTTTTGCCTCTTTTCTCTGTGCCATATTTTTTCTTTCTTTTTCCATCTGTACTTAGCACTCTTTTCTAATTTTGTGTATCTATTCTGCCGTCTTTGCTTTGCCCAATAAAAACTCCATTGTTTCATTTTCCATTGCGCACAATAAACTCCTTCTTTTTCCTGCTTTTCCCTCTTTTTTTAAAAGAAAATGACAGGGGACAGTACAACACAACATGAACAAGGACAAGAACAGCAGCAGCAGCAACAACAACAACAAGAAGACCAGCAACGGTCCTTGTTGGACAGAATCCATCCATTGGACGACGAGCAAGTGCGTCATCGTGTTCAAGCTGTTATCCAAGACCGTAATCAACGCATGAAAGGTTTTTCCCCTTCACTCATCCCATTCGAATAATAACACAGACAGCGTGGCTAAATAACTTTTTCATGCAGAGGCCTTTTCAAAGATGTATCATCTGTTGCAACAGGTGGTGGATTTGATCCAAGCGTATGCAAACGCCCAAGACCAGCTTGCATTACAAGAGATGGAGCACGAACTGGGCATGATCCATATGATGGAAACACAGCAAGGTTTTTCTTTCTTTCTCTCTGTCTCTTTTGGATCATTGGCATTCACTTGTTTATTATATATAACCAACTGGGTCTTTTTCTTTTTTTTTTTTTCAGAACGACTACGTGATCAGATTGTTCGCTTCATCCAAGCCACGTCGTCCTCGTTTGAAGAGATCTTTAGCGAGTCACCCACACCACCGCCATCCACTACTGCCTCCACTACCAACAACAACAACAACAACAACCCTCCATGATTGTGAATAAAAAAGAAAGAGGAAGGGGGTTGCAGGTACAGCAACAGCCTTCCGTACCATTTTAAAAAGGGCAAATTGTTTGGCATACAGGATTTCCACCAATGTTTGGCGCCATTTGGCCGATGGGGGGATTTAATACTTGGCGTGTGACATTTTGGCATGAACAGAATTTCAGTTTGGCGGCGCATGAATTATTGATTTGGCAGTTGGTTTATCATACAAGCAGGAAATTCATGGGAGCGCAGCATATTTAATTTCAAACAGCTTGCCCCATGAGATCGGCGCACGCCATAATCTAATGGACAAGTATGATAACTTTACATTGGATGCAATTGTGCAGGAGATGCGAAAGGTAGTATTGATCTCTTTTGGTTGAGGGAATGACAGCAATAGATAACGAAATAGTTGGATAAGGGAAATATTCGCTGACTTGTGTGTATGATATAATGTATATGCGGGAAATGCACCTATAGAATGATATTCGATTATCGTTAATAGCACCAAACAAGGGATTGAAGGAGTTTGAGCGCATGGTGACTGAAGTATGTGCACTTGTTTATTGGTGTTTTTGGGATAAGAAAGAGGAGTGCGGGCCTATGCTGTTCCATACTAGTGCTCTAACCTTATGGCTTTGAATGGTGGGGAAATTTAAAAAGGTCAATGACAGCAAAGCAGAGCTGCATACAGTAACAGAACCAATCTCGCCTGATTACATTGTCCAACTTGCTGGATTCAAGTTGCCTGTGCCAGCACCAGCGCCCGTTATGGATGATAAGAAACAAGTAGCTTCAAAGCGAGTAGCAGATTCAAGTGCTGCTGCTGCAACGTCGCCACAATCGGTATCGTCTACGGATTCAAACATAAAACGGAAACGAGACAATGTTCCTGGGCAAATCAATCTTCCGAAGGCTACAGTGGATCCTGCTAAATTTGCCCAAGTGCACCAAAAGCATTTGAACGCTGTTAATGCAGCACCTACAACACAGCAGCAACAGCCACAAATTAAACGGGAGCCGAATGCGCCACCAAAGCAGCAGCAGCCTAATATCTCGATGGAGCAACAGCACATGTCTGCTACGATGGCACAGCAAAATATGATGGCAAGACCGCCGCAGAAAGCAGAGAGCGTATCTTCGTCTCCATCTGTCAAGGCCACGCCACCACAGCAGCCTCTGCAACAGCCAACACCACAACCACCACAACAGCCGACCCCTCTTCCTCCTCAACCTACCATGCCCCCTCAACAGCAAGCTTCACAGTCTCAAAGACAAATGGCACCTCAACAACGACCGCCACCACTGCCGCAACAGCAGCAGTTACCACAGCAGTTCCAAAATACACCACCGCAGCAACAGCTCACTCCCCAACAGCAGCCACAGCAGCCACAAGCAGGTATGCCTCAGCAACTGTGTGATGATAGAGCTTTAATAAAGATAATAAGGGACAAGATTAAGTATCTTTGAGAGATTATTTTTAATTCCAACAAAAGATAAAGCTCTTTTATATTCTAGCTATCAAGACGGCGATATCAATTCATCCGACTAATGGATAAACTATGTGATAGAGGATGGATCAAGGGCGTATCAGAACTTCTCCTGAAGAGCGTTATGTTAATCGGGCACATCTTTGAAACCGGCGTTAGCTGATGTAATGGCCGAGGTACCTGTTGATAGGTTTATTGTCCTGCTCACGTAAGGTGAATCATCCGAGTAAGAGGTTTTATTCAATAGTGTTTAGCCGGAGTGTCGTAGTGTTCATACGTGTGTGCTATAATGTTTAACCGAATATCTTATTGTTGATATCTTAAGCAGTGTATTAATGTGGCTCACCACAAACTGCAACAGCCACAACAGGTGCAACAGCCACAAGCGCTGGATAGTGCTAATCAACGATTGTTCAGTTCAGCAAACATGAACGGCAGTGGTGCACCCATGAGTGGTGCCCAAACTATCGCTACTTCATCGCCTATGGCAATCAATGCACCTGGTGGCATACCAACGAGTATGCAGGGTAGACCACCGGATGCAAGTCAAGCAATGACCACGGCGCAACAGTTGCAAGGAGCTTTAGCACAACAAGAACAGGTGGTTTCTAGTAGCTCACATTGACAATAAAAAAGTTGATGATTCTAAAAAAGTATTATCAGAATTTAATGAAAAAATAAATATATAGTAACCATCTGTTCACCCATTAATGGTGTGCTTCAAACTTTAAACGTGATTGCTCAAACAACAGTTCCTGCTGTCTCAGAAGCTCCTCTTCCGATATCCCCGTCTTTTCCAATCGCGAACTTCGTTTATCGCGATCCTAACAAACAATGCCACTTGTAAGCCTTTGCTTATTATACTACTAACAGTGTGAGGGTTAGGCGCCTCTCCGATGATACCTTTTGTTGCTGTCGATGCTCCTTGTACACCTCTTCCACATCCTCCACATAGTCTTCGAATCCAAGCTCTTTCAACGCCGAAATAACATGCTCTCCTGCTATCGTCTTTTTCGTCTCTCGATCGGCTATTTCGTTCGATTCTGATGCTATCAAATGAATGAACTCTTTTGTATAGCATAATCAGTCATCAAAGTATCATGTTTGCTCCTCTTTATTTAAGCATGATTTACCAACACAAGAGTCAATGAGCAAATCTCGGGCTTCTTTGGAACAAACAATATCGCTCGGCATCATTTCGTTAATGAGCTTCATTACTGTCGCTAATAAACGAGTATATATGTATACACACAGACGTATGCGTGACAGTTTAGACTACATATTTCTTTTCTTTTTCTTTTTGAAAGCTGTTCGTTGTTGGACTCTTGTGAAAAAAAAAGGTACAAAAGGAATAGATCAACCTTTAGGTAGTGATAGCTCGTCATCACCCGTAGGACCAGAACGTTCATTGTCACTACTCATTTTGTGTCTTTCTTTTTGGGAGAGTGAAGAAAAAGCAAAGAAAGAGAGTAGTAGCCTCATATGCAGCTTTTGTTCCCGCATGATCTACGTTTGGTTTTCCGCCCACCCCGTTGTCCTTTGTGCGAGGAACCCCCTGAGTGTTGCATGAGTTGCTCGTAATAACCAGAGCTCAAGTGTTCTGTGTGTGTACTTCATCATATCTTTTCTGTTATAGTAAGCAACTACCCTACTACCATGAGCTGATCTGTTTCAAGCTACTTTCTTTATACAAAAAAGAGACCATCTTGGCCATGATACATATGATACAGATTTCGACAATAGTAGTGGTGGTACAACATAGCATCATTATGGTAAGGAAGGCAGTGCTATGGATATCGAGTGCTCTTTGCTAAACATGCTTTGTTCTGTTCTGAGAGTCACTCGCACAAACAAAGCAAGGCTTCATCATTTTTTCAATCAAAGCTACTTTGCTAGTTCCAAGATGGCTACTGTTAATGAAGGAAGAGTACAGGGAGTTAGCACACGTCAATTTTTGTTATGTTATTCGGCCGGGGCTGGTTCGCAAGTAGCCAGAAGGGCGAGAGAGCATAGACTCCGGTCTAATAAGAGGTTGGGCAACCTTTTTTTTTAATATTCAGAATACCAGACTTGTGTGTGTGCGTGTAGCGCTTTGTCCCGCAACACCCCCCCCCAACCCTCTAGCATAAGCTTAAACAGGTACACACTATTTTCTTATTCTCTACTTGATCACAACACACCATCCGTGAAAAAAAACACCAATTGCTTAAAGTATATTTGTTCTGGCGCCCCCTAGATGGAAGGTACTGCGCGTCGAAAGTCATCGACGGGTACGCCAGCACCAAAGAAAAATACAGATTGGCTCGTTGGTCGACGAATCAAGATCAAGACAGCATCCAATGAAGAGATCCAAGGACGCATCTATACCTACGATCGCATGACAAACAGCATTGCGCTTGATATCCTTTTTCTTCGTTTCTTCTTCTTCTTCTTATTGTCTTTCTGTATATAGAATAGATATCTACTGCGTGTGTGCGCATATACAATGGGAAACGGAAAAGAGGAACGAGATTAGAGACAGACTGTATTACACACAACGTATACCCTTAACTCTGGCTCACCTAATACAGTGCTCGCCCGATAATACACAACATCAAAGCCGGAAAGGTCTTCCGTTCCGTATCATTAAAATCTCGCATATCAAAGAAGTCTTGGCGAACGACGAAGGCAACAGCAGTGGAGGCGGCGATGGAGGGAACTACTTACCTATCAGTTATGTACATGTGGAACGGTTGGATGCACGCGAATCGAGCGGTGTCAAGCATATGCGACAACGGGTTGCAAAGATGGGTGTTGGCGTGACAAAGGAGGCACAAGACATTTTTGATGCATTAAGCAAAACGTAAGACATTTCGGCGGGGCAGGGAAAGAAGAGAGCCTTACAAAAAAAGAAAAAAGAGCAGATAGAGAAACTGACATGGATTGCATTGGGGGCCATGTTAGATTGCCATGCCGTTGGTCGAACGATATCATTGTGGTCCTGGATGAAGTCCTGATTCAGCCTCCGTATGGTATCGAAAATTGTAAAGCAAATGCGTCTTCTGCAGCATCTTTGGCTCGTGTAAAGAAAGTGGTAGGGCTGAACTCATCATTTCTGCTGACAGAACGACTCTTGCCAAACAAATTGAATTTTACTCATACATTTTTTAAACTGTTCATAGTTGGAAGGTGAAAGGAGAAGGCTGGAGCGATCATCATCAAAGAAGTAAAATAAAAATTTCCTTTTTAAGCAACTCATCCCAACAAGCCACGGTGCAACTTCCGCTTCCCCCTCCTTTCTGTCTCTCTCTCTTTTTTTTTTTTACCTCGTCTTTCATATATACATATATATACCTCTAAAGTTAAATGCTGGAAAAGTGGGACGATTCCTTTGCTAAAACACAACTCGAAAAATACGGTTGGAAAAAGTAAAAAAAAAAAAAAAAGATTTGGCTTAACTTTATACATGAAAGTTTATTGATCTTTTTTTATTCATGAACCTCAGTGGCGAAGGTTTAGGCAAAGATAAGCATGGTAACGCCAAACACATTGCTGTCAAAGTAAAGAATGATACCAAAGGTGTTGGCAAGAACCAAGAACAGTGGGACTTTGCTTGGTGGGATCACTTGTATAACAAAAGTGCCAGCTCAGTGAGCGTTGAAAAAGACCCAGAGGGCAGTGAGGTGAGAGAGTGCTTATAATAATAAAACAATTGCCATTTCGAATGATTTATTAGTTACTTAAACTACTTTACAATGTCAATTATTTCTAGATCCGAATCGCAACCAAGAAAAAGAGTGAAAATCGCAAATCGGAAACTGGTATTCTGAGTACGTATCGTCCTACTGCTAATTCTCGAGGCACCAAGGAATCGTCCGCACCATCTTCTCCTGCATCGTCCATGTCTGCCGTTGCCGATCAGGCCAACCTGATGGATTCGGTGAAACAGGTGCATTCTAGCATGGCACAAACAATTGCTCGATCGTCATTGTACAGTGGATTTGTCAAGAGTGCGGCTACGCTTGTCCCGTAAGTACTATAAAGTGGGGAGTTGCAAGAAACATAAACTGTGATGGAAAAATGTTGGATTTCTTATATAAACTTACCCCACCCCTTTTTCTTACTATAATAGTTCGGATGAAACGGCAACGCCTAAATCCAGCTCGACATCTTCCAGCAATACAAGCAGCGATAACGATGACGACGACGACGATGACGATGGAAAAGATTATTCAATGAAAATGACAGACGCCGAATTGTTTGCAGCATGTGAAGGACGTACAGCACGAAAGGGTGGTCTGGGTCTGGTAGAACAAAAGGGCAAATATGCTCGTGTCATGCAGGATTATCTTGCTCATGACAAGAGCAAAGACGACGTCAAGGACGACAGCAAGAAGCGGAAACGGGATAATGATACAAAGGTCGAGATGAAGAAGAAGACGAAGGGTGAGGACGGTGAGGAAAAAGAAAAGAAGAAAAAGAAGAAGAGCAAAGACGACGGAGAAGACAAGAAAAAGGACAAGAAGAAAAAGAAAAAGAGCAAAGAGAGCAACGAGAAGAAGGACAAGAAGAAGAAAAAGAAAGAAAAGAAGAGCGATTAGAAAGATATCCCACCCCCACTCATCCACCACTCCAACCATAACATACATTCATCATCCATCCCCACCCTCCACATCATTGAATTTACACTTTGATTTTTTGCATTTCCCTATAGTTTTTTATTTAATACATGTACACTGTTCAACTTGTTATTGTATCTGTGTGCTGTTGAACTTGTGTGGTCAGGCAAGAGCCCCGTCATATCTAAACCGGCGGAGACCATGTCAATAAGCAACCGTCGTAATAGTAATTTAAAGAACAAGTTGCTGCTTTGCTGAATGTCTGATGGGCGAGTTACACAAACCCTTTGCCACACTATCCTGACCCGTATATATACTGCCATTGAAAAAATTTGTTGCCATGACAACCAGTTGTTGTCAAAGGGGGTTCCTTCCCAACTTGAAAGCATACGAGGAGCGACTTGCTGCTGCTACTGCTGCTCTCTCACACAGAAGTCTGAACAGAGGTATTTGATTTATCATTTTCATTATTTCAAGTAGAAAGTGTTGGGCAGGATGTCCCCAAAGGAGTCCAGCGAATGCCATTTCAACCGAGGAAAAAAAAAGAAACTCTTCTTTTTTTCTCGAATGACAAAAACGCTTGGGATCAGCAATGGAGGTATAGGTAATCTTGTTTCTGTATGACTCAAGCTCTGTCAATGGACAGCCCATAAAGAAGCTGTGTGGAAAGATGAAGAATAAAAACCATAAAGCTCTTTTCTTCCTTTTTCCTGACAGAGGATCTAAGGCAGAAACGGTTTAAAGAAAAAACACAAAACGCGAGAAATAACTTCTTTTATAGAGACACAAAAAAAAATTTTTTTTTTTTTTTTGGACGGAGATTACGAGAGAGAGAGAGATGGGGTATTATTGATGAGCCCTCCCCTCACGCCACACAAATTCCATTGGAAAGCACTGCCATAATAACTACCCAGGCAACATGCATAGCCACTAAAAGCAGGCTATGAGAAACGCTCTCACTATTATAATGAAAAGGGAGTTAGAAACTTGAACATAAAAGAAGATGATATGCTCACTTGCCTATAAAAATCCATCATGGCAAGAATGATGACGGGGTAAAGAATGGCGGGCGAAGGAGCGTATGGATAGCATGGATAAGTGCAAGTAGCAATCTAACACATGCTCGTGTTAGCACATATCACTAGGTCCATTTTGGTGAGTAAATTGATATATACCTTTAGGAAAGCAGTGATGCTCTTGACTGTACGTACACCCATATCGCTTCTGAGCCCCTCTGCTTCTGTAGCAGGCGCAGAAGGACCTGTCAAACTGCCACTGCCAATAAGAAACTCATTGTCGCTATCATCCTCACAATCCGTATCCTTCTTTCTCCTTTTACTGGTAGCAGACCCTTGACTGCTCTCTCGCTTGACGTTGCGGCTTGGTCCAGCATTATCTTGTTCAATTTCTTCCATCAAAGAATCCATCAGTCCATCCGTTCCTTCACCCGACCCTTGTTGGTGATGATACTGTGATCCATCATCATTCATCTTGATCTCTTCGTCAGCTGGAATGGCTTGAATTTTGCTTCCAATATCCAGCACCGAAGGCTCGTTCTTGATCATATTGGGCGAGAAGAATCCGTCTTGCGTTCGCCAAGAAGAGCGTCTGGCTCTTTTCATTTTGGAAGATGTTGGCGAGGTGCCCTTACCATTACATCCTTGTGTTGTTGTTGTTGTTGTTGTTGTTGTATCCGTAGTAGCGGCACCAGTAGTTGTTGTAGCACTTGATCCAAACATGGTTGATTCATCCACATACAATGGCTGCGGCATTTGTCGAAGTTTGGAGAGTATCTCTTCACATGAAGGTCGTTTGTCTGGATCTGTCGATAATAGCATGCGAATCAAAAGTTTAAGTTCGGGAGGGATGTGCTCGGGTACGTCTTGATGTCGCATCGCTTCAGAAAGTGTAGGATCGGATAGGTTCTGTTGATTCTTGTAGATATCGAACCTGTTTTTGGGAAATTCCACTCTGTAATACAACACATCCAAGATTCAGTATGAATGACACTTTTTGCCTCCTATCAGAAAGATATATATATTACTACTTACTCTCGGATCGACAGAATCTCTTCCTGCAACAGATCAATGTCATCCACATTGGTATAGGGCAGTCGGGTGTAGCATAGATAGTACAAGACCATCCCTAGTGACCACATATCTGCTTTGGGGGAGAACTCTTTCATATGGCGTCCACGTGGATCCATGCGAACATGTTCTGGAGCCATAAACTCAAGTGTGCCTGTTGCGCCTGTTCGATCATTATCTGGAACGCCTTCCAGATCCTCACACTCACCGAAATCAGAGATGAGCACGCGTGGACTGAAAAGCAAACAATACACAATGATGAGTATCTTTCCTCCCCCGTGTATCCATGATTAACGTAACACATATCAGCAAGTGATAAAATAAAAGGGCTCACATGCCACGAAAATCAAAAGCACCGCGCCATTCGTTCGGTTGATCGTGAGCGCGCTTCCGCTCATCCCACTTTAGCAGCAAGTTTGGAGGCTTCAGATCACGATGGACAATATTTTGTTGATGCAAATGCGCTAACCCTTCAACGATATCCAGAAACAGCGACCAGATTTCTGGCATGCTCAGCAGCCTTTTCTGGGTATGCGTGGATGGTGCACTTTCTTGTGTCGTCTGCTGGTGTTCCTGCAGCTGGCGTTTGATACGTTCTCGTTTTCTCTGCTTTGCTGATTTAGGTGCTTCTGGCTTTGACGACGACGACGGCTTTTCTGTGGTTGAGGGCAATATTTCTGGTTCCATATACTCTTCCAAATTGCCACCGTTGGCGCATTCCTATAGCATCCGATAAGGAAAAATCATCCCTCTGTACAATTCACTCAAATGTTCTTTCCTTTCTCCAGTTGCTTTAAATAAATCCTTTATAGCCGAATCAGTTCCTTACCATGAGGATAAATAAGCACGGTATTTCAGGTCCTTTAGAGCAACTACGTTAGTACTATAACCAAAAGCAAAGATATATACAAATGCTTTACCAAATGGTGTCAATCGATTGTATTCGAGCCACGCGTGCTTGTAGCTTATGATGTTTGGATGGCGAAGGCGTTCCAGCAGATGCACCTCCCTCAACATCTTAACCAGCCAAGGGTGATTGTTGCCAACAGCAACCTTTTTGACGGCGTATTTCCCCAACTTGACTCCATCAAGCTCATGCTAATCACAATAATTATATGAGTGTTAGTCCGTGACCACTTCCCCTCTCTTTTTCCAAAAGAAGCTCATATTACCTCACACAGGTATACACTGCCTCGGAATCCACGACCGAGCTTTTTCCTCTCAACAAAGAATTTTTCATAATATCCCTCGTTGAATGCATTAGCATTTAGACGGATATTACTCACAAGTGGTGGCGTCGTGCTTGTTTGACCATGGGTTGTACGAGGTGATCTGGGAAAAATCCATATATTTGATAGATTAGACAACGTGGAACCTTGAATAGATGCTTGACACATTCATCAAGATATTAAAAAAGCCTTACTGCACAGGAGTAGTTGATGCAAGTAATCGAAAGTAATTTCGATCCATAAAATCCGGCTCATTATTCTGATAGGATCCCTTAAAATATCGTTAGGGTTCTAATAAACAACACTCCAAGAAAAATGAAGCTTACTTACCTCTTCAGAATTGGTGTTTTGTCGCGGGAACGGTCGATGACAAAGTGGACATTCGCCCGAAGAAGGAGTCAGCTATTACATCATGTCATTGTTAAAAAAGGAGAGTAGAAATGCGCCTGAATGAAAAAAAAAGCGTGTTACCAGCATAGAAGAAGAGGATGATGTATCTTGCGTTTCACTTGGTACTTGTTGACGGACAGTCACCATCCGGCTTTCTCGATTATAGAGCACCATTTGACCGCTTACATCGTTCTTACTAAACAATTCCCCATTAAAGTTATTCCTTTCTCCTTCTTCTCAAAAAGAAACGGTTGTATCTCTTTCATATATTTTTGTTTTGAGTGCTATTGCCCTCGCACACAGACCCACACACTTTTTTTAATATATAATTTTCCATGTGAACACATACGAGATTACTGTCCATTCGCGATATGGAACAATCTCAAACGAGGAACGAGAAGGTGATAATGGAGCAATGGCCATAATGTCGGACGGATTGTACTCTGGTGATGGGGCTGATAAAATAGAAGATGACAATGCCGTTACCAAGGCTGGGTCAGGTTGTTGTTGTTGATAACTTGTAGAGCGAGAGCGTTGTCGTCCCATGGCTACTGACGATGGCGCGTCTACTGCTAGTGGTATGGGTGGTGTTGTTGCAGCTCCAGTCAATGGGTGAGTGAGGAATCTATGGCGAGGACTGGTAGGTGAAGGTTCATAATCGCTTGGCAAGTAAGGTAGCGGGAGTGGTACTCGAGTAGTATGCTCAGGACGATTCAGCTGCACTTCGGCCTCGCTGGACCTCCGAGCATTGCGATGATCGTTTTCTTGCATAGGCACTGTTTCTTTTTATTAAAAAACGGGAAAAGTATATATATAAAAACGTGTGAGTGTCAAAAAGGCTGTGTTGGTGGGAATTTTAAACTGCATGAATTTTTATCTTTTAGTTGGAGCGGCATTTTTCTCTCACACCACTTTATCGCAATGGGAATACCACTACCACTAGAAACGCAACTATATACAGCATCCCACTCTCTATTGTTCTTTCATGCTACATCCCGTGAGAATTCTCTGTACTACTCTATGCAAATGACTTTTATAAGATTAAGTCCTTTAGTAGTATCGGCATTGTCAAAGTCAATAATTTTACTCATCGTCAGCTCAAGAATGTAAGACGATCGCTGCCACCATAATTGTTCAGCGTTTGGCAGTGTTGCTTTTAAAGTGACGGACCTATTGTTTGTATTGAGTGCATTGACAATTGCAGAAGGTACCTCGTTCTTTATTAATAGAGTTGCACGTGTGTCACGTTGCTTAACAACACCTGTCAGTTATGATAGTACTACTCCTCCAAAGCAATCCATTGCCAATAGCCAAAGGAATCTGCTCAGTAATTCAATACTGGCCGCCTATTCATCACTCTTGAATACTGACATCCATTTCAATTGTAGTAAGTCTTACTAGACTGGAATGGCTTGTAGCTAACAAAGAAGCAACGGGCGATCACTTCATACCAAATCAAATCAATACTATCGAGTCAGCGTAACCATAGCAACATCAATCTTGAATCTGGTTGCTGTGGCAATAAATGGATCTGCAAAGAAACAACCACCAAACGCGAAAGGCTTTTGATACGGACACCCCCCTCTGATCCTTACGGACACCCCCTTCTATTTTTAATCCTCATCAGGTTACACACATCCTATAAATATATACTTGTGGGGGCTGGATTTGTTCACTTGTTATTGTTATTATACATCTTTCGATATATAACAAAAAGGAACCATAAAAAGTACATGAAAAACATTCCTTAATGCTTTTCAAACTCTCTAGGGTGTCTCTACGGATGTGTTTATGTGCAGTAGTTTATACAAGTATACAAATGCTCCTCAATAAACAGTATACTTTGATATTATATCTTCAACTTTCTACCTACGTTTATCATCCTACTATCCCAACACTATGGAGCAATTGATTGACACTACTTATACCGGATCAAATAAGCAAATTGTGAAAGCAATCAACGAGCAAGCCAGAGAATACAACTTTGCGGTTTCAACTAAACGAAGTGAGAAGAACGTAAAAATCGTGATCCAGTGCGTACATGGTGGAAGCTATCGCAATACACATGGAGTAACTGAAGAGACGCGGGGACGCCAAACAGCGACGAAAACGACCGGCTGCCAATGGACCATGAACCTAAGGTGGTCCGAGAAGGATAAGCACTGGAAAGTAACGAAGGTCAGCAACGACAATGAGCACAACCACTCCCTCGACAAGCCTCCTCAGTATTACCACCAACACCGCACGCCAACTCTCCACGCCGAGCAGCAAATATTATCATTGACAGATAATTCCGTCAGGCCCCTCATGATACATCGAGAAGTCCAGAACCACAAAGACGGCGCAATTATGACCATGAGGGATCTATACAATTTTCGTGCGCAAATATTCCGTGAGGATAATCATGGCGGCTTCAGTAGGATATTCGAGTTCCTCATTGGTAACAACTATATCACTAGATATAAGCCAGACGGCACAGGTAAAAGTCTCGACGCCCTTTTTTTTACCCATGAAACGAGTATAGCAAAAGCACGACGATTCAATGAGATCATTGCTATCGATGCGACGTACAAAACGAGCAGAACCAATATGCCTCTTGTCAATGTTGTTGGTGTCAGTCATCTCGGTGCATCAAAGCTCAAGAACGTGCTTATTGCCTCTGCTTTCTTGGTAAACGAGAAAGAAGAGTCGTACACCTGGCTCCTTCGGACTATGCGACAAGTCATATGACCAGAAGGAAACGTACGCATCTTCATTACGGACAACGAAAGAGCTTTAATCAACGCCATCGAGTCAACTTTCAAAGATGCAGAGCATATACTACTTTGCGGGTGGCATATGGAGCAGCATTTACGTAGCATTTTCAGTACTTGCTTTCCACCGAACAGCGAAGAGATAGGCGAAGCCAAAGCTATCATTAAGCAAATGGTTTATGTTGGTAAAAAAGACGAAGCGACTTTCCAGGCTGCCATTGACGCTTATAAGTGTCTGATCGAAAAAGGTGCTCTTGCGTATGCCAACGAAAACCATAAGCGATCCAACAAAAAGCACAAGAAAACAAAGTCCAAAGCGAAGCATCATGACGACAGCAGCAATAGCGAGAACGACAGAGATACTGAAGATGATGCAACGTCTGCAATAAGTTTGCTGGCAAACAAAAAGAAAGAGAAAATGATGGACTATCTCAACGGGTATGTTAACTACCTTTATCCAATATTTGACTGAGGCTTTTGCCGAGTTGTGCTCACCAGCTGTATTATATTATATTATATAGCTGTCTTGAATATAAGGAGAAATGGGGTGCTTGTTATGCTGGAAGACTTTTAAACATGGGAATGAGGGCATCATCGCGTGTTGAAGGAACACACTGGCGCATCAAAGATACAATGCAAACCACCGGAAGCGTGTTTAAAACGGTCAAAGCAATTGATCGTGTCATGCGTAAATCGGTGTGTACTACACCCTTTGTTTTCGGATTGAAAAGTTAATGTGTTAACAGATATGCTAATCAGAATTTTGTACTAGTTGGCTGATGAAGAGACTCAGTTTTTGCAAGAAAGACATAAAATGCCACTGTATGGAAAGCATGAATCGGCTGCGATGCAAGAGCTCTTTGGCACTATTTCGTTTTTTGTTTTGAATCGACTCCGAAGGGAGCTCAAACGAGCTTGGGATAACTGCGATAAATATCAACTTGACTCAAGCGAGTGCTGGTGTGGTACCACGCTAAACTATGGACTGCCGTGTCAACATAATATCGCACGAAAAGGGTTCAGTATAAGCTTGTCGGATACCCCTGATCGATGGCGTTTGGAATATGACAGAGGTATAATTTTCTGCTATAGTAATACTGTGATTATACTATGCGCCTGTAATATACTTCATATCCTAATATGAGAGTTATATATCCACAGATAGCTTCCAAAAGGTGTATACTCCTGAAGCAATTGTATTAGAGCAACAGAACATGGTACTACAGAAGCTGCATGATGTACTCTACAATATGCGGTCGGATCAGCAAAAATCCGATTTACTTAGTAGTATCGATGGGACTATCGACGAATATACAATGAGTATCGACATTAGCGACATCGAATTACCAAGCAATGTGAAGACGAAAGGACGCCCTGCTAACACAAGAAATGCACGATTACCGTCAAAGTTCGAACTCGATGAAAAGGATAGCCAGCAACGCTTTCAAAATAGAAATGCCAACGAGTCAGAGGAACTCTCCGAAGGCAGCAACACTGAGGATGATAACATCTACATTTTTCCTCAACAAGGGAAAAGAAAGGATCCGGAGATGAACTTCCTTTATAGCACGAAAAAAAAGGTACGTGCTCTTCTGATGGAATTCTAGCTAACAAATACTTGCAGCTATCATGATTTTTTGTAACCAAACTAAGTTGATAAACTATTTATTGTAGATCCAAAAAAGATTTTGTACCCAAGCTGAAGTTCTTCGTTCATCCAAACATCCCTCGCAAGTTCATTGAAACAACTGTCGACATTATGTCTGATGGCTTCTGTGGCTTCCGCACAATCGCACATCATGTACACGGCAATCAAGAAGCTTTTATGTTGGTCAAGCTACAAATGCTGGAGTGCTTCAAGATAAACAAGGATATATATCAGCAGCACTATGTATTTATGCGTGTAGATTTACAGCGCATTGAAACATCACTATCTTACGCACTTGATGCACCACGACCCCCAGAATCGTGCCCATCGGATTACTGGTTCCTTGCGCCTGACTTTGCACAGATCGCTGCAGACACTTATCAACGACCTCTTGCAATTTGTCCAGACAATGATAAGAAAAAGCCAGACTCTGACGAATACGCTTATGAGCCATCTCTAATTTTGCCAATGCAAGGTCCATCGTCCGACAACAAGAATCCTCTCCCCATCATTATGCAGCATCTGAATAACAATCATTGGGCTACCATCGATACAAAAGGACACATTATCAAGATGGACTGGCCGATTATCAACTCGATGTGTATAAAGGCATACCGATCAATGGGTAATATTGATAACCTGCGTAAAACAAAGTGGCGTTATCTGCAGATAAAAAAGCGTGACGACGAAAAGACAGTGCGTGCTGGACCCTTTACATTAGATTAATCATTCTACTACTTCCTGTACAGTAATTCTAATTCCCTCTCTTCTCGAACACCACTCTCTACATTTCATTGTTATTTGATATATTCTGGCATGTGTTAAACAGCGATGTTGATAAGATTTACATAATACCTTAAAGGAACATTATATTTTACATCACTTTGATTTATAGCTCTCCCTTTATATGGTATAGCAAATAACAGAACACACCACTTAGGTATACTCATAACCTTGCGGACACCCCCACAAGTATATATTTATAGGATGTGTGTAACCTGATGAGGAAATAGAAGGGGGTGTCCGTAAGGATTAGAGGGGGGTGTCCGTATCAAAAGCCTGAACCAGATAAGTTTGCTTCCAACAAAACCATCCACATTGAAGTAGTAGGTGGTAGTGATCCAAGCCCGGGATTTACTGTATCGCTTGCGTTTATGAACGTCATATTAGCAATGACTGGGATATGACATGATGGCCAAGTCTTATCATATACATGATGACAGAAAGCGATGCGTATAGAAGTGACACATAAAGAATATATAGCATGAAACGGGACTATATATAAAGTTCAAATATGGAGTACCATATAAGCACAAAGCGACCGGGGAAAAGATAAATGTGTACTACAGCTGTTCTCGATTAAAATGGAGTATGTAACGCTCAAGCTCCGGCATGAAATATGCAAACACACACGTATGTCAATGAGTTATGGAATCCATTTGCCTCTATACCGTACATAATGGTCGTCAAGTTTCTAAAACGCTAACGAGCCTTGATATGATGACGGTGGAAGGGCATGCGCTCAGCGCTGAAAATTAGCTTCAAATACCTCGTCTTCTGCTGTATGCGACGTACAATACTAACATATCCAAACATTGCGAGTTTCAATTAACCGTTCCATTTCTAATGAAGAAAGTGCATCATTGTTGTTTTTTTACCGAGAGTATAGAAACATCCAGACATAGTGATAAACTTGTCTCTATCGTTACAGTAGAATTTTACAACCCGTACTACTGACAATTCACTGTGTACAACTGCTGCTAGATTATGTGTATCTTTTGCTGGAGGGGTAAAGAAGACTAAAGAAATGTTCATCTACTCAGCAGTGCCCTGAAAGAATTCACCATGGACAGTACGCATAATCAAAAACGCATCAGACTGCCCACCCTTCAGGGCAATCACGGGCATAACAATTATGGGCAGTAAGACATTGTAACAAAGACGACAATATCATAGGAACAAGGCCGTCGCAGGGCTAACCAATGGAAGAGAAGAAGAAATGGGCCACAACCATCGACCTTATTGTGGTGCATTCTAAAACAGACTTATATATTAAACATTAATAGAGCATGTATCGCTCAATCTGCCGACCAACAGCAGCATGTAGTCTAAAGCTCAATCAGTGAGTAGCGTCGTTGTGCTCAGTGGCTCGTTTTTTTTTCCAATCTTCGACATATACTACAGTACTTCTATTTTTACAAACAAGGTCACAATACAATGAAAGCATATTGTTTTACTCTTTGTTTTCGACATATACTCCTTCTATTTTTTTTACAAACAAGGTTGCAATAACAATGAAAGCATATGGTTTTACTCTCTGTTCAACAGAGATGGATCCTGCGGCCTTTCCCATTTTGAAGTGTTGTTATTGTATATAACGATGACAGAAGAACAAACCTTTACATTTGCTTCTTTGTTAGTTCCTACAATAGCGAGAAGGAACACGGCTCTTTTGCATGGTATAAATTGAAAACAAAGAGTCTGCTGCACCTCATATACCCGAAGCTATAGTAACCAGAAGCCAGTACTATTGTCTCGACGTCTTTCTCTCCGTATATAAATACTGGCATATCAAATGCAAAACGTGTTAATAATATACACACTACACCTTCTATTTACCTACTCTACATCTATCTATTTGCCTCACCAACGTCTCTTTCTGTCTTTCATCCCCTTAAAATGACATTTTTTCCAGAGTCAACGCCAGAGTCAGCAAGTTCTCCTCAGCAGCAAGAGGTTGCAAGCCCACCAACTCCACAGCAACCTGGATCGCCACAGCGTGAAGGACAGCCCCTTGAAGAGCAGACAGGTGAAGGGCATTCTGGACAGCAAGAGCGTACCCAAGAAAGTCAGTCTGGTAAAGGAGCTCAGCAGCAACGAAGCCGCGCCGACAAAGGGAAAGGCCGCGCAGTTCCGGGACAAGGTATGTACAATTATTCTAATGGATGCTGCTGCTGACATAAAATCCAGCTTAATTCTAACACGACTCCATTCTGAACAATTGAAGGAGGATCTGGCGAACTATCAACCTCTTCTGCATCTGGTATGTCTTATCGTTCACTTTGTGTTACTCAACAATGTTTATAATGAAACGTCAAACAACGGGATTTCCTTTTTCACTAACAAAGAAAAACAAATAATCTAATACAGGTACTCCTGAGCAGCAATTCCCGTCGCGGGCAGGCTCCAAGCGCGCGCACGAACAAGTGGACCGTGGCGACAAGGAAGGAGAAGAGGAGAGATCCCCCGGAGCCCGCGGATCGGGTAGTGCATCGCCGACTCTGGACAGCAAAAAGGTCGCGAAAACGTACGTATAATTCAAGACAAAATGCTATTGTTACTACGTGACGAGGAAGAACAAGAAAACCAGCTCACAAGTAAGCATTTTGTACATGTAATAGACTACTTCCTTGGTTGGCCACTCTGTCAGCAGTCATCAAGCTCTCCCATGAGGATTTTGAAATCGCCGACAAAAATCTATCAATGATCAGTGATCGTTACCAGTTTTTGGAAACCCTTTTCAATTTTACCCAAGTTATGGAAAATTGTCTTTCACGACCTCCTTATTCTATATCACTCCCGGACGACCCCCTTGATGACTATCTAGTCCAGATGAGAAATCAGCTTTTTGACGAGGCTTCTGAATACATACGGTTGAATCTACAAGGCGGAAGAGAAACACACCCAGTAACAACATCCTCTTCGGCCGCGGCTGCGGCTGCGAGTTCGTCGTCGTCGTCAGCTCAAGCCACAACAGCAACAACAGCGCCACCAGCAGCATCGACTGCCGAAAAAGTGGATACGAAGAAACAAAAGAAAGAAGCAGTCGATCCTGAGGAAGGAAAGGAAGAAGAAGCGGTCGATCCTGAGGAAGGAAAGGAAGAAGTCGATCCTGAGGAACGAGAGAAAGGAAAAAAACGCATGGGCTATATTAGCTCATAATGATGCTCATTTTTTACTTGTTCATATACGAGAAATGCAATAGTATTTTCAGTGCAAGTAGTAATAACAATGCAGCAGTATACTTTTTGTCTACCAATTAATAGTAAAATCAGTGCATCTGTCTTCAAAAATAAAGTGTAACAGATATGGAAATGACATTCATGCAATTTGTGCTACAACAGTGATTTCAATATTAAGCAAACAATTCAATAAATTCAGACTGTGCACTCGTCTTACATATATAAATTTGACAGGTTCTTTCATAGTTTTACTACGGCGGATAAAAAAGCATATGTACTTCACGGGATGTGCTTAGCATAGTTAGCATAGCAGTATTGTTCTCAGCATGTTTGATGAATTAAAAAAGCATCATCAATCAAGGATAGGTCTCTAACAACCGAATCAAATATCTAATATCATAGAACTCTCTGTTTCACCAAGTTTGCATAAATGTTGTATATCAATGGATTATATTGACAACAAACCTATTTTGTTCCTCTACATAACACCTTTATTTTACAGTGATAACTTCTTCAGTCTCTAAGATAAATCACTCCATCAATAGCGGAGAGCTATAGTAATGAATAGCAAGTAGCGCGTAATATGTGTATATTGCACTGGTGTTTTTATCATTCTCTTCGTCGATGGAAGCGGCTTATCATGTAATATTAGTGCGTAGTCGGTTAAAACATTATATCATACGCGGATTCTTTTGTCGATATTTTATAGAGATGGTTACCAATATATGAAGTTGCTTTTCCATTTCATTAACAGCATCTCTGTTCTGCCATCAGTGATAAGTCTAACATGCCATTTAAAATTGAAAGCGTGAGAAAACATTTGTGCGTAGATGCATCATGCATCTGGCTTCCCAAAGAAATGGTATCAAAGAGCTTTTCGTGTGACTGTGTACGGAGGGCGTAAAGTGTAAGCATATAAAAGAGAACATGGACCGATGCAAGACGTGCATATTGTTTTTTTTTAGGAGCTAGCATTGTGATGGGCGAAACGAACAAAAGAACTCATATACGCAAAGCAACGCCGGATGACATTTATCTTACGCAAAGCATCGTCAATTTGGTGAACCGAACATTTCGAAGTGACAGCTGTAAGTGCAGTTTACATCGAGTCTAGTATAACCTTTTCAAATGATATTAATTTTATTCTTATCACTCGACGGAACATTGTGAACATATAATCAAACAAAGGTGACTTAGTCTCCGATACGGAAATCTTTCCCGACAACGAGCGCGTTACATTCGAAGATATTGAAACACTGATAGTTGAAAGTGGTGGGAAATCGAGTGCGCTCTGGTTCGCTTTCGATCAACAGTGGGTACAAGAGCACGGCAAGTACGAAGAAGTCATTGTCGGTGCAGTGAAAATCGGCCCGTATAATTTCCGTAGCCACAAGGATAGTTGCATCCTCGAAATCTTCGCCATTTCCCCTGAATATCGAAAGCGTGGTCTAGGCAGCTTTCTAGCTCAGGAAGCACTAAAGTATGCAAAGGAGTCGGGATATACGACAGCGTACTTAATGGTCCTCGACTCAAAACCGAAACTGCTTGATTGGTGTCGACGGGCGCTAGGATTTGAAGAGATTTACACTGTAAATATACAGGACGTCATAAGATCAACAGAGATGCAGCCGTAGTTGTATTAAAGAGAGAATTGTTTTACAAGGGTTTATTATAGTTTCGCCAATTATTTGTATGCATGCTAGATAAAATCACTCGAAAAAATCACGGAAACGGATTTCGGAAATTACTTTCTCCGAACGGTTAATTATATAACCGAACCAAAATTCGTTTTTCAGTTTTGGGGTAGTTTTGGGTTTTTTAACTTCTTCCTCAAAATGGAACCGCAAAAACAGCAACAAATCCAATCCCAAGAAACACCCGAGCAACCTCAATTGAAAAGATGCAGTAATTGCAAATCTTATCGCCCTTTGCTATTTTTTGTTATCAATAGACAAGATTACAACACGTGTAGAAAATGCCATGAACGCCAAAGTGACGTCGGTAAACCAATCGCAGAGCAGTTACTCCTGACAGTGGACGAAGTACTCGACATGATTCCTTCGCGTCAAAGTTTGAGGAACGTAGCCGACAGTCTCGAAGATTACAGCCTCGACGCGTATGTGCAACTTGACGACGATATGTTGGCGTTGTCAGATTCGCAACTTGTGATCAACATCCGCGATCGTATCCAGGCTGTTGACGGATACCATTACTACGAAGCATACCGAACAGAACCACGAAGAAAGTTCGGCTATTCTTTCCTTTTTCGATGCTCGCAAGATTTCGATGTGTAGGGTCAAGCTGCCATTCGTTCACGATTGTATCGGCGTATGGCAACTTTCTTGTGCAATGGCCGCATCAGCGGCATGGTCGATCGAGTGAATGGTTACTTTCACTTGAATATCGAACACTCCTGTGGGCATAGGGCTGCACCTGCCGTCGAAAATTACGCCGTCCCGCAAAATGTACGTGCATACATCGCTGCAAATGCCATCGACTTGGATGCACAACAGCTGCATCGTAACATTATCCGTCAGTTTCAACAAGAAGCGACAAGAATAACGCAGGGGCAAGTGTATTACTGGGCGTGCCAGTCGATCCAAGACCAATATACACTGCACAACAACCAGTTTAGTCCCTGATGAAAAGCAAAGGAACGCAACAGTATCTAGTACTTCCTTTACAGATTTGAACTCGAATGGTTTTATTATATGCTCGCCAATCAAAGCTCTTGAGAAAGGCTGAATTCCTTCAACCATTTCGTCTCGAAAAACAAAAATAGATGACTTCTCCAACCCTGCACTTTGTGCTGCAAGGAGTGCCTTATCAATATTAGACGCATGTGATATGAAGAACCTTGACGCTTGTTTTTCGAATTTGGTACACCAACTCCTCTACTGTATACGATGGATTCGATGGGCTGACAATTCCACCTAAAAAAATAAAGTTTTTATCTCTAAGAAGCAAATTCGGATGGTAACAAAAAGTCAAAAAATTATAGTTGCCGACCTGTTATCAAAGTACCACATACTGGCACCGCATACATAGTCAACCTATTTTTGTAATACGAGTGTCCGAATATTATGCGTTTAGTGTTTATGTAAAGTTGCATATATATAGTAGTATGCCTACCGGCGGCTCTTGTGCACCTTCATAAAAGATCTTTTAAAGGGATGCGCCGCATATATCATTCACCCTAAAAGTTTCTATCGATAACGATCACCTGATCATATGTAGTCAAAACAGACGTGATCCGCTCTATGGGATGAGAGAGAATAGCACTGTTGACCACAAATTAGTGATGGGATATACGCAGAATCAATTGCTGAACGAAACAAAGTCATGCGAGCATTAATAAAAGCTGATGCGAGAGTTTTATAATGCAGGCGTTGTGGTTAGGGGCTCGTCCAATAATCTCCACTCTAACAGCTGACGGTCATTGAGCTGAGAATATAAAATACAACGAACGTAATTACAAGGTAGATCATAAAGTGTCATTCTAGACCGCCTCGTCGTCAATTTCAAGGCAAAACGTGAGTTTGTGCATTCATCGGGCGCGCAAAACAAGCAGTATCACAAGCCAATGTTTCAATAGATTACTTCAACGCCATTGTCTATTCGTGCCCTTAATTTACAAGCACTGTATTAGTGCATGTGCCTGATCTCGGTAACTCATGATGATCAAAACTTACACAGTACGAGAAATGCATAAAGACTGTGACGGCTTGTGCATCTCGTACTCCATTTACTATAATAAAGAAGCTAAGAAAGAAATTTGATTGTTTACAATGATGCAATGATTTTCAATAAAACATCCCAATTCAAATATTGGAGTTTTCGGTCTATTCAATATCGGTAAACCAAAGACCATCCATTTTGGCACCCATTATCAAACAAGCCTCATCTGAAGACGCATTATGTATGATATTTAAATGAGGCGTTCAGCGAGACAGAGGAAGTCAAACGACGGTATTAAAAGGCTTTTGATACGGACACCCCCTTCTATATTTAATCCTCATCAGGTTACACACATCCTATAAATATATACTTGTGGGGGTGTCCGCAAGGATGTGTTCACTGGATTTGTTCACTTGTTATTGTTATCATACATCTTTCGATATATAACAAAAAGGAACCATAAAAAGTACATGAAAAACATTCCTTAATGCTTTTCAAACTCTCTAGGGTGTCTCTACGGATGTGTTTATGTGCAGTAGTTTATACAAGTATACAAATGCTCCTCAATAAACAGTATACTTTGATAATATATCTTCAACTTTCTACCTACGTTTATCATCCTGCTATCCCAACACTATGGAGCAATTGATTGACACTACTTATACCGGATCAAATAAGCAAATTGTGAAAGCAATCAACGAGCAAGCCAGAGAATACAACTTTGCGGTTTCAACTAAACGAAGTGAGAAGAACGTAAATATCGTGATCCAGTGCGTACATGGTGGAAGCTATCGCAATACACATGGAGTAACTGAAGAAACGCGGGGACGCCAAACAGCGACGAAAACGACCGGCTGCCAATGGACCATGAACCTAAGGTGGTCCGAGAAGGATAAGCACTGGAAAGTAACGAAGGTCAGCAACGACAATGAGCACAACCACTCCCTCGACAAGCCTCCTCAGTATTACCACCAACACCGCACGCCAACTCTCCACGCCGAGCAGCAAATATTATCATTGACAGATAATTCCGTCAGGCCCCTCATGATACATCGAGAAGTCCAGAACCACAAAGACGGCGCAATTATGACCATGAGGGATCTATACAATTTTCGTGCGCAAATATTCCGTGAGGATAATCATGGCGGCTTCAATAGGATATTCGAGTTCCTCATTGGTAACAACTATATCACTAGATATAAGCCAGACGGCACAGGTAAAAGTCTCGACGCCCTTTTTTTTACCCATGAAACGAGTATAGCAAAAGCACGACGATTCAATGAGATCATTGCTATCGATGCGACGTACAAAACGAGCAGAACCAATATGCCTCTTGTCAATGTTGTTGGTGTCAGTCATCTCGGTGCATCAAAGCTCAAGAACGTGCTTATTGCCTCTGCTTTCTTGGTAAACGAGAAAGAAGAGTCGTACACCTGGCTCCTTCGGACTATGCGACAAGTCATATGGCCAGAAGGAAACGTACGCATCTTCATTACGGACAACGAAAGAGCTTTAATCAACGCCATCGAGTCAACTTTCAAAGATGCAGAGCATATACTTTGCGGGTGGCATATGGAGCAGCATTTACGTAGCATTTTCAGTACTTGCTTTCCACCGAACAGCGAAGAGATAGGCGAAGCCAAAGCTATCATTAAGCAAATGGTTTATGTTGGTAAAAAAGACGAAGCGACTTTCCAGGCTGCCATTGACGCTTATAAGTGTCTGATCGAAAAAGGTGCTCTTGCGTATGCCAACGAAAACCATAAGCGATCCAACAAAAAGCACAAGAAAACAAAGTCCAAAGCGAAGCGTCATGACGACAGCAGCAATAGCGAGAACGACAGAGATACTGAAGATGATGCAAGGTCTGCAATAAGTTTGCTGGCAAACAAAAAGAAAGAGAAAATGATGGACTATCTCAACGGGTATGTTAACTACCTTTATCCAATATTTGACTGAGGCTTTTGCCGAGTTGTGCTCACCAGCTGTATTATATTATATTATATAGCTGTCTTGAATATAAGGAGAAATGGGGTGCTTGTTATGCTGGAAGACTTTTAAACATGGGAATGAGGGCATCATCGCGTGTTGAAGGAACACACTGGCGCATCAAAGATACAATGCAAACGACCGGAAGCTTGTTTAAAACGGTCAAAGCAATTGATCGTGTCATGCGTAAATCGGTATGTACTACACCCTTTGTTTTCGAATTGAAAAGTTAATGTGTTAACAGATATGCTAATGTTGGCTGATGAAGAGACTCAGTTTTTGCAAGAAAGACATAAAATGCCACTGTATGGAAAGCATGAATCGGCTGCGATGCAAGAGCTCTTTGGCACTATTTCGTTTTTTGCTTTGAATCGACTCCGAAGGGAGCTCAAACGAGCTTGGGATAACTGCGATAAATATCAACTTGACTCAAGCGAGTGCTGGTGTGGTACCACGCTAAACTATGGACTGCCGTGTCAACATAATATCGCACGAAAAGGGTTCAGTATAAGCTTGTCGGATATCCCTGATCGATGGCGTTTGGAATATGACAGAGGTATAATTTTCTGCTATAGTAATACTGTGATTATACTATGCGCCTGTAATATACTTCATATCCTAATATGAGAGTTATTTATCCACAGATAGCTTCCAAAAGGTGTATACTCCTGAAGCAATTGTATTAGAGCAACAGAACATGGTACTACAGAAGCTGCATGATGTACTCTACAATATGCGGTCGGATCAGCAAAAATCCGATTTACTTAGCAGTATCGATGGGACTATCGACGAATATACAATGAGTATCGACATTAGCGACATCGAATTACCAAGCAATGTGAAGACGAAAGGACGCCCTGCTAACACAAGAAATGCACGATTACCGTCAAAGTTCGAACTCGATGAAAAGGATAGCCAGCAACGCTTTCAAAATAGAAATGCCAACGAGTCAGAGGAACTCTCCGAAGGCAGCAACACTGAGGATGATAACATCTACATTTTTCCTCAACAAGGGAAAAGAAAGGATCCGGAGATGAACTTCCTTTAAAGCACGAAAAAAAAGGTACGTGCTCTTCTGATGGAGTTCTAGCTAACAAATACTTGCAGCTATCATGATTTTTTGTAACCAAACTAAGTTGATAAACTATTTATTGTAGATCCAAAAAAGATTTTGTACCCAAGCTGAAGTTCTTCGTTCATCCAAACATCCCTCGCAAGTTCATTGAAACAACTGTCGACATTATGTCTGATGGCTTCTGTGGCTTCCGCACAATCGCACATCATGTACACGGCAATCAAGAGGCTTTTATGTTGGTCAAGCTACAAATGCTGGAGTGCTTCAAGATAAACAAGGATATATATCAGCAGCACTATGTATTTATGCGTGTAAATTTACAGCGCATTGAAACATCACTATCTTACGCACTTGATGCACCACGACCCCCAGAATCGTGCCCATCGGATTACTGGTTCCTTGCGCCTGACTTTGCACAGATCGCTGCAGACACTTATCAACGACCTCTTGCAATTTATCCAGACAATGATAAGAAAAAGCCAGACTCTGACGAATACGCTTATGAGCCATCTCTAATTTTGCCAATGCAAGGTCCATCGTCCGACAACAAGAATCCTCTCCCCATCATTATGCAGCATCTGAATAACAATCATTGGGCTACCATCGATACAAAAGGACACATTATCAAGATGGACTGGCCGATTATCAACTCGATGTGTATAAAGGCATACCGATCAATGGGTAATATTGATAACCTGCGTAAAACAAAGTGGCGTTATCTGCAGATAAAAAAGCGTGACGACGAAAAGACAGTGCGTGCTGGACCCTTTACACTAGATTAATCATTCTACTACTTCCTGTACAGTAATTCTAATTCCCTCTCTTCTCGAACACCACTCTCTACATTTCATTGTTATTTGATATATTCTGGCATATGTTAAACAGCGATGTTGATAAGATTTACATAATACCTTAAAGGAGCATTATATTTTACATCACTTTGATTTATGGCTCTCCCTTTATATGGTATAGCAAATAACAGAACACACCACTTAGGTATACTCATAACCTTGCGGACACCCCCACAAGTATATATTTATAGGATGTGTGTAACCTGATGAGGAAATAGAAGGGGTTGTCCGTAAGGATTAGAGGGGGGTGTCCGTATCAAAAGCCTGAACCAGATAAGTTTGCTTCCAACAAAACCATCCACATTAAAGTAGTAGGTGGTAGTGATCCAAGCCCGGGATTTACTGTATCGCTTGCGTTTATGAACGTCATATTAGCAATGACTGGGATATGACATGATGGCCAAGTCTTATCATATACATGATGACAGAAAGCGATGCGTATAGAAGTGACACATAATGAATATATAGCATGAAACGGGACTATATATAAAGTTCAAATATAGAGTACCATATAAGCACAAAGCGACCGGGGAAAAGATAAATGTGTACTACAGCTGTTCTCGATTAAAATGGAGTATGTAACGCTCAAGCTCCGGCATGAAATATGCAAACACACACGTATGTCAATGAGTTATGGAATCCATTTGCCTCTATACCGTACATAATGGTCGTCAAGTTTCTAAACCGCTAACGAGCCTTGATATGATGACGGTGGAAGGGCATGCGCTCAGCGCTGAAAATTAGCTTCAAATACCTCGTCTTCTGCTGTATGCGACGTACAATACTAACATATCCAAACATTGCGAGTTTCAATTAACCGTTCCATTTCTAATGAAGAAAGTGCATCATTGTTGTTTTTTTACCGAGAGTATAGAAACATCCAGACATAGTGATAAACTTGTCTCTATCGTTACAGTAGAATTTTACAACCCGTACTACTGACAATTCACTGTGTACAACTGCTGCTAGATTATGTGTATCTTTTGCTGGAGGGGTAAAGAAGACTAAAGAAATGTTCATCTACTCAGCAGTGCCCTGAAAGAATTCACCATGGACAGTACGCATAATCAAAAACGCATCAGACTGCCCACCCTTCAGGGCAATCACGGGCATAACAATTATGGGCAGTAAGACATTGTAACAAAGACGACAATATCATAGGAACAAGGCCGTCGCAGGGCTAACCAATGGAAGAGAAGAAGAAATGGGCCACAACCATCGACCTTATTGTGGTGCATTCTAAAACAGACTTATATATTAAACATTAATAGAGCATGTATCGCTCAATCTGCCGACCAACAGCAGCATGTAGTCTAAAGCTCAATCAGTGAGTAGCGTCGTTGTGCTCAGTGGCTCGTTTTTTTTTCCAATCTTCGACATATACTACAGTACTTCTATTTTTACAAACAAGGTCACAATACAATGAAAGCATATTGTTTTACTCTTTGTTTTCGACATATACTCCTTCTATTTTTTTTACAAACAAGGTTGCAATAACAATGAAAGCATATGGTTTTACTCTCTGTTCAACAGAGATGGATCCTGCGGCTTTTCCCATTTTGAAGTGTTGTTATCGTATATAACGATGACAGAAGAACAAACCTTTACATTTGCTTCTTTGTTAGTTCCTACAATAGCAAGAAGGAACACGGCTCTTCTGCATGGTATAAATTGAAAACAAAGAGTCTGCTGCACCTCATATACCCGAAGCTATAGTAACCAGAAGCCAGTACTATTGTCTCGACGTCTTTCTCTCCGTATATAAATACTGGCATATCAAATGCAAAACGTGTTAATAATATACACACTACACCTTCTATTTACCTACTCTACATCTATCTATTTGCCTCACCAACGTCTCTTTCTGTCTTTCATCCCCTTAAAATGACATTTTTTCCAGAGTCAACGCCAGAGTCAGCAAGTTCTCCTCAGCAGCAAGAGGTTGCAAGCCCACCAACTCCACAGCAACCTGGATCGCCACAGCGTGAAGGACAGCCCCTTGAAGAGCAGACAGGTGAAGGGCATTCTGGACAGCAAGAGCGTACCCAAGAAAGTCAGTCTGGTAAAGGAGCTCAGCAGCAACGAAGCCGCGCCGACAAAGGGAAAGGCCGCGCAGTTCCGGGACAAGGTATGTACAATTATTCTAATGGATGCTGCTGCTGACATAAAATCCAGCTTAATTCTAACACGACTCCATTCTGAACAATTGAAGGAGGATCTGGCGAACTATCAACCTCTTCTGCATCTGGTATGTCTTATCGTTCACTTTGTGTTACTCAACAATGTTTATAATGAAACGTCAAACAACGGGATTTCCTTTTTCACTAACAAAGAAAAACAAATAATCTAATACAGGTACTCCTGAGCAGCAATTCCCGTCGCGGGCAGGCTCCAAGCGCGCGCACGAACAAGTGGACCGTGGCGACAAGGAAGGAGAAGAGGAGAGATCCCCCAGAGCCCGCGGATCGGGTAGTGCATCGCCGACTCTGGACAGCAAAAAGGTCGCGGAAACGTACGTATAATTCAAGACAAAATGCTATTGTTACTACGTGACGAGGAAGAACAAGGAAACCAGCTCACAAGTAAGCATTTTGTACATGTAATAGACTACTTCCTTGGTTGGCCACTCTGTCAGCAGTCATCAAGCTCTCCCATGAGGATTTTGAAATCGCCGACAAAAATCTATCAATGATCAGTGATCGTTACCAGTTTTTGGAAACCCTTTTCAATTTTACCCAAGTTATGGAAAATTGTCTTTCACGACCTCCTTATTCTATATCACTCCCGGACGACCCCCTTGATGACTATCTAGTCCAGATGAGAAATCAGCTTTTTGACGAGGCTTCTGAATACATACGGTTGAATCTACAAGGCGGAAGAGAAACACACCCAGTAACAACATCCTCTTCGGCCGCGGCTGCGGCTGCGAGTTCGTCGTCGTCGTCAGCTCAAGCCACAACAGCAACAACAGCGCCACCAGCAGCATCGACTGCCGAAAAAGTGGATACGAAGAAACAAAAGAAAGAAGCAGTCGATCCTGAGGAAGGAAAGGAAGAAGTCGATCCTGAGGAACGAGAGAAAGGAAAAAAACGCATGGGCTATATTAGCTCATAATGATGCTCATTTTTTACTTGTTCATATACGAGAAATGCAATAGTATTTTCAGTGCAAGTAGTAATAACAATGCAGCAGTATACTTTTTGTCTACCAATTAATAGTAAAATCAGTGCATCTGTCTTCAAAAATAAAGTGTAACAGATATGGAAATGACATTCATGCAATTTGTGCTACAACAGTGATTTCAATATTAAGCAAACAATTCAATAAATTCAGACTGTGCACTCGTCTTACATATATAAATTTGACAGGTTCTTTCATAGTTTTACTACGGCGGATAAAAAAGCATATGTACTTCACGGGATGTGCTTAGCATAGTTAGCATAGCAGTATTGTTCTCAGCATGTTTGATGAATTAAAAAAGCATCATCAATCAAGGATAGGTCTCTAACAACCGAATCAAATATCTAATATCATAGAACTCTCTGTTTCACCAAGTTTGCATAAATGTTGTATATCAATGGATTATATTGACAACAAACCTATTTTGTTCCTCTACATAACACCTTTATTTTACAGTGATAACTTCTTCAGTCTCTAAGATAAATCACTCCATCAATAGCGGAGAGCTATAGTAATGAATAGCAAGTAGCGCGTAATATGTGTATATTGCACTGGTGTTTTTATCATTCTCTTCGTCGATGGAAGCGGCTTATCATGTAATATTAGTGCGTAGTCGGTTAAAACATTATATCATACGCGGATTCTTTTGTCGATATTTTATAGAGATGGTTACCAATATATGAAGTTGCTTTTCCATTTCATTAACAGCATCTCTGTTCTGCCATCAGTGATAAGTCTAACATGCCATTTAAAATTGAAAGCGTGAGAAAACATTTGTGCGTAGATGCATCATGCATCTGGCTTCCCAAAGAAATGGTATCAAAGAGCTTTTCGTGTGACTGTGTACGGAGGGCGTAAAGTGTAAGCATATAAAAGAGAACATGGACCGATGCAAGACGTGCATATTGTTTTTTTTAAGGAGCTAGCATTGTGATGGGCGAAACGAACAAAAGAACTCATATACGCAAAGCAACGCCGGATGACATTTATCTTACGCAAAGCATCGTCAATTTGGTGAACCGAACATTTCGAAGTGACAGCTGTAAGTGCAGTTTACATCGAGTCTAGTATAACCTTTTCAAATGATATTAATTTTATTCTTATCACTCGACGGAACATTGTGAACATATAATCAAACAAAGGTGACTTAGTCTCCGATACGGAAATCTTTCCCGACAACGAGCGCGTTACATTCGAAGATATTGAAACACTGATAGTTGAAAGTGGTGGGAAATCGAGTGCGCTCTGGTTCGCTTTCGATCAACAGTGGGTACAAGAGCACGGCAAGTACGAAGAAGTCATTGTCGGTGCAGTGAAAATCGGCCCGTATAATTTCCGTAGCCACAAGGATAGTTGCATCCTCGAAATCTTCGCCATTTCCCCTGAATATCGAAAGCGTGGTCTAGGCAGCTTTCTAGCTCAGGAAGCACTAAAGTATGCAAAGGAGTCGGGATATACGACAGCGTACTTAATGGTCCTCGACTCAAAACCGAAACTGCTTGATTGGTGTCGACGGGCGCTAGGATTTGAAGAGATTTACACTGTAAATATACAGGACGTCATAAGATCAACAGAGATGCAGCCGTAGTTGTATTAAAGAGAGAATTGTTTTACAAGGGTTTATTATAGTTTCGCCAATTATTTGTATGCATGCTAGATAAAATCACTCGAAAAAATCACGGAAACGGATTTCGGAAATTACTTTCTCCGAACGGTTAATTATATAACCGAACCAAAATTCGTTTTTCAGTTTTGGGGTAGTTTTGGGTTTTTTAACTTCTTCCTCAAAATGGAACCGCAAAAACAGCAACAAATCCAATCCCAAGAAACACCCGAGCAACCTCAATTGAAAAGATGCAGTAATTGCAAATCTTATCGCCCTTTGCTATTTTTTGTTATCAATAGACAAGATTACAACACGTGTAGAAAATGCCATGAACGCCAAAGTGACGTCGGTAAACCAATCGCAGAGCAGTTACTCCTGACAGTGGACGAAGTACTCGACATGATTCCTTCGCGTCAAAGTTTGAGGAACGTAGCCGACAGTCTCGAAGATTACAGCCTCGACGCGTATGTGCAACTTGACGACGATATGTTGGCGTTGTCAGATTCGCAACTTGTGATCAACATCCGCGATCGTATCCAGGCTGTTGACGGATACCATTACTACGAAGCATACCGAACAGAACCACGAAGAAAGTTCGGCTATTCTTTCCTTTTTCGATGCTCGCAAGATTTCGATGTGCAGGGTCAAGCTGCCATTCGTTCACGATTGTATCGGCGTATGGCAACTTTCTTGTGCAATGGCCGCATCAGCGGCATGGTCGATCGAGTGAATGGTTACTTTCACTTGAATATCGAACACTCCTGTGGGCATAGGGCTGCACCTGCCGTCGAAAATTACGCCGCCCCGCAAAATGTACGTGCATACATCGCTGCAAATGCCATCGACTTGGATGCACAACAGCTGCATCGTAACATTATCCGTCAGTTTCAACAAGAAGCGACAAGAATAACGCAGGGGCAAGTGTATTACTGGGCGTGCCAGTCGATCCAAGACCAATATACACTGCACAACAACCAGTTCAGATCGGCAGAGATGCTCGTCGACAGAGCCGCTGACAAGGGTGTCCGTAAGGTATGTCAAAATGTCCTAAATGATTAGCTACTACTTAATATTGAATACATGTGAGGATCGTGTATACAATCACTTCGACACGTTGAGAAATAGACAAGAACCATTAATAATAGAATCAATAAAATTCAATAACCAATGAACAGATTTTCACCTCAGCACAAAGCAATTACTCGGCTATTGGTTTTACCATGCCATTATTTGATGTAATTTGCGGATCACAGCAACTAGCAGAGGAATACCATGTCGATTCTACATACAAAACAAACCGAGCAGGATACGAACTATTTGGGATAGTCGCAACTGTAAACGGTGCCGGGTTTCCGATTGCATACATGCTTCTGAAGCTTACACCACAGAGTCAGCTAGTAAACGATGGCGAGGATGACACATTTCGTGTTGGTGTTATTGCCGAATTTTTTGCATGTTTAAAGCAAGCTGGTCTTCAACCCAAGTTCATGTTTACGGACAAGGACTGGGGACAGATCTGTGCTATAGAAGCAGTCTGGACAAATAGGAGAGTGCTTAGACTATGTCTGTGGCATCTCGTTCGCTCGGTGAAGAAACGCTTAGCAGAACCCAAAACAGCAAGACCGCAAAATATTTCAGACGAAGCTCGAGTCGGGATTGTTTGTTTTGCGTAAACTGTTGCAGTTTAACGCGCATAATTTGAGTATATTGTTTTTGATCGTGATTATGGATGATTGGATGTTTGGCAAATGGGATACGCAAAGTCGTTGGGTCGCGTCTTAGTGAGACGACGACCCAGGCGTACTATTAGTGATAGCTTTATCTGCGTTGTCGGTCAGCATAACTTGTCGGTTACTGCGCGTCTTGTATGCCGTTGGTGGTGTGACACGTGCTTCCAATAAGGCGAGCAAAGTCATTTGATCACGGTGAGACATGGATTCGAGGACCGAGCGATTGTGTGCAGACATGGGCCATGCCTTGTACCAGGATGGCGACGCTTCTTTGGTTTCGAATTGATCGGCCAAAATACGGTAAGCATCAGGACGTGCAGCCTTTTCTTGTTCGATATTGAGTAGGGCAGCATCGACTACTTCGACAGTAGCTTGTGGACGTGGGACAGAGGTATGTTCGCCTTCCTCTGTGTCGCTACCCACGTTGTAAAGCGAATCGGAATCGGAGACGGAGCTCTCGTCGGATATGTGCATTTCAGTATCAGAGGGATCCGTGGTGGTGTGTTCTGGCTCTTGCACGACAGTAGCCTTGCTGACCTTATGACTCACATCGGTAGAATCGGTGTTACGCTGTGCTACTACTTTGCTGTTGTCTGTAGCCTGGGCGGTGATAGAGATGGTACTCTTGGTCTGACGGTCGGCGTTGCGGCGACGCTTGTTAGTTTTCCCTTTGTAGCTGTTGGGGTTGTCCGGGCAGCCGGCCGAAATGTGCCCGACTTGTCCGCAGGTCCAGCAGGCACGATATGCCTGAGGGCGTTCCGGGCAGATGCGAACATGGTGGTCGGGTTTGTGGCAACGCGAGCAATGTAGAGCCATGGAGGCCCAGGTGGCGTAGAAGCACTCTTCAGTTGTTTCCCATTGAACACGGTGTGCGAGGTCATAGTAAGGTTGCTCATCTCGTATAGGTTGGCGGTCCAGCACCGCGAAGCCATTGCCTAGGTACATGCCGGACACGGCGTCTCAATAGATGCCGCAGTCTAATACCTTGCCGTATACGCCCGCGACTAATGCAGTGTGGTTCCTGTAGGGGAGATGGGATAGGCGCACTTTCTTGATCTGGGCATCTCCTGATAGAGTGTTGCAGGCGAGAATGATAACGCCGTCTTTAAAGTGAAGTCCTTGGGTAAAGGCAGCTTGAATCACTTCCGGGTCCTCAGAGTAGAGCTCGATGATAACGCGAGAGCCTTCTTGGATTGATTGCGCACCACAATTCTCGGGGAACTGCTGGTTGATGGTGGCAAGAATACGCGGGATTTGTTCGGTACGGCTACTAACGTCGAAGTAGACACTGTCTGCTGAGCGGGTGATCCACCAACACGCCAGATGTTGGAATGGATAACCCGAGTAGTGCGGGTGTTGTTTTTATCGTCGAGCAATTCTCTAGTCTCTGATTCTTGTCGCATGAGCGACTGTCGATGTTTCTGAACGACTTTGGCGTATGAAAGTCGAGGAACGTTGAGTTTTTGCGGTTTTGGGGGCGATTGGGGTGAGGCAGGGCTTGTTTACTGCCGGGTGTGATTTTTGTGCGGAAGAGCCATGATGCAAATAGATGGAATAACATGGATAAGACGAAATACATAGTATGGGTTTGAAAATTAAAAATGCCAACTTGCTGCACTTGGAAAAAACGTCCACATCAACTAGCTTTTATAATTTTAAAACTAATCACACAGAACGAACGCGTCAGAGAATTGATCTTTCAGCGATGACTTGGTGGACTTCATTATCGTCACTGTCGACGGTAACGCAATTGCAATAGTCATACGCAAAATCCGAGATGTACCTTTTTTACGCATGATATTCCACGTCTATATAATCAAGTGTCACATTGAGAGGCAGGAGCTTAGAGTTGGTCCCTCAACAACCATGACATACAACTAAGCTTATATAAAGTCTTTTTGTCTCAGGGAAATATTAGCGTAGTATACCTCAAATTGCCACATACTCTTTCTTTCGAGCAGTGTTATCATTAAATTGAGCGCAGTGACTTGATACGACACCATAGCCCTTCGTCGGGTACCTTTATCCTCCTTACTGGGAAGATAACACTCTCATTAATTTTGGCTTGCATGCTACAGCGCACAAAATAGCACGATCATTTTCTATACAACAAACGTGTCAATGTTTTCCCGTACTTGTGTGCAGCGGAAGCAATTGCAGGAAATTCATGCATCGGGAACTTGCCTTCCCACGAGTCCTGTACAAACTCTTTACTCCTTCCCCTTCATTCTTTATCCATTCATGACACATTAGCAATAGGTTCTCAAAAGAAAGGGCAGGTCTTTAGCTTTAACATGATACTAATATCATGTACAGTTACGACGATAATTGCGGCGGAATATTGCTTTGGAAATTGCCTAGTCTTAAAAAGACGATGCCAGGTACCCCTTCACCGTGTCTAAAACTTGTTTCTCCAACAATCGAATCTGAAGCATGCAGTTGGTTCGTGTCAGTTGCGACAGTGACCTCTTCTTCCTTCCTTTTCATATAAACTGACTATGTTCGTCATTCAGCAAAGAAAGATTCATGTAGAGCAGAGCCGTGGCTATAGAATGATGCCAATATTGACACATTTCTCGAATAATAAACGACGACACTATAGCTAATAATGTAGAATGGTCAATGAAAAACGATCGTTTTTCTGCCGCACTGTTGACTGAAACATGCATTGTGCTCTTTCTTAATGTTGACCTCATCGCCTATGCGCTCGTTTGGCTATTGGACAACAGACAAATCACGCAATTGCCAAGAATCTAATCGATCACAACGAGTCTTATATAAAAGGTACGCGTACCCACCCATCCATAGTTCTTTGGCCTCTTCTCTTCCGCTTCTTTCTCCTTCTCTTTCTCCTTCTCCTCCTCGTCACCAACTGTACGTATAACTCTTGGGAAACGGGATCCATCGCATGGCCGTGCGTGTGGTAGTGTGCATGTCTGTCAAGAAGTATCACGACGACTCACGATCAAATCTCTTGCTTTCTTTCATTTCTATAGCCGTCTCCTCCTCGGCCTCGCCCGGTTACTGCTTTAATGGAGGAGAGAAGCAAGAGTGTACATGGTGTGTGTCAAAGATGATGATGACTGTGCTATTGGTTACTCACGATCGAGCCTCTTCTTTTTTTTTTTTTGATAGCTCTGTCTCTCTTGCTCTTGCTCTCTCTGAACCGACTGTCTTTGCGTACTTTGCTCCCAAATTCCAACATTAAAAGGGGATACGCGAACAACTCTCATGATAAACAACATACCACGAAAATACACCCAGGTAGGTTTCGTCCCCACCAACAAACCCTCTCATTGTCACTGCAATCCATCTCCATCTTCTGTGCTTACATACTATGCTTAATCTTTGACAAATCCCTAACGGACCTTTTCTCTCTTATTCTATCTCATACTTGGTTTAGCAAATGCTCAAGGAAGAAATCGACGCTACCAACAAGGGAACGTACGATTTTTTATTTCTGAGTTTCGACTCAAGGCGCAATCGCAACGTTGGATACGCGTTTGTGAACTTCATCAACGTTGGGTAAATGCTTCATTATATTTTTTCACTGCTGCTGCTGACATCAACGTTGCTCTGATTGTCAAGTGGAGTTTCCCACTAATCACATATGAGTACATGTACTATATATAGCTCGGTAATTACATTCGCCAAAAATAGGATTGGCAAACGCTGGTATGTATTATCGCATCGCTTGTTCTTCTCTCTCCTTTTGCACCTTCCAAAAATTAATGTACTCAATTTCTCAATGACATATTGGCAACAACATCAATGACAAACAGGAACCGCTTCAATTCTGAAGACCGATGCTCCATTGAGTACGGCAACACGCAAGGAACAGTGGCACTAGTACGAAAGTACAAGGATGAAAGGGTCGTCGGAGAAGACCACGGCCCCAAGCTCTACATCACGAGTGGCCGCCACATCGGGGAAGAAGAGGCAAGTTTCCTTTTTTCTTTTTCACGTGCTTTTGTTAGTTGTTCTGCTCTAACACATTTTTGGTGCTTTGTTTTGATGTAGCCCTTCCCCTTCCCCGTCACAATGTTTATGCTTTTCTAAAAAAACTTAAAAATTTACAAAAAAAATAAAAATACATTTATACCTTTGCTTATACAATTTGAAAAGTACGAATAGCATTTAGTTGGATTAGTAGCTCCATGTATACAGCAGCAGGTACATCCAGCTGGCTTAGAGCTTTCTTTCTAAAGGGCAAATGATACAACGTCAAATAGAATTTCGGAATACATGAGCGATAGAAGGATAGCGTCACACTGTATAAAATAAAAGAGCTACTGTACGTGCAAACAATTAAATCATGTTCATGCAGTGTGGCACGTAAAAATAAGCTTATATGAGGCAAGGTTGGCTGTAACATTTAGGGGCTTACATAGCCTTTTGGGTGGCCAAAACGTAAATCCATGAGACGGTCTTGGAATATGATTTTTGAGAGTGATAGCTGCAATGGGTGGGTAGTCATGGTTGGAATCGCTTCGAACGTCCTTTGCCGATTTCTGTTTTCCTTAAATGGATAGTTTTAACGTTAAGTGTGATAAACCGTTGGCCTGTGCGTATACAGCACGCATGCCGAAGTTTTAAGATAGTCCAAGTCAGGGGAGGTCGAATATTATAATAAACTGTTAGCTTCCGAAATATAGATGAACAAGCCCATAACCGCCTACGTCATGATGATGGTGTAAATTCACCGTACTTGAAACAAGCGGTACTGGACAATTGTATTATGGACGAGGTCTCATAACATGTAATTAACTACAGGAGTAATTCGGCTGAGCACAAGATATATACGTAAGTATCACTGTTCGTTTCTATGCCATATTTATCATCAAGGTTAAAGATATCATTTCTACACATATATAACAGCACATTACGTCTTGTTTCATCAATTTATCAGTATTACTGTGGCGTATGGTCAGGATTCCATCCACCCGAAGACGGTGGGTAAGATGGCAGTTGTTGATGTTGCTGGTGCTGTTGTTGGCTCTGCAAGATCTACGCCAACTGGCTTAATGCAGCAGCAGGATCTGTGATGGCTGCCTGTTGTTGTGGTTATTGCTGAGGGTCAACACCAGCGGTAGATGAAAGTGGACCTGGTGGTGGTGGTGGTTGTTATGACATGGTCGCAGGCGGGATAGGCTGCACTTGCTGCGTTGGAGGTGGTACTGGCTGTTGATAGTGCTGTTGTTGCTGTTGTGCTGCCATTTGAGTCTAGAAAAATTACACACACATACGTGAATATATGACGTAGAAAAACACTGAATGAGCGTGGTTTTTCTTCCTTTTAAGGCTAAATGTACGCCTGCCAACGAGAAGTGTATATATTTGATCCAAGAAGGCAATCACGGCTACTCTGAGCATTATCAAGAGACGTAAGAATTCCCAGTATAGCAACTGATTTTCTTTCCGCACGTTTCTCGATGGGTTGTTCTGATATGTCACATTAAAATATGGCGTGCTATAGACTGGACCCTGAGAACTAAAAGCAAGGCGACCACAAGGAGTAAGTATATATAGCTGGGAGTGGCTATTCGTTGCAGCATGGTGACTAAAGATCAAACAGAGGTTTCAACTTTGGTAAGGCCCACACTCCAACTCAGTTTTTTTTGGAATTTCAAGTCAGCCACCAGAGACACTATACTACGCACTAAGTGGCTGTGTAGTATAACAACAGCCTGGTTTACAGCACGATACTACAGGCTTATCTTCGCTCCAATCAGTGAAAAAATCTACTGTATATTGATGTGGATTGACTTTAAATATCACAAGCTATTGGCTAAAGTTTATTATTGTCAGCAAGATGATGAATGGACTATCATGAGAGGAATACCGGTTGGATTTATCAGCATGGACACTGCAAGAGAATGATGCTAACCGTCCAGGGATGGAAGGTTCCATGAAAAAAAACCACTTTTCTACATATTGCAGGTAGAGAAGCTGAGATAATATAACAGAAAAGGCTACAGTACATAGCGTGTCATTTTATATAGTGTGCGTGCGGACATAGCAGTAGTAATTTCATAGTTATTTATCAATCAGAGCTTGATTAACATTGTTTTCTGAAAAAACGGATTTTGGTTTGGTTACATGATTAACCGTTCGGAGAAAGTAATTACCGAAATCCGTTTCCGTGATTTTTTTTGAAACGGCTAGGTAGGCGGATAAAATCTTTTATACACAAAATAGAAAAATAATGCGGGTTACACGTTGACACCTGAAGAAAGTGACTTAGGTCAATGTTGTCTAGCAACAGTACAAGTACTATACTACAGATGAATTAATGCAGAGCTTCTTACCGTTAGACACCATCATCATCCTTGTTGGCTGCTGATCCTAACATTCTACATAACAGCTAAAATATCTTTCTGGAACGAAACATGCTACTATGCCACTGTTTGAACGGTGGCAGCTTGTTACCAAAGATGCTGCTACTGTTATGACTTACTAAAATATTGTCATAATAACAGATATACGATATGTACTTATTTCTAGAATTAATTAATGTCTTGCTGTAGGTTTTGGCACTACGAGTACTACTGCATGAAGCTGCATATGTCTACGTAGTTCTTCATATACAGTATTTCCGATCCCAGACGCATGACGTCCCGCGGGCGCTATAGCGCTATATAAAGGGGTACATGCTGCCGATTAAAATCAATCAACGTTTCTTTCTAAATGGTGCCCGAACGGTTGGATACCATATACGTACGTAAGACAACATCTGACGATGTGAAGCATACGCAAAGTATAGTCGACATGGTGAACAAAGCATTTGGCGGAAGAGGAAGTACGAAGTGAAACAGTGATCTGTAATGGAAAATATACCATTTTCTATACATAACGAGCTCAATGACATATTAATTGATGGAAAAAATAGATGGATGGGTGTCTAACAAGGATATCGTTTCCGGCGACAGAATTACATCTGAAGACATCAAGCGATTAATCGCTGAAAGTGATGGGAAAACTTCAGCCCTTTTTTGTGCATTTAGGAAACGCTCAACGAACGGGACTCACGATAACAGTCAAGGAACCGAAGAAGATGAGATCGTTGTGGGTGCAACGTCGGTAGGGCCAAACGAAGATGGTAGCAGCAGTAACAATAAGGACGCTTGTCTTTTGCACAATTTTGCCGTTTTACCAGAGCTACAGTCCTCTGGAGTCGGTCACATGTTGACACGAACGACGCTAAACTATGCCAAGAACGAACTGGGATATAATGTTGCGTATTTGCGTATTTTTGAAGAAAAAACAAAACTGCGAGCTTGGGTTTGTCAAGTATTTGGCTTTCAAGAAGTTGGTACTTTTGATTATCCCCAGCCACATCGTCTCAAAACAAAATCTCACTACATTATTCTTAAAAAAGAACTCTCATGTACCAATAGCTCATTATAGTTTTGTTGATAACGAATACAGCATGTAAAACTCGTTGCGTCATTATAAAGCTCAACATCATGTCGATTCTTGTCTGATTATTTATTTAGCTGCTTTGAAGGATATAGACTAGTGATGAATAGAAGGAGCTATCTTTCTTAACACACGCCGCAGAGTCTTTCCAGGTACAGTTTTTGGAAGTTGATCACAAAATACTACATTATGAATATGCTTGTAGGCAGCAACTTTCTTTGCTACGAGTTGCTTCAGTGCCGTGACTATTTCTTCGCTTCCCTTTACCCCCTGTATTAGCACTATGTAGGCGCAGGGAACTTCACTAGCTTACTCTAGATCATAATGAACAATACCGCGCTATCGGCAACATCCGTATGTTTTAGCTGTATAACAAATAGCACAACTCCTTAATACCACCAGAGTCAACCGTGAAACGAAGAAAAAGTGTAGTCTCCCACGTAAGTGACATTAAGTGATTACACCATCAACCGAACCACACGACTTCCATCACCATCACCATATCTGTCACGTACAAGCAAGTCTTCCAGTGCAGCAGGGGCAACCTATACACAAAAAGTGGATCAAGTCATAACTAAGTATATACATATAGCAAGTATGGCCTCTGGTCATTAATTATCAAAAGAGAAGTTTGGCACCAACCTGAAAACCTTTGTACTTGATTAACTCTTTGATGCGATCAACAATAAAAATATGTCCGCTTTCATCAATCATTGCTTTATCTCCGGTATGGTAATATCCGTTAGAATCGATGCACCGTGCTGTTTCTTCCGGACGATTTAGATATCCCTGGGTTAATGAGCATATATGAAAGAAGTGTATATTTACAAGCACGATATAATACCACACCGTTGTTGGTATTTCGTATTATACAAAAGGCTGACAAGATGAAGAATCATTTCTACTACTGTACATGTCCATACCTTCATGATGTTTGGTCCCTTCACCAGTAGCTCCCCACGGCTATCAAATCCTACATCAAGTAATTCATAGAATCGGTGAATTCTATGCATAGCAACCCATTATATATCGGCATTAGCAAGTGAAATTTTGTTCTGTATGCACCATTTCCTTTTTCATCAACTACTCTGGCTTGTATTCCAGGCACAAGCACCCCTGCTGAGCCTACAGTAAACGACGACGAGGTTATATACCGTACGCCGACAGTCAAGTGTTTCGATTTTACCTTTAGCAAGATCTTTTTCTCGCTGAACACAGATAATTCCCGATCCTTCTGTCAAACCATATGCTTGCTTTACTACGACTCCTTTGAGCCGTTCTTGGAACTGTTGTATTAAGTCAGGACCAGCAGGTGCTGCACCAGTTAACACCGCTTCCAATGAAGACAAATCATATCGATCAACGGCACGGTCTCTTGCTAAAGAAAGCAGGATAGGTGGGACCACATATGTAAAGGTAATTCTGTATTTTTGCACAGCCTCACAAAAAAGCAAGTTTTTAGACCGTTGAAGCACATAAATGGCGGCCTTCATGAAAGCATATAGTCAGCCCGGAAATATGGTAGAAAGGAGTTGCGGACAGAACACAAGATGTCGGTTTTCGGTAGTATCATACCCAGATTCTACAGCCGAATATTGGTGTATGTTGGACATGATGTTGCCGTGCCTATAAACATAAATAGATAATATTGACAGTCAATAATGCTGCGTGACACCGCTAACGTTTGATAGTACAATTATAATTTTGAGGCAATTGTATTTCCGTTGACATTACATCTTTGCTCTTTCCTATAACGCGATACGGAAAAACACTTACAAATTAGTAATTGAGCACTGAGATAAGTTTTGGCCCAGATTCCCTATATACATTACATGTAGTCCCTGATGAAAAGCAAAGGAACGCAACAGTATCTAGTACTTCCTTTACAGATTTGAACTTGAATGGTTTTATTATATGCTCGCCAATCAAAGCTCTTGAGAAAGGCTGAATTCCTTCAACCATTTCGTCTCGAAAAACAAAAATAGATGACTTCTCCAACCCTGCACTTTGTGCTGCAAGGAGTGCCTTATCAATATTAGACGCATGTGATATGAAGAACCTTGACGCTTGTTTTTCGAATTTGGTACACCAACTCCTCTACTGTATACGATGGATTCGATGGGCTGACAATTCCACCTAAAAAAATAAAGTTTTTATCTCTAAGAAGCAAATTCGGATGGTAACAAAAAGTCAAAAAATTATAGTTGCCGACCTGTTATCAAAGTACCACATACTGGCACCGCATACATAGTCAACCTATTTTTGTAATACGAGTGTCCGAATATTATGCGTTTAGTGTTTATGTAAAGTTGCATATATATAGTAGTATGCCTACCGGCGGCTCTTGTGCACCTTCATAAAAGATCTTTTAAAGGGATGCGCCGCATATATCATTCACCCTAAAAGTTTCTATCGATAACGATCACCTGATCATATGTAGTCAAAACAGACGTGATCCGCTCTATGGGATGAGAGAGAATAGCACTGTTGACCACAAATTAGTGATGGGATATACGCAGAATCAATTGCTGAACGAAACAAAGTCATGCGAGCATTAATAAAAGCTGATGCGAGAGTTTTATAATGCAGGCGTTGTGGTTAGGGGCTCGTCCAATAATCTCCACTCTAACAGCTGACGGTCATTGAGCTGAGAATATAAAATACAACGAACGTAATTACAAGGTAGATCATAAAGTGTCATTCTAGACCGCCTCGTCGTCAATTTCAAGGCAAAACGTGAGTTTGTGCATTCATCGGGCGCGCAAAACAAGCAGTATCACAAGCCAATGTTTCAATAGATTACTTCAACGCCATTGTCTATTCGTGCCCTTAATTTACAAGCACTGTATTAGTGCATGTGCCTGATCTCGGTAACTCATGATGATCAAAACTTACACAGTACGAGAAATGCATAAAGACTGTGACGGCTTGTGCATCTCGTACTCCATTTACTATAATAAAGAAGCTAAGAAAGAAATTTGATTGTTTACAATGATGCAATGATTTTCAATAAAACATCCCAATTCAAATATTGGAGTTTTCGGTCTATTCAATATCGGTAAACCAAAGACCATCCATTTTGGCACCCATTATCAAACAAGCCTCATCTGAAGACGCATTATGTATGATATTTAAATGAGGCGTTCAGCGAGACAGAGGAAGTCAAACGACGGTATTAAAAGGCTTTTGATACGGACACCCCCTTCTATATTTAATCCTCATCAGGTTACACACATCCTATAAATATATACTTGTGGGGGTGTCCGCAAGGATGTGTTCACTGGATTTGTTCACTTGTTATTGTTATCATACATCTTTCGATATATAACAAAAAGGAACCATAAAAAGTACATGAAAAACATTCCTTAATGCTTTTCAAACTCTCTAGGGTGTCTCTACGGATGTGTTTATGTGCAGTAGTTTATACAAGTATACAAATGCTCCTCAATAAACAGTATACTTTGATAATATATCTTCAACTTTCTACCTACGTTTATCATCCTGCTATCCCAACACTATGGAGCAATTGATTGACACTACTTATACCGGATCAAATAAGCAAATTGTGAAAGCAATCAACGAGCAAGCCAGAGAATACAACTTTGCGGTTTCAACTAAACGAAGTGAGAAGAACGTAAATATCGTGATCCAGTGCGTACATGGTGGAAGCTATCGCAATACACATGGAGTAACTGAAGAAACGCGGGGACGCCAAACAGCGACGAAAACGACCGACTGCCAATGGACCATGAACCTAAGGTGGTCCGAGAAGGATAAGCACTGGAAAGTAACGAAGGTCAGCAACGACAATGAGCACAACCACTCCCTCGACAAGCCTCCTCAGTATTACCACCAACACCGCACGCCAACTCTCCACGCCGAGCAGCAAATATTATCATTGACAGATAATTCCGTCAGGCCCCTCATGATACATCGAGAAGTCCAGAACCACAAAGACGGCGCAATTATGACCATGAGGGATCTATACAATTTTCGTGCGCAAATATTCCGTGAGGATAATCATGGCGGCTTCAATAGGATATTCGAGTTCCTCATTGGTAACAACTATATCACTAGATATAAGCCAGACGGCACAGGTAAAAGTCTCGACGCCCTTTTTTTTACCCATGAAACGAGTATAGCAAAAGCACGACGATTCAATGAGATCATTGCTATCGATGCGACGTACAAAACGAGCAGAACCAATATGCCTCTTGTCAATGTTGTTGGTGTCAGTCATCTCGGTGCATCAAAGCTCAAGAACGTGCTTATTGCCTCTGCTTTCTTGGTAAACGAGAAAGAAGAGTCGTACACCTGGCTCCTTCGGACTATGCGACAAGTCATATGGCCAGAAGGAAACGTACGCATCTTCATTACGGACAACGAAAGAGCTTTAATCAACGCCATCGAGTCAACTTTCAAATATGCAGAGCATATACTACTTTGCGGGTGGCATATGGAGCAGCATTTACGTAGCATTTTCAGTACTTGCTTTCCACCGAACAGCGAAGAGATAGGCGAAGCCAAAGCTATCATTAAGCAAATGGTTTATGTTGGTAAAAAAGACGAAGCGACTTTCCAGGCTGCCATTGACGCTTATAAGTGTCTGATCGAAAAAGGTGCTCTTGCGTATGCCAACGAAAACCATAAGCGATCCAACAAAAAGCACAAGAAAACAAAGTCCAAAGCGAAGCATCATGACGACAGCAGCAATAGCGAGAACGACAGAGATACTGAAGATGATGCAAGGTCTGCAATAAGTTTGCTGGCAAACGAAAAGAAAGAGAAAATGATGGACTATCTCAACGGGTATGTTAACTACCTTTATCCAATATTTGACTGAGGCTTTTGCCGAGTTGTGCTCACCAGCTGTATTATATTATATTATATAGCTGTCTTGAATATAAGGAGAAATGGGGTGCTTGTTATGCTGGAAGACTTTTAAACATGGGAATGAGGGCATCATCGCGTGTTGAAGGAACACACTGGCGCATCAAAGATACAATGCAAACGACCGGAAGCTTGTTTAAAACGGTCAAAGCAATTGATCGTGTCATGCGTAAATCGGTATGTACTACACCCTTTGTTTTCGAATTGAAAAGTTAATGTGTTAACAGATATGCTAATCAAAATTTTGTACTAGTTGGCTGATGAAGAGACTCAGTTTTTGCAAGAAAGACATAAAATGCCACTGTATGGAAAGCATGAATCGGCTGCGATGCAAGAGCTCTTTGGCACTATTTCGTTTTTTGCTTTGAATCGACTCCGAAGGGAGCTCAAACGAGCTTGGGATAACTGCGATAAATATCAACTTGACTCAAGCGAGTGCTGGTGTGGTACCACGCTAAACTATGGACTGCCGTGTCAACATAATATCGCACGAAAAGGGTTCAGTATAAGCTTGTCGGATATCCCTGATCGATGGCGTTTGGAATATGACAGAGGTATAATTTTCTGCTATAGTAATACTGTGATTATACTATGCGCCTGTAATATACTTCATATCCTAATATGAGAGTTATTTATCCACAGATAGCTTCCAAAAGGTGTATACTCCTGAAGCAATTGTATTAGAGCAACAGAACATGGTACTACAGAAGCTGCATGATGTACTCTACAATATGCGGTCGGATCAGCAAAAATCCGATTTACTTAGCAGTATCGATGGGACTATCGACGAATATACAATGAGTATCGACATTAGCGACATCGAATTACCAAGCAATGTGAAGACGAAAGGACGCCCTGCTAACACAAGAAATGCACGATTACCGTCAAAGTTCGAACTCGATGAAAAGGATAGCCAGCAACGCTTTCAAAATAGAAATGCCAACGAGTCAGAGGAACTCTCCGAAGGCAGCAACACTGAGGATGATAACATCTACATTTTTCCTCAACAAGGGAAAAGAAAGGATCCGGAGATGAACTTCCTTTAAAGCACGAAAAAAAGGTACGTGCTCTTCTGATGGAGTTCTAGCTAACAAATACTTGCAGCTATCATGATTTTTTGTAACCAAACTAAGTTGATAAACTATTTATTGTAGATCCAAAAAAGATTTTGTACCCAAGCTGAAGTTCTTCGTTCATCCAAACATCCCTCGCAAGTTCATTGAAACAACTGTCGACATTATGTCTGATGGCTTCTGTGGCTTCCGCACAATCGCACATCATGTACACGGCAATCAAGAGGCTTTTATGTTGGTCAAGCTACAAATGCTGGAGTGCTTCAAGATAAACAAGGATATATATCAGCAGCACTATGTATTTATGCGTGTAGATTTACAGCGCATTGAAACATCACTATCTTACGCACTTGATGCACCACGACCCCCAGAATCGTGCCCATCGGATTACTGGTTCCTTGCGCCTGACTTTGCACAGATCGCTGCAGACACTTATCAACGACCTCTTGCAATTTATCCAGACAATGATAAGAAAAAGCCAGACTCTGACGAATACGCTTATGAGCCATCTCTAATTTTGCCAATGCAAGGTCCATCGTCCGACAACAAGAATCCTCTCCCCATCATTATGCAGCATCTGAATAACAATCATTGGGCTACCATCGATACAAAAGGACACATTATCAAGATGGACTGGCCGATTATCAACTCGATGTGTATAAAGGCATACCGATCAATGGGTAATATTGATAACCTGCGTAAAACAAAGTGGCCCTTATCTGCAGATAAAAAAGCGTGACGACGAAAAGACAGTGCGTGCTGGACCCTTTACACTAGATTAATCATTCTACTACTTCCTGTACAGTAATTCTAATTCCCTCTCTTCTCGAACACCACTCTCTACATTTCATTGTTAATTGATATATTCTGGCATGTGTTAAACAGCGATGTTGATAAGATTTACATAATACCTTAAAGGAGCATTATATTTTACATCACTTTGATTTATGGCTCTCCCTTTATATGGTATAGCAAATAACAGAACACACCACTTAGGTATACTCATAACCTTGCGGACACCCCCACAAGTATATATTTATAGGATGTGTGTAACCTGATGAGGAAATAGAAGGGGGTGTCCGTAAGGATTAGAGGGGGGTGTCCGTATCAAAAGCCAACGCGAAAAGCACTTCTTGGCGATAAAAAACGGGCTGATTTTCCTTTAGCCCAGAGTGACGTCTCCTCCGATCCCCCAAGAACAACCCCCGCCGCTGTTTTTTTACGGTCTGTTTTTTTTTCGCCTTCAGAAAACCCGTATACTCTTTTTTTTTTTTCAGAATGTCTCTCGTCAACAGACCCAACCGCATCCTTGAGCAACAGCGATTCTGGCAGGTATGTTATTTATATCGATTCAAAAAGACGAGTCCAGCTCTGTAGCCGACACACACTTCTTTTTTTTACCCTTATCAACAAAAAATATATTTCGCTCATCCTGAAATTGCTGTTACGATTGTATTGTTAGGCTCCCTCCAACCAACTCTTGTACATTCGTGGTCCCAGAGACAAGTTGTTCGTCTACGGTACTTTCCTCGTTCTCGGCACCGGTCTTGCCGGCTCCCTCTGGGGCGCTATCAGAATGGCACGCGTATGTATATCACTAATATTATCTACTGTGTCTATGGATATGATATTATTCAACCAGTATGGGCTAATCCCCGATCCAAAATAGGGCGACAAATAAACGTTGAAAATAACAACCAACGAAAAAAAAAATTGGACCAGTTTAAAAAGAAAGACGTATACACAAAAAAGCATACGGCACCAAAAAAAACATCAACTCCATTTTTTTGTTATAGAGCTAGAATATCTCCTCCTAAAGCACTAGATTTTCTCCATATACAGTAAACTATTCTTTCTTTTTTTTAATGCTTGCTTCTTATACACCACCAACTCTCACGCATGGATTGGATTTCAATATATTGGGGGCCCGTTATGATTGGCCAATGGTAGTGTGACGTAACCCATATGTTTGGTCTTTAAGCCAGTTGGGAAAACCCTCTCATTACAGAGCCAAATTATAAGAAGAAAAGAGGTGATGATTATAACCATTGGGCATAATTTAACGCTAGATGCATAACGAAGCGGTTGCTGATTGTCTTTAATTCCCTGAAATTTGCATCATGATTACAATGTTAGGTTCGGAAACGGTTCGATTGACGGTACTTTATTGTTTTGGTTCCCTTTTCCGTTTTTACAATTCCGTCTGTGGATTTTGTAAAAGAAAAAAGCATATTTGACAGGCAAACAACTGGAATAACCGACAATTACGTAAAATCGCCAACTAAAAAAAAGAAAGAAAGAGAGGTTTTTAAAAAAAAAGGTAAAAAGGAGCCCTGGGTTTGTCACTGGGTAATATATCGGAACTGTAAGTTTTTTTTTTTGTGCTCAACTCGCATGTACATGATATCTTTTTGCAACCTCTAGGAGAGAGTGCCTATTTAACCCACTACCGAAAGCAAGGGAAAAAAAGAACGCACAGACAACAAATAACAACAAGGACGCAAACAAAGAAAAGAGAGACCTCTCCCAGGAAGAAAGAAAGAAAAAAAAGGACCACTCTAGAAAGACCGAACCAGAGCGTCTTTTCTTTCCTATTTCCCCTCCACTTCCCTCCGCAACAAAGAACGAACGAACGGACGGACAAACGAACGGCGGCATAAAATACTTACGCAAACGACTTTGCAAAAAGTGGTTGTTCACTCGTCTTAAAGCAGTTCCACACGATTCCCTCTCCACATGCGATGAGCAGCACCTACAAGTCAAAGTTACGTTCTGCCTCACGAGCAAAACTTGAAGCAACGAGGTCCTCTGAGGACGAGCCAATGTCAGAGGACACTGGTAGAACAGCTGGAGGTGGCGCATCGACCGATGGTATGAATTCAACGGATCAGATCACCGACGATCCGACGCTACTACCCAGCCCACGAACACCTCCCATAACGGACCTTGGTGAAACGCCGGAATATCCGGACCTTGACGCTTTGTTTCCACCTTCTCCACACGGCAGACGACGACATCAGATTTATGGCGACAGGTACTTGACAATTCTTGTTTCCTTGTTTCTTGCTTCAATGTAACTCGTTGCAATTGCCTGAGATATATTCTGTGTCTAAATTCATTTTTTTGCGGAATAGATTTATACCCTTACGCGATGACAGCTCTGTACGAGATTACCATTTATTAGATTCACCGAGTACAGGATCAAGGAATCCTTACGCAGATCCTGAATATCATTCCGAAACACGTAAGTCCTATTGGGCAGATTGTAAACGAGCGACAGTGAAAGAGGGAAAAGAAAAAGCGGTAGAGAGCAGGATAGGGCAATTGAAAGAAAAGTGGAAAGGGAGTTTGTTATAGGAGAGAAATGTATGTGTTATGTATGTGTATGTACGTTTTAATTGACAAATGTATGTATATTTGGACATGCGTACACACCACCATTGTAGGCCACCGACAACGACGGCTTAGCGCATTCTATCGTGCCGAGATAATGGGCGATCAGTCAGCAGCAGACGAGTATACTATGCCGGACACGCTGCGGACGCCACGGCGAGTATTCCATTACAGCAATAGCAGCACTCCTAGACGATCACCCTCACCGACCTTTGAATCACCAAGCGGCCCACGGTACCAGGCATCTCCATTTGGCGACGCGGGTCTTCGCATTCTGTCTGCACCTCATCGCCCGGCACGACATATTAGCCGGACAGCTATCAAAATCCTCGACGCACCTGAGCTTCAGGTAAGGCCACACATATAAAAAAAGGGGAGCAATGGCAAACCAGATATAAAGGAGGGAAGATCAGAAATTGATACATGATGCGTATTTTAGGATGATTTCTATCTAAATTTGGTGGATTGGGGTAATAATGATTGCTTGGCAGTGGGATTGGGTTCATGCGTATATCTCTGGAACGCAAATACAAGTAGAGTTACCAAATTATGCGACTTTGTCAACGATGCAATATCATCCGTAAGCTGGGCCAAGCAAGGGTCACATCTAGCCATTGGCACGAACAAAGGCGCTGTCTTGTTATGGGACACGGAAACTTCGCGACGCGTACGAACGTGGTCGGGTCACACATCACGTACAGGTAAGAGTTGAAATGACGTCAAGTGCTGGTTTTGTTTACAAGTTCACATGCTAACACATGGATTGATTGTAAGGCGCGCTTGCATGGAGCTCCAACATTCTGACGTCAGGCAGCCGAGATCACAAAATATACCATCGCGACGTACGGTCACCCAGCCAATACTTTCGCGAACTCAACGAACACGTACAAGAGGTGTGCGGGCTGAAATGGAACGAAGAAGGAACGATGCTTGCCTCGGGAGGCAACGACAACAATTTACTGATATGGAGCTCACATCAAAACAACCTTTTATGGAAGTTTAGAGACCACACAGCCGCGGTCAAAGCCATAGGGTGGAGCCCACATACGCGCGGGATGCTTGCGAGCGGCGGCGGTACAGCGGACAAAACAATCAAGTTTTGGAACGCCATATCCGGGGCAGCCATATCGTCCCATGACACTGGGTCGCAGGTGTGTAATGTGGCATGGTCCAAAAAGACAAACGAGATTGTCAGCACGCACGGCTATGCGAGCAACTCGGACAATTCGTCGAACCAAGTGATTGTGTGGAAGGCGAACAACATGCAGCGCGTGGCGACGCTGTCGGGACACTCGAGTCGTGTCCTGTACATGTCGCTAAGCCAGGATGGTAGCACGGTAGTAACAGGCGCAGGCGATGAAACGTTACGTTTCTGGGACGTTTTCTCGACGGCTGAGGTCATTCGACGTGAACCCGAGGATCGACGCGAGTGTCTTAGGTAGAAAGACTCTTTCAAAAACACAACCTCTCTCCCCTTCACACTACTACAACACACTACTACTTTTTACTGCAACTATTCACATACACACTCTTGCTCTCGCTTCTATTTCATTTTCCATCATCATCTTCATCATCTTCTTCTTTTTTCTATCCTGCCGTTATATCTTCTTCTTACCATAGCACATATTTCCACAAGCACACAGACACAGACACAGACACAGACACACACACACACCACGCTTCTGCTCTCCAAATATACCACTTTTCCTTTTTTCTTTTGTGTACAGAAACGATGAAAACGAAAAGACAATGCAAAATTGGCGTTTAGCATAAACGGAGCAAATGTGATCTGGGCTTGCGCTGATATATTTTTAGACTCGTTCTAAACTTGGCAAGTCGTTGTTTTTGGGACTTGAAAATTCGGAACGGGCTTAGTTGCGTGAAGAAAAGCCAAGCAATCAGAGCTTGGCAGCCTTTTTATTTTTTTTTTCTCTCTTCCCACTAGTTTCATACTTCTTCAACTCAAATTCCATCGTCTCTTATCATCATCCGTCAAATGTACAGTCATAATCAAAAGAACGATACCCATCCGGATCCATTTGCTGGACAATACCCACCGCCTCCACCACCACCAGAATCGTATGCTCCTACATCCTCAGGGACGCCACCGGCAGCGGCGGTGACGGCAGCAATGTCCGTTCCTGCAGCTTCGACGGCATACTATCCACCCGTTGCACCGCAACAGACAGGCTACTTTCCACAAGAACCGCAAGAGCATCCATGGCCAACCGATTCTGCTTACAGTAGCCAGCCATCCACAACAACAGCAGCAATGCAACAACAGCAGCAAGACTATTACCATCCTCCACAGCAACAGCCGTCGTATGACCACCGACAATCCTATGATCATCGCCCGTCCTACGATCAGCCCTACGCACAGCCATCCTACCGACACCACGACCCAGCAACATACTACCCGCACCCTAATACCAGCTACTACACAGAAGACCTTGACGGCCCATCATCACCCAACACGCCCATTATCCATAAAACGGAACCTGAAAATAGCAGCAGTAACAACAACAAGGAAGACGATGAAGAACAACACGACAAACCAAAGAGTAAAAGTGGAGGCGGATGGTTCAAAAGGAAGCAAAAGGTGGAGTCGACGCCACCACCACCAGCCATGTCAGGCCCATGTCCTGCACCGGAAGATGAAAAGCCTACATACCAGCGACCCCATGATCCAGAGGACGGCGGAGGCTTCAGGAATAGCTGCTGCTGCTATAACCCAGCATTGACATGCTGTTCGTTCTTTTGTATGTTGATCGCGATTGCTTTTTTGGCGGGCGGTATTGCGCTCATGGTTGCTTCCAAGATTGTTCGGGATCGGTGCAACAACGAGTGTGGCGGCAGTGCGGACGAAACCCTGAGCAATTGTACGGTCCTGTGCTCAAATGTGCTTCATGACGGATTACTTTATGGAGGAGCGGCTGTCACTGGCCTTGCCGGTATAGCAGTGATATGGAGATTATTTATGTGGTGCTGTGCTGGTTGTTCCAGGAAATAAGGATTATAAATAAAGAATTCAGTAAAAAGCAATCTCTTATTACTACTTGGTGCACGCATGCTGGCTTTAGCCACATTCCTTCAGTTATGTCACACTACGCGCGTTTCATGTTGGATCGGGGAGGGGGGGGGCATCACAGAAATTTTACTACTGGAACTGAGAATTTGACACCATCACTGTACGTATAGCGAAACCTTAATGTATATTACGCTTAAACATGAACATTAAGTACACTTCTCTACCTATTTTACTTGCTTTGGCCTAGTACGGACGCGCCGGCTTTTCTTTTGCTGCCAAGTCTTGATATGTATATATGACATCTTTGGTTATGCTACACAGAGCTTCTTGCATAATTGTCGCATAAAGAGAGCATCCTTTGTATAATGTTTAACTTCTCCTGATCAATAGTCTAAAAAGAGACAGCCTTTAATCTCTTTTCATGAAGATATCATAGTAAGGGCTATGATATTATGCGATCCAAAAGTGGCAAAGAGCACGGCGCTGGTGACATTCATAATCAAAAGCCCAAATTGTACTTGATACAATCCCATTCGCTTGCTCACTATGATACTGTACACCTTCATCTAAAGAATGTATTATAGAAAATATATGAATACGCAGACACTTTCTACTGCAAGTACGAAATATCCAAATGATGTGTGTTGCTAGTATATTGACAAAGCAAAACAGATTTGGAATCATACCAGCAACAACAACGATACTCAAAATACCAACATTTGCAGTAACAGCGGTACATCAACAGCAGCTGCTACTCATGTATGCTAATTGACGGACTCTTACGTAAACCAAGGAGTTTGTATAATATGTAAAAATAATGACGGCTTATTCTAGCAAGGACGGAGAGAAAAGTAGCGAGACCTTACTGCAGTTCCTTAATGATTTGCTCACCGGATCAAAAATGTAGATGGGACACGCCACTCTGCAAATATACATGACTTTCTTTAGATATTGTTGTATAGACCTCGTTAAGCAGACTTTCAATGTGCTGGGCTAGCTTATAATTTACGACGGTAAGAGAACTTTTTTTCCTGTCCATGTTGCATAACTCTAATCTACATTCTATTGGTATTATACTTGAAGCATCCAACCATGTATACCTAAAGCTACACTTCCTGTCTTTGTTTACAGTCATATGCGTAAAAATAACGAAAAAATGCATCATTTATCCGCTTCTCTTGGACAACTTAACTCCCTTGATGCTATTACTAAGGGAATTATTTTCTTTTATATACATTATAACTGCCCGCGCAGCTACTGCTGCGTTACAAATGAGAGGATTTGATAGCACACACATATTCCTCTTTTGCTTTCCGGTGCGCTTTTCCGCAGTTGTTTGTTGCTTACTGTCATTTTTCTTTCATACACATTTGTGTGATGTGATATCTTATCGATTTCCTCTCCCCACATCTCGTCAAGACGGGAAAAGTTATCCAAGGTCTAAGATGTATTTTCCCAAAATATATAGATTGGATTTACAAAAGGTAATCTTACCGACAAGTAATGTCGGTATAAGCGGGTCCAACAGACAATTATCTTAGTTGGATCGTCGGTTGTGTGACTATTTGCTAGTTGCTAGACTATTTTTGTTTTAGTTTATTCTATGCAAAGAGCAAGGTGAAGAAATCGATTCCAGCTCGGCTGAAAAATAAAGAACACCAAAACCTTGGCTTGTATCCCGAGCTGGACGGCAGCAAGTAGTATGTAAAAAATTACGGCACCTTTTTTTTTAATGGAATGAGCTTAGCATTTATTAGTGATAATTTGCCTAAAACGGGATAGTAACATTGCTTGACGAATGCTTGTACAAGCTTCATGACGATCATTTATAGTTTAGCATACGGGAAATTGTTGAATTAGCTGAAAAAGTTACAATGCAGCACACACACATATAGCACGCCTATGAATCTTATTCTTCGCTGCTGTATCCAAGCGAAGGCACGGAGGAAATGCCATTGCTAACATTCCCTGCTGTTGAATTACCCTAATATTGATCTTTTCCAATATGACCTTTTAACGTCTATTTGCCATTAAGTGCACTTTTAAAGAGCATCGTAATGCAAAATCTAAAGTTCCAAGCAGTTATTACAAAAAGTCAAGTACACCGAGAAAAGCGTCTGCTCGAAAATTGGAAACGTTTAAAATCATACGTTGTACGGATTAACTTTCGTCCAGATTATTATTTTTTCTGCCTCGATCTTGTGATTCTCTGGGGTAATATACAGCAGGGTAATACATGATCGTAGGAAGATCAGATGGTGTCTCCGTTGCACCCATTTTACTGTCCCACCAACGCTGTTGCTTCATTCAAATGTATGATATACCTACTGTCTAATATCATTGCGGCAACAACGGAGATCATAAACAGAGGGAAACGGGAACAGCCATCCACAAGTTTCTCATCTTCTCTATAGCAAGCGATTGGAAAAACTGAATATTCATAGAGTTACCCGCGGCGGGGAAGAAAGCAATTAAGACGTAATGCAGTTATCGATGTGTATATAAAGGCATGATCGCTCGCGTTGGATTGACAGAACATCAATCAATAACTTGTTGTCCTTATTCTCTTTCCTTTGCTCCCATCACATTCTTTGTTTCCTTCTAACTACCACTAAACAATAATGAAGCTTTCATCTGTTGCTGCTGCCTTGCTCTTGACACTGGCTACGCCTGTATTCTCGGTGCCCCTTGAGCGCCGTGCTGCCGAAAGCAGTGGTGACAGCAGTGTCCCTACTACTAGCGCTGCTGTTTCCGCTACTTCCGCTGCCTCGTCTTCTAGTGCTCCTGTGGCTAGCGCAACTCCTGCTGACAGCGAATTGGCGTCGTGGATCGACGAAGAAACCACCTTTAGTCAAAATGGTATTCTGGCCAATATCAATCCCGAAGGTTCTGTAACCGGCTTCATTACTGCAAGTCCTAGCAAAGATTCGCCTGATTATTTCTACAGCTGGACCCGCGATTCTGCTTTGACCATCCGATCTGTGTTGCACATGTATAATACGTCTCCCAGTGATGATCTTGTCGCCGTGCTGAAGGATTTTGTTACCTTTCAAATTAACGCAATGAATACAGACACTGTCTGCGACTGTCTTGGTGAACCAAAGTAAGTCTTTGTTGCTATACCAAATTTTGCTCTTTTCCATCGTCTCTGTGTGTTGATCTAATATGGATGAATTCAAATCTAGATTCAATGCTGATGGTAGCAGCTACACCGGTGCTTGGGGCCGGCCCCAAAACGATGGCCCTGCCGAGCGCGCGACTGCAATGATCTTGATTGCAAATGCCTTGAACGACAACTCTTCGTATGTTGAAGATACCTTGACGCCTGGTATGTATACTACAATGCTGTCTACTACTCATAACACTTTGAATTTAAACATTTTTCTCTTTTTGCTATAGCGATTAAGCAGGACCTCGATTATGTTGTCGAAACGTGGGATCAAACCTGCTACGACCTTTGGTAAGTAATGATTACAGGAATCAATCTATTGCAGTATATATTTTCATTTGAGCTATGTAATAATTTCTTCTGTTGCAATTTTTTTAGGGAAGAGGTTAACGGCTTGCACTTTTTCACGTACGTATGACCTACTAACTAGTGGATATATAAGTTTTCTAACGCCCATGAAATCTTTAACAACAACTTAGCTTAATGGTTATGCGTCGCGCCCTGATTGATGGTGCTTCATTCTTGTCGGATGACTCGTACACCTCAACCGCCCAGGAAATCGAGACCAAGCTCGATTCCTTCTATGGTGACAAGGATTACATTGAAGTAACCCAACAACTTTCTGGTGGCGCTGATTACAAGTCTTCTGGTCTTGACACCTCTACCCTCATTGCTGCTAATGTCGCTGGTCTTGGCGATGGAATTTACACTCCTGGTTCCGATAAGGTAAATATTAGTATAATCATGTCCAAACTTTCATGCTTTTGCAATGTGTGTTATAATATGGAGGATGGTATCGCGAATTTTCGATATAAACTGATGATGGTATTTTTTTTCACAATAGATTCTCGCAACCTCATTGGCCATCAAAGAAGTATTCTCTGATTTGTATGCCATCAATGCTGACTCCAACTCAACTGGCTTATCCTATGCTATTGGCCGTTATCCCGAAGACAAGTATGATGGCCTCGGTACCTCGGAGGCTAACCCTTGGTTCTTGTGTACTTTGGCATTTGCTGAGCTGTATTACCGCGCTATTGACGAATGGAAATCGGCTGGTTCGATTGAAGTCACTGATGCAAGCGCTGCCTTCTTCCAGCAATTCGACTCAAGCGCTGTTTCAGGAACCTCGTACACAGCCGACTCGGATGATTTTAACTCGATCGTGCAAGCTGTCGCTGCCGAGGCGGATACTTACTTTGCCCGTGTCCAAAAGCATGCTTCTGATAATACCATGAGCGAACAGATCGATCGTGATTCTGGCGAAGAAGTCGGTGCTAAGGATCTCACTTGGTCCTATGCGGCATTTGTCACTGCCGCTGCTGCATACAATGGTAGCCCATCGGCTTAAATAGTTAAATAGAGCTTCTATCATCATCAGCATATGTTATGAATTCTCTACTATTGCTACCTCATAACTTAGCGATCCCTTCACACTCCTTATTATTTCAATACTTTATATTATCCAAGTATACAAAAATAAACCATATAGCTTTCGAATCAGATATATACCATTTTCAATAGAATGAGCGTACTCATAAGAATTTCGAGTGCGGTGTATCATCATGCAAAATAAGCATTACTGTGTAAGCATATCTCTTTAACCAATTTTTTTCTATCGGGGCCCTGAATTCCTTCTAGCCGCAAAAGACCTTGACACGCTCTTTTCTATTTTACCTTAAACTTCATAATGATTTTCTCCTTGTACATCATCAACAAAGCTGGTGGTTTAGTGTACCAGAAAGACTTTACCAACAACCTAGAAAAACTTTCCAGTAACGAGTACCTTGTTCTCGCGGGTACATTCCACGGGTAAATTACAAATTTTGACGACGTGTTTCTACAAGTATTGATAACAATTTCATTATGCTCATCCATTCTCGTATATGCTGTCAATAAAGCGTACACGCCATTACCTCGAAAATCTCTCCAGTACATAACTCGTCAGGCGTTGAACTGCTAGAAGCAGACAATTTTAAACTTTACTGTTTCCAAACCCTCACCGGTAATAATATCATCTAAAGGAGGAGGAGAAAGGAAAGGAAACATTGTAATAGGGTATTCAAAAGGCATGATAATCTTTCCAGGCACCAAGTTTCTCCTCATCACCTCACCACAGCAAAACAGCGTAGATCCGTACATGAAAAAGATATACGATATCTACAGCGACTTTGTCATGAAAAATCCATTCCATACGCCCGAAATGCCTATTCGATCCGACCAATTTGACCAATCCCTACTAAAATTCATCAAAACCATCAACGGCCCGTAAAAAAAACAAGAAACCTGTACACTACTACTGTGATAGCAATGCATATCGAAAATATATATATATATCCAGCGATCAAATGACGAACGACAACGGTTTTGCTTTTTATACAATTGAGGAAAAGAAATATGGTGCAAAAAAGGATGTGTGTATGTATGTGTGTAAAGAGGGAGAAAGAGAGGGACGGAGAGAGAGAAAGAAGCAAAGTATACGAAACATAAAAAGAGTCTAGATGGTATGAGGGTTTGTATGGAATGGTGACCAAACGCCTCGAACGCTCTCAGTCGTGGAAATGACAGGCTTCTTTGCCAAGTTCTTCAATTTGGCACCGCTTGAGTCGCGCAAAAGATCAACTTTCTTCGCAATTTCTGAAGGTGTCATGTTGCGTGTGCAGATAACTTTGTCGCGACCATTCACTGTAAAAATAGATAATTGGAGCTGGTCAATAACATATACAGCATGACTAACGTAACTAATATACGAAACATACAATAGTTGCCACGGACGACAGGATGGTGGTGAGGTCTTGGCTCCACGATAATTTCAATTTGTGGGTTTTCGCGTGCAAAGTTGGCGAGATCCTTCTTGATGAATTCACTGAATGGAGTAGCATTCAAATAGTAATTTGCGTTAATGGTTTTTGTTCGTAAACAAGAATGTTGACAGTTGCATTGGGTGTAATATTCTTACATCATGCCCTTGTTAGATCCCCATCGTTCGCAGTAGTTGAACACCAAGCTTTTGCATTGAAGTACGAAAGCGCCAGCACCATTGTTGGTCTTTGGCAGCGCTCTTGCGATGGCCGACATGATATATGTATTGTCTAGTTTAAAAATAAAAGAAAAGTGCGCTGGGCCAACAGCCTGAAAATTCAAAGTGTTCGACAATGACTGCTGCTTAGTGACTCTTTTTGCCATTTTCATCCCACTTCCTCTATTCTTTTTTTTTTCTGCTTTTTTTTTCCTTGCCTTTGTCCTCCGCCAACAACGAAATGTAAGATCACGCAACGGTCTGCAGTATAATGTGATTAGCCTAATTCTTAAATCACTGCTTAGGTCTCGATTGTGTGTTAAAAATTTACCAAAATATCTGTCTGAAGAAGATTTCCGCAAGCACTTTGCTGCGAAGGGTGAGGTGACCGATGCTAAGCTCATGAAGACTGGGTAAGTGGCACTTGATAAACTTTTTCTTTTGGAAAGATCTCGGGCGAAAAGATTTTTTGTGTATAGAACTAACGGAATGGCCATATAGTCAAGGACGATCGCGGCGATTTGGCTTTGTGGGTTATCGTACAGAAAAGGCAGCCGAAGAAGCTTTGGCGTACTTTAACAACAGCTTTATCAACATGTCAAAAATCGTAGTGGAAAAGGCAATTCCGGTAAAATTATACTCCAACCCTATTTAGTATGTCGATTGGAACTGTCATCATTGAACCTAACCAAATGTTATACCTATATTTAATATAAAGTATGGATCAGAAGACCTTAATCGTCCCTGGAGTAAATACTCTACTGGTTCATCGGCATTTGAAAAGGTGCATGGATCAGAGAAAAAGCAAGACGAGTTCCAAGTTGAAGAAACAGACGCATTTCGTGAACAGCAACAAAAGATGCAAGAGCATGTCAACACATTCACCAACGCTGAAAACGATCCTAAGTTACAAGAGTTTTTGGGTGTCATGGCAGCGCGATCAAAGGGCAAGACATGGGCAAACGACGATCTAACAGTTTTGGAAAAATCAAAGGATCAGGATGTTGTCAAACAGATAGTAGCAGACTCAGATGACGATTTATACGACGAACTTCCTTCAAAACAATCAGGGACGAAAGAAGACAATGACAACGGGGACGACGATAAAATGGATGAAGACAACGTGAAATTGAACGACGAAACAGCAAGCGGCTCTAGAGCGATGGATGTAGATGAACATAACCCACACGTGCGTAATCAGGCACCTATGGACGTTACCGAGCAAATTGAAGACACAGGTCGCTTGTTCGTACGGAATTTGGCTTATACATGCACGGAAGACGATTTGCGCGAGCTGTTTTCTCGATACGGATCCTTGGCAGAGGTGAGCTACATTATTTGAAGGCAAGTATATTTATGGTGGTTGTGGTAACTAAATATTATAAACACGGTAGATCCATATGCCAATTTCCAAAGATACCAAACGACCCAAGGGTTTCGCGTATGTCACATTTACACTTCCAGAGCATGCTGTGAAAGCGCACAAGGATATGGATATGAAGAATTTCCAGGGCCGTTTGATCCACATTTTACCGAGCAAAGAAAAGCCTCAGCAAAAAGAGGAGGAAATCCTTGGTCCTAACGGCATGAAGATGAGCAAGTTCAAGCAACAAAAGGAATTGGATCGCAAGAAAAATGCAGGCAGCGAATTCAACTGGAACTCGCTGTATATGAGTGTGCGTATACCTCAATAGTGTGTCGTCGATGGATATTCTTACTTGTCGTTGTATTGTGAAAGACTGACACTGAAAACTGACCTTATATAGAGCGATGCTGTTGCAGAGTCCATTGCCAATCGTCTCGGTATTGACAAGGCCACGTTGTTGAATCCTAACGCAGACAATATGGCTGTCCGACTTGCGTTGGCAGAAACAGAAATTGTGAATGAAACCAAAAAGTTCTTTGAACAGCATGGTATTGTTTTGGATGCATTCGGTGACAAGACGCGCAGTGACACCATTCTCCTTGTGAAGAACACGCCTTATGGTACATCCGAGGATGACATGAGAGAGTTGTTTGGGCGATTCGGCGAACTGGGCAGAGTAAGTAAAGAAAGAAAGGAAAAGGACAACAAGAGCAAAAAAAAACTGATATATGCCGTTTTGAAAATTAGGTATTGGTCCCACCTGCCAAAACAATGGCTGTTGTAGAGTTTTTAGAACCTAGCGAAGCTCGTGCAGCATTAAAACAACTCGCATATCGTCGCTACAAGGATACTTTGTTGTATCTTGAAAAAGCACCTAGCGGCTTGTTCAAGGACAAGTTCAATCCGGAGATGCTCAAGAAGACACAAGAGGATGCCAAACAGGTGGTAAGCGGTGCAGACTTTATTGCCGTGGACCAAGGTGATGTCGACGAGAGCAACCTTGGCACCCTTTTCGTCAAGAACCTCAATTTCAAGACAACACCCGACCGGTTACAAAAGGCATTCATGGGCATCGAAGGCTACCGGTCATCTCGTATCAAGGTCAAACCGGATGCAAAGAACCCTGGCAAAACTTTGAGTATGGGCTTTGGTTTCATTGAGTTCAAAACCAAGGAATTTGCAGAAAAAGCACTTCGTGCTATGCAGGTACAGTATCACAAATGCGTTGCTAGCTGAGATTTCTGTTGCTTATCCATTATACTGCTACATAGGGATATACGCTCGATGGTCACGTCTTGCAGTTGAAATTCTCAAATGCCAGTGCAAGCGCTACGTCTACCAAAACCGAAAAGAAACCCGAAACGACCAAACTTATGGTGCGCAATATACCGTTTGAAGCAACAAAGAAGGATTTACAAGAACTGTTTGGGTAAGTAGATTAGACTATACAGCATCTTTCTGCAAATAAGCGGAGACATTCCACTTGACGCCTAACGTTGTTCAATATAGAACACATGGAAAGATGGAATCTGTTCGATTACCCAACAAAGCCACTGGTGGTCATCGTGGTTTTGCCTTCTTGAACTTTTCTACCAAGCAAGAAGCCAAGAATGTCTATGACAGCATGGGTAATATTCACTTGTACGGCCGTCATCTTGTCTTGGAATGGGCTAACGAAGATGAGGGTGTCGATGCTCTGCGAGAAAAGACTGGAAAGAGTTTCGCGAAGGAAGAGCGAATTGGTGGACGATTAAACAAGAAGCGCAAGGTCGAAGTAGACGAAGGGGAAGAAGAGTTTTAATTCACTTTTTGTTTTTCTTTTATACTCATCCATCTCTTTAATTTCGCATCATCTTTGTATTTTCTATTCTGGCTTTTCTTCTTCTGCATCCTGTATTCCCTCATATAACTTTTAATGGTTTTTATTATATATTACATTTGCACATTTGTACCAAATTAAAAAAAGAACTCATTGCATATTCAAAAACGCAAAAAGTCTAATATATGTGGCTATATGCTATCAAAAGCTTTACTTTATGTACAAGATGTTGTAGCAGTTATTCAGGAAGGTGATCAAAAAGTTTAGATGCATAGTGTACATGCTTAGTGAGAATAGATCATATCATAGAAGCAGAAAGCTTGTCCATCCAGCGGTTAGTGATGATGAAGAAGTGAATAATTGGCATAACATAGATCTCACCAGTACGTGCTTGATTGATTGACACTTTTGTAAGCGGCTCCAACCGTTTGAGCGTATTGTCGGCGAATAGTGAATGTCAAGGTTTGTATATGATGCTGCAACGCGCATTCTTTGGTATGCGATATAGCGATGAATACTACTGGCGCCGCTAACAGACGCACACTAGACAATATGGCTTTTGAACTTGCTCTGTTATTCACTTCCTTGTTGAGATACATGGTACAACAATTTCCCTTAAAGTACGTAGAGCCACTTTCAGATGATATGGAAAGTCATGCTCTTCAGTCCAAGGACATTATACGAAACTACCTTTTTTCCATAAGCATCACATGTTCCTTCAAGGTAAATGTTTGCTGACAGATATCACTCAAAGTGGCGTCATTTCGAGACAAACTGTTATGCATGTGTGAATTTCGATATGTCAAGCGTCTTTCATGGCGATCGATAGAATATAAACCTTCATTTCCTGATCCATGATGCAACTGAGGCCATTGGTAACGAGTACCAACTAGCAGAGTTTACTTTCGGTTATGTATGAAAGAAAGGGTGTGTATAATCACTCCTTATTTAGTAAGCTCTTGGGATGTATGCACATACAAAGCCCTTGAGTAGTTGTGTGAGATGCGCCAATAGGTATTTTAGTTAATAACACAATGTACTACCAAACTCACTTTATAAAAAAGTCAGAAAGAGAGATGATTTAGTATCGTACCACCTCAATTGCTTCGGTCGGTCAATATTTTACTGGATTCAGGAAACTGAATGAAAGAAAACAAAAAAGACCTTTCCAGTTCTTGTACCAGGCCTACTCTCCCTCTTCTTTCCCTCCCTAGGAAAGAAAAACCATGGGCAGTCCAATTGAGAGCACGTTGAGTTTTTTTTTCAGGTCAAGGCGCGCAAAGTAGGAGGTAAAGTTTATAATTAAGGGACAGGTGCCTGTACAATGATCGGAGCTCTCCAACGGTTTATTCATGGCGATCTCTTTCTTTTTCTTTGTTGTGTTGGTAATTTTCGCCCTGAAGCACAAGAACGCCCAAAAGGTGGTAGCCTTAAAAGTCAAAATGGCATCACTTTTTGGAGTCGGTAACAGGCTGTAATGGTTTATCGTATCTCCACTCTAAGATGCAGACTTCAACTGCACAACCCATGAAGCTCATATTTGTAGCGGAGGATGGTAGTAATTATAGCAACAAGGCTGACTTTCAGTAGCATGGGTTCCATTGAAAACAGTGGAAACAGTCTCTTCCTGTCAATGTCTCGTGCATTTACTTTTAGCAATATCATATCTGTCTTTTTTGTTCATGTCATGTCTCTCCGCGAATAATTTCCAGCTTTGACCTGAAGAGAAGTAGCGCATACGTATCGTCTATCGTTACTACCCTACTGTTATTACGACGGATATGCACACAAAGGAAGACTATTTAATTTCATGTGATATGTTATAAGATCCAAGCATGTGTCACAAGTGCTCTTTTCGTAAATGCCGATGATGAGACGGCTATTCTTCCGGAACAATTCTTATTCGTAATAGTTCAATGACGGTGTGCGACTGCGTTAAGGAAGTACAGTACAGCACAATGGTGAATTAATGTCCCTGTTCATTTTACAAACACTAATCACTGACAAGCAATATCAACAACTTCGCAACGCACCTTTCTAAAGAACATATTCCACATAATAGTCTTCCGATTGCTAATAATGTCGACGCAGACAAACAATTACAATATATTGACGCAGGTCGTGATTTGTCTCGAAGATGTGGTGTGGTGGCTCGTAAATCAGATTTGAGCTTAGATAGCGGCATAATGTAGAAAAATAGATAAGCATCCGCAGATCAAAGTAGACCACAAGCAAGTGACTCCCAATATCAGCAGCAGCAGCAGCAGCAGCATCATGAGGAGTACATATACACCTTTTCGCTCTCTCCTTCATCAATAGCAAAGATGGGTTATGCTGCTTCTAGTAGTGGCAGCATATGTCGTGCAACGCACACATACTATTGACAGATTCTCAGGACACAGTTGATTTCCTTTGCCCACGATGTTTTACACGGATCAAAAGGAGTCAATGTGTATTTACTGTCCTGGAAAGCATTGTACCTAGTGTACTATACTCACACTTACTTTGCATTTAGCGAAAAGCAACATTGATCATGTAGGTGCCAAGTACACATAGTGTTTAATCTTGTAGCAGCTTTCTAAACTCATCCCATATTATTAAGCTCAGTTTTACAAACTTTACAAGAACGGCAAGTAATCGAACTATACTCACACACGCACAACTGCTGTTGCCGTACCACACATATTGTACCCCCCGCAATTCAACATCCGACTGGTACGTATTGGGTATTGCAATGAACTCCAGAAATAAGAAAAGAAAGGCAGATCTCTCACTCTCTGCTCCCACCAACACTCACACCAACCCCCCCTTCTTCGCTCTTTTTCTGGCCGGGCGTGCCTTTTCCGCAGCTTTACGTGCTTTTTTTTGTTGTCTTCGTTTTCTCTTCTTTTGTTTCTTATTCTTTTCACCAGTTTCTCATACTTTTTGTCACCTTTTCTCGGCCTGTGCGTGCATGCGTCTATAGAGAACACAAAAGGCCCGTTCTCTCTCTTTGTATTGTTGCCTGCACACGCTCTCTCTCTCTCTCTCTCTCTCCACATACACACCTACGCATACCAGTACACCTCACCGACCGAAATACTTGCGTGTGAATGCCCGCTTTCGACTTATAATCTCCCCGTCCATTCGTCATCACAATTATGCGCTCTAACACAAAGCTTATCCTGAGCCTAATAAATCGCGTCGCTGTGCGAGTAAGCAAATACGTCCGAAAATCTCGAACCTTTGGGGTCGGGTTTCTTTTCCTCATCACCATTACGTTTATACAAATTAGCTACCGATCAACAGCGGAAGAAAGATTGAAAACCTGGAACAAGATCCGATCGTTCAACAAACTGGTAAATGCTGTGTCCTTCATTTTGTAGGAGCTTGGAATAAGGGAAAAAATAAGCGTTGTTTCGTGGGTTGTAGAGCTAATTAAAAGAATTGGGGGTTGAACAATGTATGTATTCTTTTTTTCAGTGGCCGCCATTATTGAATTGTCTAGATACAAGCTATCCACTATCGCCAATGCACTCGGAACCGTCCTGGAAAATGTATCCAAGGTAACGTACAAGCAAACAAACCCACTTTTACTAGGATCTAGAAGAGAAAAAGAGACACTAAGTGTGTCCTCCTCTCCTCCAAACCCCTTGGGGTGATCGTATGTAGAATCATCAGTCACCTACGGCTGTCCTGGAACAACATATCCCGCCTGAAGTTCTTCAATCGCAGTTGTTTGTTCTTCGACTTCTTTCGGCATGTATGCAGCACCATTGGAAAACGTATCGCGAAGTAGCAAAACGAAAACTCGCCGAGGGAGCCTACGCATCAAACTCGGTCGAAGCTGCTGTCGCTGCACAAGCAACAGGCGCTGTTGGCAGCGAAAACGAATTTCTTCAGGCCCCTGTCGCGTCTGGCTACACGCGTGCTCAGGAAATGAACAACAGTAGCAAAGACAAAGGCTCATCATCCGACGACCCAACCCACGACTTGCAATCACCCGTTTACAGCATTGATCGTATGGTCGATCCGCCGCCGCTCGACGAAGCATTGGTTACATTTCTTTTGGCTCTCGTCGGCCGCTTCTTAAACCAGGCACACATCATTGAAGAAGCAAACGACCAAAACATGTCGACGCCATCAGAATACCCAATAGAGACCCTTGCATCTGCTGCCAATATCGATCCAAAGACGCTAGCATTGATTGTGGATATCTACAAAACGGCAGGACGAGTGCTTTATTACGTCAGTGCGAGCAATTGGTCGACTTACTACTCAAAAATCAAGAACGCCGTCCATATTCTGGGTGCTATGGGCGAAGGCTCGGAACTGAATCCTCCTGAGATCCGGATGCTCGAATGCAGCTGTTTGACTCGTCAACGTATTCACACTGTATTATCCGGTACGATAGCGATAGCGACAGTGCTTGTGATTCATTGCCGCGTGAGACAACATGGGGAGGCTATTATTAACATCCATTGCTTTTCAAAAAAATAGAGCTCAGTCCATATTTTTTGCACATGAAGAGACAAGGCAAACTGCTGTTCTCCAAAATGATGCGAAGGGCCATATGGAGGTGGATCGAAACATACCCTGCCCAATTCGCTGAAGTGTGTGCTAGCGACAATCGGTTGCTCGGCGGTTCTGAAATCCTATTCGACATGTGTAGTTCTACGGCAGACAATCCAAGAAAAAAGGCTATTTTATGGCCCTTGCAGACGATTCTCTTGGTGTTGTCTCAAGATCTATTGCTGCAGGCATTTTTGGATAACCCATCATCTCAAAACCGAAGAGTAAGGATACATTGAGAATAAAGGGGGCAGTAACGGATCAGAGGTGCTGATGGAAACTTATCATTCTATTAGACAAGTTTTCTTGGTGTATTGAGAAAATCATTACGCACGTCAAAGACAGCAGATATAGCAGCGATGTGCTATGTGGATCTTTGCAAAGCTGCTACCTACGTCCCTCCCACTGACGACTGTGTTCTCCGCCACATTGCCGCTGATATAGAGGACGATTTACAAGAAAAAGTATGGGACTTTTCGCGCAATGTAGCACACGATGCTGCGGCCACTGCCAGTCTCGGCTACACCATCAACCATCAAGCGCTCGTTACCGACTACCTGCTAGCACGACTGCGGCTGGATCCTGAGGTCGCTCTTCAACATATTGTGCCGCAAGTTCTGGATGAAAGCGTACCAATCACTTTTAAAATAGCACTTGTCAAGTCCTGCTTGGAAATTGCACGCGACGAAAACCGACTACCATGGAACCCGTCCATTCAATCCATGTATAGCTCCTTGTGCACACCTTTACGCAAGCTCTTTTTGCAAGCCATGAATCAAGAGCTCATGTCCAAAGATGGAGGGGCACAAGCATCCGCGCCCAAAAAGGTGATGACGGGTCCTGACGGCAGAGTGATTGTTCGTGCTACGCCATCCGTTGCCCAAAGCCGAATCGAACTATTGCAAGACCTATTGCGCCTTTTCCGAGTCGATCCATTGTTAGCATTATTGGTAAGCCGCTTTACAGAGTTACACTATCGGCAGTAAGGTTGCAAATACTCAAGGAGCATATGTATCACAGGGTAGCGACAATGATGCGGTAGAGGATAACTCTGCAATTATGATCGGCATGGCGAACTTGTTCCAACACTATGATCAAGGTATCCGGCAACTGGCTAGTGAATGTCTATCCAAGCTCCATTTGTCAGACAACATTGTACGCTGGGGACCCGAGTCGAAAACCATGATCAACTTTTGGCGCATCTCATCCAAGGTTGTGTTTGTGCTCGCCAAGCAGATCCTAGACAACAAGCAGGGCGAAGAAGGATTGAAATCTTTGTTGACCCTTTTGATAAAGTTACTATCTGCACGTAATGAGTTTTTGGGCAACAACCAGGTAAGTCTAGGGAATATAGTAACCAAAGAGAGTATGCACAGAAGTCTAACAAAGGATGCCTCATTCCCCAGGAACGAGTGACTGAAGGGGCTGATGCACGGGAGCGATTACAGGCCTCTGTGGCCCTTGAGATAGCTCTGTTGGTCTCGTTGTGTTGGCCAAATCCAGATGTATGCTCGGACGCCATCCGGTGCCTGGGATATTTGTGCGACGAAGCTGGTCTCGCAGACGAAGATGAAGATCCTCAGCAGGGCCAGATTACGCTTATCTGCAACTTGCCAGTATACTGCGACTTGGCATCGGAGGACTCTGTCTTTTTGGGACGCAAGGCTCAACAAAAGCGGATTCGCAAGTATATGCGTTTGATTACACGACATACACCAGGCAACCTTGCAGCATGGGAAGAGGCGTGGAAACGATGGAAAGTCTTGACCCAAATGCTCGGTCGTCTTGGCGAAGAAGCTGCTGTAGAAGAAACCACGACAGATTTAAACCAACCGGGCAACTTGAAAAAACCAAAGCAACGCACCACACAAACAGTACAACCTGTACCAAAACCAGCGGCACCAGCCATAAACCGCCTTGAAATGGATGACGAAAAGCAGATGTTGTGGCAAAACTATACCGGCTTCCTTGCAGCACTTGGTGGGTGCTGTCTAGCATCCGAAGCAGAGAATAATAATATCAACAACAGAGGTATCGCCGCAGCCTCCTCCGACCAGCAACGACGCGCATCTTCGCCCAGCGAGTCTAATACCCTAGTTGATTCATTCGTGGGTGAAATGACCAACCTGTTGATATCCGACAATGTGTTCATTCGGGAAGGCGTCAAAGAAATCCTTGGTACGGATTTGTCGCCTACGTTATACGCCATTCTTTTCCGTCACCTTGAACGAGTTATGACCCGGTCCTTTGGCTCCGACAATGAGCCCATTTGCAGCGCACGAAATACTCTGTTTGTCGAACAAGCCGTGCTTGTCCTCAAGCTGATCTTGGATCGACTTGTAGACCCAGGAGATGTCTTGTTGAGCATAGACTTTAGCACATTGATTTACCAATTTGCCAAATACCTCAATAAGCTACCCAACAGCTTCAATACCCTCCGAATCAAGATCAAAATGTGCCACCTGGTCGAGACATTGATGCAAAAGAAGGAACAAATCGTTGTCCGTGACGAAATGCGGTTGCGCAACAGACTGCTTGAAATGATTGTCGAGTGGACAAGCGATTTTGCATTGGTAAGGATACATTGAACAAAGTAAGCGGGTATTTCCCTTATTGACAACATTGCGTGATCTGTATCCATAGCAAAAGCCCGAGATCAAAACAAGCTATGTCGCACAAGATACATCCCAGAACGAAAAGCTGCACCGCGACCTGGACCATGCTTGCTTGAAAGCGATTGTAGCCATCCTGAATCAATTGCCTTTGCAAAGTTCTGAGCCTGTCCGAGAAGCAGACAGCAATCAAGTCAAGAGTCGCCTATTCTACAAATACTTTACTTTTTTCTTAAAACTGCTGAATCGCTGCCGACTTAGCGAGGTAAGATTATAAAAGCGACTTCATACTCATAATCTTTCTTATACACTCTTTGACTAAATTGCCATTCCATTCTCTTGCATGATATCAGATGGAGCTGAACAGTGCCACCGTTGTCAAGAATAATAAAGAGGTGCTTACGCCAGCTAAAACGTCTGAAAATTATCAAGATTGGGCGCCACTCAAAGATTATACCATCTTGGCCATGTCCAATTTGCTCAGTGCAAACGTGGATGCTGGTTTGAAATACTCGCTTGCCATGGGATACCACGAAGACACGAGAACGCGCACAGCATTCATGCAAGTGTTGACCAATATTCTCAATCAAGGTGCTGAGTTTGAGACACTTGCCGAAAGCGTCATGACAGATCGCTATGAAAAGCTGATTGACGTTAGTATTTTTCACTAAAAATCAACAGAGTTTTTTCTTAACTTTTGTTTGAACTTTGCATCTAATCAATATGTGACAATGGACGTTGCTATATAGATGCTGGTAGAAGCGGATATGGACGTAGCGCTGGCCCTGTGCGATGTCTGTCCTTCAGGAGATGCTGCCGGTGTTGCCGAAACCTTGTTGATTTGCTTCGAGTCGCGCGACAAGTCAACTTCGTTGCTTAAGGCTGTCATTGAAAAGGAAGTGGCATCGACTGAACAAGAAGCAACATTGTTTCGCAGTACAACGATGGCAACTCGACTTTTGTCCGTCTTTGCCAAGTTGGTGTGCCACGACTATGTGCGACTCACGTTACAGCCTGCTATGGAAGCAATCAATGCGTTACCGGATGAGCAAACTACTTGGGAGTTGGATCCTCAAAAACTCGGCCCTGATGATGATCTAATGTGCAACAAGCAAAACGTTATTCGAGCCGCAGAGATTCTTTTGAATGCCATTTGTTCGTCTGCAGCCAATGCTCCTCCGTAAGTATTATCCTTACTAACAACCAAGGAAAACTTCTTATCTATAAATACTCATGTGTCCTATGCTATTTCTGCTCATATGCCATGAATACACAGTTCTTTCCGCGAGGAGCTGTCGCTCATTGCTGATGCAGTATGCAAACGCTTCTCTGAGGCCAAGAACACTGCCGTTGGCGGCTTCGTCTTTTTGCGACTCTTCGGTCCTGCGATTGTTACGCCAGATAGTGCAGGCTTCTCCAAACAGGCAACGCCGAGAAACAAAAACGTGCGCAAACTGCAGCTCCAAGCAACGCGTGTCATGCAGAACTTGGCCAACAATGTGCTCTTCGGTGCCAAGGAAACCCACATGATTGTCCTGAACGATTTCTTGACCGACAACATTTACAAGGTCACCAGCTTCCTCCGGGAAATCTCGACGCAGAGTAAAAAGAGCGAACAAAAAGAGAACACTGGCGCGTTCCGGATGGATCAAAAGGGTTATATGCGACTGCACCGGTATTTGTTTGAGAATCTCGAGCGCATGTCCCGCGAACTGGCGAGTCGCAAAGTAAAAGGCGCTACAGACACACAGTCGATGCTCGAGTGGAAGAAGACAGTAGATCGTCTGTCAACATTGATTGCACAGCTGGGTCGACCGAGCGATACTTCCAACAATGACCTCTCGCTCTCGCGCAATTATGCTTTGGCCAATAGCAATCATTATTACAGTGAATTCATCCGACGAAATTGCCATCGTGATTTGTCAAAGATTAGCTCTAAAAATATCGTCTACCAAGCCGGTACATCACGTGGAGGTCGTCCCATCTTTTACGTCATTATAAGACATTTGGATCTGGAAACCACTGACTATGAATTGCTTATCTACTACATGCTTCGGGTAAGTTAGAATTCAGGATATTCATGACTAAATTGAAAAAAATGTTAACCTCTTGCATTAGGTGATGGAACCATATCTCAACCGCCCATTCGAGCTTATGTTTGACTTGACTGGTTTGAATCCATTCAATGAAATCCCGGTCCACTGGCTGAATCAGTTCTTCCAGCTCATCTTTAGTGAAATGAACGACTATCTTGTTGCCATTTACATGTATAATCCAAGCAATTACCTGCAGCGCTACGTTGCACGATTACCACGACTTCTAATCAACAAACTGATCAAACGAGTCCATTTTGCCACGACACTTGCTGATTTGCATGAACGTATTGCACCTTCAGAAATCCACTTGCCCAAGGAAACAGGTAGATACATGTTTAGAGGAAAATTTCTGCTCCCTACTTTATGCGCAGCGCTTTGTAAAAGTATCTTATGATTTTCTAACCCTTAATATGAATCAACTTGTGACCTTGTTAAGTCGATCTGGAAAAGGCACCAAGCACCACGTTCTTCCCTGTTACACGCATGAATAGTTTAAAGTCATCGACCCCGGTGACAATCAAGGTTTCACAAGAATATTTGCAGATCATCACTGTGCGAAAGCAGGAAATCTATTACAATATTTATACTATTTACAATGACGTATATCACATTTCCGAGATTGAAGATATGACGCCGCTTCCAAATTCCAAGCACGAAAACGGTGGTGATCTGATGCTCAAGGTTGACAGAGGCAAAACAACAGTGGTTCTATCTGCTGCTAAGCGTGATGCTATCTTGGCTGTGAGTATTGCTTAAAGTATTGATAATCTGTCTGTATAAGGCCTTTCTTTTACTAACAGCTGCATTACATTCCAGTTGCTCCGATACAACAAGCACCGCTACGAATCATCTAAACCTGGCAACATGAACGAGCGTGCAATTCGACCAAATGATGTGCCTGGCCGATTGCTGAATATGTCTTTGTTGAACATTGGCAGTGATGATCCTGGTTTACGTCTTGCAGCGTACAACCTGCTATATGCTCTCAGTTTGACGTTCCGTTTTGATGTTGGAAATCAATTACTGAACGCAAGAGGTAAACAACAGTGGATATTACATCAACTTTTTTTTTTTCGAAAGGGGCTGACATATGATATGATTATTACCAGATTTATGTATACCCGCCAACAGCACAGATTTCATCGTCAGCATCAGTGAAAGTTTGGCCTCCACAGAGCAACATTTGACGCTTGAATTTTTGAACGAGTGTTTAGTCGGTTTCAACAAGTCCAATGAGCCCATGCGACAGTTGTGTCTTGACTATATGGCACCATGGCTTCGGAATTTGGCCGTATACAGCCGAAACATTCCTGATGATCACAACAAAAGCCTGGCAAAGACCAAGGACGTGCTCGGATTACTTATTAAACTCACTGTGACCCGGACAGATGTAAGTACAATCATACCCTGAAGTGGATCAGATCTAGGGATTGATATGAGACATCCCAATAACACCATGGAAAATAGATGTACAAGCATGTACAAGCCAAGATATGGCGAACGTTATCACGAGTCGACGACATGGTCAATTTGATCATAGATGCATTTGTCCAGTACTCGGTCGAGAATGGCATCGGATCTCCACAAGCAGAAGCTATGGCAGATACTATTGTGACCATGTCAAGTATTTCAGTTCGCGGTAAGGTGATCAGCCGAATGCGACGTGTGATACAACGAACTTCCCTACGACCGTGTCGAAGCTTGACGGAGCATCCTGCATGGGTTGAAATTGCGGTTCTGTTACGATTTGTTCTTATGCTTTCGTTCAACAACGTCGGACCTGGCAAACCATACCTTCCCGAAATATTCCACATTGTATCACTGTTGGTTGGCACGGGGCCTACGCTTATTCGTGCTTCTGTACACGAGCTCGTTGTTAATATCATCCACACTCTTTGTACCGGCATGCCACAATCCGAGGAGAATATCAAAAAACTGCACTTTGTCCTAAACGATGTCTGTGACAGCAAGAATCGTGTGTATTTCGGTCTGACCAAACCGCACGCGAATGCGTTTACCATCACACACGAAACAATGACAGATGTCTCGGAAACGGTCAATTTATCCTCCCTTGAAAGCATCATTCGTCTTTTACTGGAGGCACTAAGCATCGGTGCACCCTCTATTGGTAAGTGAGAGAGAGAGCAAGAGAGCTACGGGTCGTTTTAGAGCCGCTGTTACTAAATGAAATTTATAGATGTTGCCAACATGTGGCGAGCCCGATGGATGGGTCTAGTGACCAGCACAGCATTCCAGTTCAACCCAGCCATCCAGCCTCGTTCCTTTGTAGTACTTGGCTGCCTGGCACAAGACGAAGTAGACGATGATCTGATATACCAAATCCTCGTGGCGCTGCGTGGCGCTTTGGCCATTTTCAATGAGACCGACTCCAGTCTTATCGTGAGCATCATGATGTGCTTAAGCAATGTGATTGACAATCTGCCGGCAGATTCACGGTACCTGCAGCCTTTGTTCTGGCTCGCCATTGCACTTGTACAAATGAGCCACCCAGCAACGTTTTCCCCAGCAGTAGAATTCCTCCAATCGGTGCTTCGTGCATTGGACGCACACAAATTGTTTGCCAATAGACCGGTCGTGGACGTATTGATGGATGCACGCGCGCCTTTGGGTGAGATCGCCAAGGAACTCGATATTGCCAGTGGCGTCAGTTTCGATACACATTTTTCGTTTGCTGTGGCCGGCGTTCTACTCAAGGGCATCAAGCACAGTAACCCCAAAGATGTGGTGTTCCAGTGCCTGACAACGTTTTTGGAAATTGATTGTAAGCGGTCGTTGGAGCAAAATGTCGTCGAGTCGCGAACTTTAGGATACCTTGCCGGTTTATTGCCACTCGCAGCAAAGAACAACGCGTTGCGTGAGTTATTACGTTTGGCCGGTATCAATGACGTGGATCTGGATGGCTTGGAGTTTGGATCGGCCTATGTCCGCATCTTTGATACTCTAGAGATACCCGACAACACGACGGCATTATTGTTGGTGTCGCTACTGGTGACGCTTCTCAATTCTGCAGAAAACGAATCTGAAAGATTATTCCTGTACAGCTTTTTGGCCGAAGCTGCTGTGTCTATACCTGAAGTTTTCGCTTTAATGTGAGTATATATACCTACAGTGGATATCTGCGAGATGAGTCAGAAAAGGAAAATGCATCATTTTGCTAAATGAATTCGGATTGATAGATATGAGAGCTTGCTCCCCAAGATGAACCAGATCGTTGTGAGCGGACAAAACTACGCGGTAATTGATGCGGTTAAGAATATCTTGATGACCGCATGCTCAGAGCCAGCATTCAACTACTCGCTTAACCGACGTAGCCAAAAAGCATATCTCGACGAACTCGGATTCTCTGCCCTTGGCGATCCTACTTTTGGTGCAGCCAAGTCGAACGTAGCCATGAGTGCACAGCTTGCCAGCAAGTTGCTGGAACGAATCACAGAATAAGAGCCCACGCTCTCTCTCTTTTTTTATCTTTAACTTTTAATGCTAACCCTGTCTATTTCCTTTCTCTTTCCTACTCGCTCTTCATTATATTACCATTAGTTGGCGCACACACATATATATACTCTCAAACACACACATCTCTACTCCACTCCATTTACATCCACTCACTTTTGCACATGCACAAAAAGAACAAAGAAAATTACTTTTCTGATTATACATATTCAAAAAGTTGAATAAATAGTAGTATCCAATTTTATGTCGCACAGCGGTCGCGGTACGATAAATAAAAAAATGACGCGCAGCTGATGTGTGTATTTCAAACGCTTGCTTCAATACCACTTGAAACTTATCTGGAAAAAAATGGAAGGAAAAGAGACAAAGGAAGAACGCCCCATTGTATTTTTCGACATTTCCATCGGCGATGTACCCGTTGGCAGAATGAAAATGGAACTTTACAGTGATATTGTACCCAAAACAGCAGAAAACTTTCGGTAATGATCTACTAAAGATTTGGGGAGAGGATCGCGTAATGACTGAAAGATTAAACGTTTGTTTGTACTGACTGGAGGTTATGTATACTGTATAATTAGACAATTATGCACAGGCGAATTCAAGTAAGCTAGTTGATCTCTTTGGCAAAGAAACAGAGCCAAATTTAACCATTTTTATGCGTAGGCGCAATGGCATTCCTCAAGGCTATAAAAACTGCTCGTTCCACAGGTAATGGAAGTGGTTGATAACCGTATTCAACTCCCGAGTACTTGGTGGATATCGTAATATTAACAATGCGATGCAATTATTGCTACCTTAGAATTATCAAAGATTTCATGGTTCAAGGTGGCGACTTTTTGAAGGGTGACGGCACTGGATCCATGAGCATTTACGGCGAAAAGTTCGAGGACGAGAATTTCACTGTGAAGCATACACAAGCCGGTCTGCTATCGATGGCAAATTCGGGCCCTGGAACCAACGGATGTCAATTTTTCATTACATGCGATAACTGCGAGTTTTTGGATGGCAAACACGTTGTATTCGGTCATCTAGTAGATGGCTTACTCACACTGAGAAAGATCGGTAAGAGGCACTTGATATAGGAAAAAGTGATGAGGGCTTTTTTCAGATCTAGAATGTAAATTACATTGCTTACATGAACATCACAATACAAATTAATTTCAGAAAACGTATCAACGGGTCAAAACAACCGACCCAAACTGCCGGTCAGAATCACAGGTAAGAAGAGATTTTAAGAATACGGTTATAGAGAGATAACTCACACAGAGAGTTAATCAAATTTATATGGACTTTTTTTTGTTGTTGTTGCTGCTGTTTGAAAATAGAATGCGGGCAAATGTAAGAAGGGAAGGACGTAAAAAAGAAGAAAAAATAAACAATTATATGTAAAAAAGTTATATTAATGTCACATTGGATGTTGTTGTTGATCAGTATGTTGCTGTTGCTGTTGTTGGCGACGGTTGAGCAATAATCGTTGATGGAGCTCATGTATCTGTTGCGGTGTTAGATTAGCCATACCTCCAGCAGCAGTCATAGGCATTCCCATCATCCCATTATTAGCTGGTACACCACCCATTGCACCAGGAACACCAGCGGAACTTCCAATGTTGATATTGGATAACAATAAGCTGTGTTGATTAAGACCTGGACGAGCGCCTAGTCAGATAAGGTATATATTTAGTTATTGGAGCCCTTCTATGCAGCAGAAATCGTATCAAGGTTTATGCAAAGCTTACCGTTCATATTATTGAGAGGACTTCCCATAGCGTTTGCATTCATCATTGGTTGGCCTTGACTTTGTTGCTGCTGTTTTTGTTGTTGGAGTTGCTGCTGCTGTCTTAACGCTTGTAGTAGTTGAAGGTTTTGTGGATTATTTACAAAGTTCGGATTGTTTGCCATGGCGAGTAAGGATGCTGGAATGCTCCCAGCTTGAGCACCTGTGGTACCCATCATGCCAATTGGTTTGCCCTGTTGCGGCTGTTGTGGTTGTGGCTGTTGTTGCTGCTGTGGCTGCTGCTGTTGTTGTGGCTGTTGTTGTTGTAATACATTAAGTGCTTGTGGAAAATCTGGAATGTTTGAGCGACCAAACACAAAGCCGATCAGTTTGCCATTAGAAATCATTAACACGACGCCTCGTTGTGGCTCATTCATGTTAGAGTTGAATGGTACTTTCGCAACCTATTATACCAAGGCAGTGTTATCCATACTCGTTCTTTTGATTCGCAATCTCAAATTGAAAAAAAAAACCTACATATTTCTTTTGTTCGAGATTTTTTGACAGCAGATTAAGACTATTTATATCTGATGGGCTGCTAGTTTCTATGGCTCTGAACTGGCAAAAGGGTATATTGTGTTCTTGTGTTTGTTGTACCAAAATAGGCTGTGAAGTTTGCAAGGGAGACCGTCCGGAAATGACGATTCGTTGTGGCCATATTTCAGCGCAGCTACTCAGATTGTGAACTGTAAGAGACGATGTCTAGTTTCGCAATCTTTGATATATGAAGAAAAAAGACTTACTAATCTTCCAAGCCGACATTTTTTCCACGCGGAGTAATAGCAAATGCTCCCACATGGCAGCTAAACTCTTGATATGGGCCGTCTTGAGGTTTGATATGCCAAACAATTTGCCCTTTCCAAAATGGTACGGAAGGCTGTTGCTGTACCTGCAACCGCGGTTGACCTTGCTGCATCATCTGCTGAGGAGTAGCCGTTGGTTGCATACCTGCTTGTTGTGGTGATGGTTGCTGCCCTTGAGACTGTGTCTGTTGCTGCTGCTGCTGCTGTTGTTGTTGTTGTTGCTGCTGCTGAAGACCCATTTGGGCCAACATCATTCGCTGCTGCTGTTGTTGTTGCTGCAAAACGTTGGGTGGGATTTGCCCAGCAGAAGTGGCAGCGTTTGTCATGTTCATATTACGTTGTTGTTGTGCTAAAGCTCCTTGCAACTGTTGCGCCATGGTCATTGCTTGACTTGCATCCGGTGGTCTACCCTGCATACTCGTTGGTATGCCACCAGGTGCACTGAATGCCATAGGCGATGAAGTAGCGATAGTTTGGGCACCACTCATGGGTGCACCACTGCCGTTCATGTTTGCTGAACTGAACAATCGCTGGATAGCACTATCTAGGGCTTGTAGCTGTTGCTGCTGTTGATTTGTTCGTTGTGGCAAAGACAGCAGCATTTTCCGTCGCTGGAGCAGTTGTTGGATTTGGATGGGAAGATTGAGCGGAGGCCTCGCCTGTCCTTGTGGTTGTTGCACCTGCTGTGGTTGTTGCACCTGCTGTGGTTGTTGCAGTTGCTGGGGCATACCTGCTTGTGGCTGCTGTGGCTGCTGTTGGGGAGTGAGCTGTTGCTGCGGTGGTGTATTTTGGAACTGCTGTAGTAACTGCTGCTGTTGCGGCAGTGGTGGCGGTCGTTGTTGAGGTGCCATTTGTTTTTGAGGCTGTGGAGTTTGCTGTTGAGGGGGCATGGTAGGTTGAGGAGGAAGAGGGGTCGGCTGTTGTGGTGGTTGTGGTGTTGGCTGTTGCAGAGGCTGCTGTGGTGGCGTGGCCTTGACAGATGGAGACGAAGATACGCTCTCTGCTTTCTGCGGCGGTCTTGCCATCATATTTTGCTGTGCCATCGTAGCAGACATGTGCTGTTGCTCCATCGAGATATTAGGCTGCTGCTGCTTTGGTGGCGCATTCGGCTCCCGTTTAATTTGTGGCTGTTGCTGCTGTGTTGTAGGTGCTGCATTAACAGCGTTCAAATGCTTTTGGTGCACTTGGGCAAATTTAGCAGGATCCACTGTAGCCTTCGGAAGATTGATTTGCCCAGGAACATTGTCTCGTTTCCGTTTTTTGTTTGAATCCGTAGACGATACCGATTGTGGCGACGTTGCAGCAGCAGCACTTGAATCTGCTGCTCGCTTTGAAGCTACTTGTTTCTTATCATCCATAACGGGCGCTGGTGCTGGCACAGGCAACTTGAATCCAGCAAGTTGGACAATGTAATCAGGCGAAATTGGTTCTGTTACTGTATGCAGCTCTGCTTTGCTGTCATTGACCTTTTTAAATTTCCCCACCATTCAAAGCCATAAGGTTAGAGCACTAGTATGGAACAGCATAGGCCCGCACTCCTCTTTCTTATCCCAAAAACACCAATAAACAAGTGCACATACTTCAGTCACCATGCGCTCAAACTCCTTCAATCCCTTGTTCGGTGCTATTAACGATAATCGAATATCATTCTATAGGTGCATTTCCCGCATATACATTATATCATACACACAAGTCAGCGAATATTTCCCTTATCCAACTACTTCGTTATCTATTGCTGTCATTCCCTCAACCAAAAGAGATCAATACTACCTTTCGCATCTCCTGCACAATTGCATCCAGTGTAAAGTTATCATACTTGTCCATTAGATTATGGCGTGCGCCGATCTCATGGGGCAAGCTGTTTGAAATTAATATGCAATGTAGCATCGGATCGGCAGCTGCGCTCCCTTGAATTTCCTGCTTGTACTCGTCGAATAACTTTTTGACAGCGGACGTATATATGTTACAGTTACAAAGTTAGTGGCTACCATCAAACAGACCGGGTGGGTCTCTTTGTTCTCCTGATCTCATCTTTCTTTCATACACAAAATTGATTTGTTTCTATCCAAGGTTACCTCTAACGCCGCTACAAGGCCCTCCCCAGCCGCGTTCCTAACGATACCACCGTCCGTGCACGCGATACTTTTGAACACATTCTGAAACAGTCCAAAATCGGCTGTAAAGTACTTGCGATCAACCGTTACCATGGAAGCAGGTTCATAGTCACCAAAGACAACCAATCCGTACTTCAACATCGGCTACATAATACCAAGAACATTATCATACATCTGATCAGTCTTTTGAATTGACCAGCTCTTCCCCTTTTCATCCATTTCTCTCCCGCCGCCGCCAAGCACAATACTCGTATGTAGGGAAGAACAAGTATGTATAACAAACGCTACCGTAATCTTTGTCTGTTGATGTCGTTCGTTTTCTTCCGTAATGATAGGCGATCGCAGTTGTCTAACAGTAAAAAGAGATAAAGACAGAGAGATAAGAGGTGAGATTGTCAATAGTTTCTTTTGTTTGCCGGTAGAAGACATTTGTTTTTTTCAACCAAACTTGGTGCGTGTTCGTGGTGTGGGGTGGACAGAGGAACACAACATTAAACCAAAAGTATACCTTAGGATCGGATCAACATAAGTTTGGATGATGGTATCTAAATGAGGATGCATTCTCGCAGTGCCCTCAACAACAAAAACACATGCCACTTCTCGTCGCTGGTGATGGGGGTGGGCTGTATTGTGGTTGGATGTCTGCATTTGAGGCGACGGTTGGACGATCGGGGTGGGCGAAGGCGTAGCAATGTTTGCCACCGGGTTGGGAACGGCGGCCGCAGTAGACATGACAGCTAACTGGTTGGTTGTTGTTATTGCTGCTTTTGCTGTGTTGCAATTGTAGTAATAATAGCAGTAGTAGTAGCAGTACTTGTTGAGGTAGGGCCAGGAGGAAACAAAGAGAGAGAGAAAGAAGAGGGGAACAGACAACACCAGAGTCAACTTCCAACACACGCACACGCACTTTTTTTGTTCTCTCCAAAAAAGCGAACGGAACAACTTTCCAAAAAATCCCGCTCGAGGTTAATGTTCTCAAGTTCTTTTGGTCTTTTTTTTATGTCTGTTTATACATGTGGTGATGTTACTATGCTACTATGACAAATCTAACTTTTTTATATCTCTTAATTTAACGTAATTCGCTGGCAAGCAAGGCAGGGTTTTCGACCAAGTTCTTCCAGTAGTTGCCAAACCGTGCAATTGTAGCGCCATCGATGACACGGTGATCGGCAGACCAGCTGACGGGCAAAATCTGCTTCGCAACGACATTGCCTACCTCGTCAAAACGAGGCAAGGTTTGCATGCGGCCGAGGGCCACAATGGCTAATTCAGAGGATACAATGACCGGGTTGGCATAGGTGCCACCAACAGTGCCAATGTTGGACAAGGTCAGCGTACCGCCTTGCAGGTCAGCTGGAGGGATACTGTTCTTTGCACCAAGCTCTGTCAAACGATGGATTTCAGCAGCTACTTCCATGACGGTCTTGTCCTGGACATTCTTAATATTGGGCACAATCAACCCTTGAGGCGTATCCATGGCCAGACCGATGTTGTGCGATTTTCGGTACAGCAACTTGATGCTATTGACGTCTGCTGCATTGGCGCCTTCAGCAAGAGAGGCGTTCATGATAGGATAGTGCGTCAGGGCAATGGACAAGCACTTGATGAAGACGGGCATATACGAAATCTTTTTAAATGGATACATTGCTGGATTGGAGGCGATGTGCTTATTCAGGGCAGCGCGGTATTGAGTCGTAGCATTGAGCTCCATCTCATCCTTATAACCCAGTTGTGGAATAGCAAGCGATTTGGTCATGGACTTGAACATGGCCTTTTGTATAGTAGTGAGCGGTTCCAAACGATCACCAGTGGATGGGGTAACGGGAGTGACAGGGGATGGCGTTGGTTGTTGTGCTATGGAGCGTAGCGTAGAAGCGTCAGTGCATATGTTGGCTAGGTAGCAACTAATATGATGATGTAATCAATTACCTGAAGGTTGACCACCATTCGAAATATACGCCATGACATCCTCCTTTAGTACTCGGCCATCTTTGCCGGTACCACGAACCAGTTTGATATCAATGTTGTTCTGCTTCGCAATGCGTCGCACGGCCGGCGTGGCGAGACTGAGCAGCGAGGGGTCCTTGAGTTCACGAGTAGATGTTGGAGTGGCAGATGGCGGGGTTACAGATGTATCAGGTTCCTTTGTTTCCATCGATGTCGATGCTGCCGCTCCTGCTGATGGTGCTGATGCCGGCGCGTCTGCTTCTTCGCCCTCCACATCGATATCCACCAATGCCTGGCCGACCTTGGCAACATCATTTACATCATAGTGTAGCTTGACCACCTTTCCGGAATACCGGGATGTGATTTCTACCGAAGCTTTATCCGACTGCACTTCACAGATCTTTTCAAATTCTGCAACGGTGTCTCCTGGCTGAACAAACCTAATATACATCATTTAAAACCCCATCGCGTATGAACAAGTTTGGCCACATACAACCAAGCATGTGCTATAGACCAGCCAGGGACTCCTCCCTTAACAACGGCAGCTGGCAATCTTGATTGTTCCTTTTCCTTCCCAAAATCTTTTCCTTATCTTACCACTGGATTACTTCACACTCAGTGATGCCTTCACCGATGTCCGCCAACAGGAACGGTTTGATACCATGTGTGCTGGCACTGGCGTGGAACGTCCGATGCGAGTTCCAGGCTGCCCAGGATTCAACAGTAACAGGTCTTGCGTGTAAACCGGCCTTTTGAACAATGGGTGTACGAACAGCAGCCGTGGGAAAGATGCGACGGGAGTTTTTGACGTTGTCGCTGGTCAAGAGCGAAGCAGTTCGGACAAGTTGACGACGACAGCGGAGAGCGCGAATGGTAGGCATTATTTATTAACAAGTTATTTACGCGTTGTTTTTTTTAAGGTACTGTCGTGTTTGTATGAGACTGTATAGTAGTAAGCACACGCAGAGGTGGTGGTAAAAAGAAATACAAGCTAAAAAAAAAGAAGGAAGAAGTGAGAAAAGAGAAAAGAAAGCAGACTTTGAAGCGGAAAGCCGTGGGAAAATATTTTTATTTTGCGCCGCTTGAAGCAGCCTTTTTTCTTGACGCCTTATCAGTTTCTAGTGCCTTTTGAATTTGTTCGGTTGTTTCCGTTACTTTGACCAGTGCAATTTGCGAGCATCGCAGTACCTGGTCCATCTCCAATGGGATCCCTCCTGCCTTTGATAATGCGCATATTTCTTTGTGGATGTTCATAGTGATCACCATGCTGCCCTGCTTCAGTTTTTCTTCCAGATAGTTTGGATCCACCACAAGCAGTTGTCTAGATGCCACACCCATCAATTAAATCAATAACCCCTTGAAAACATCCTCTTTGCCTCCAGCAACCTTTCGATACTTACCCTTGATCGAAAAATGCAAATGATACACAGATAGGGAGATGATGAATGCTCAATGGAACAGGGTTGCGTTGATCAATTGGATGCTACGATACTCTTATGTTAGCGCTAGACACATCCCGTACACCCCATCACCCTGCTAATAAAGTCAACTACTTACGATTGTCACTTCCTCGCCAACAACAGTAACATCCGGTCGTCGGAAATGTGACAGAGCAGTGATAGCAGCAATACCAGCACAATCTACTAAGTTGCCATCATGATCCAAAAAGTGCAGATCTACCCGAATCTCCCAAACCTTATTTTATAAAGCAAAAACGACGCGTTCTATATGTCAGCTAACCATAGCAATGATATAATTCAGAACATCCCATTTATCTTTCTTGAAACACGAACCTTTTCTCCTGCCACTATACACAAGCCTTCGGTATCGATCGCTCGACTCCGTCGTAATGACTTTTCAATTATGCGACTTATAAGAACCTCTTCTTCCGATCGACTATAGTGTATTTTTTTTGTTCAATTCAATTAGTCATCTTTTCCTTCTTCATTCAAAATAACAGACAAAGCGAATGTGACGAAGCAAGCGTCCGATCGAACGATCAAGCTGATCTTGTTTGTCGTACCTTCCAGCTTCAAATGTCGGACATGCCATGGGTGATATTTCCGTATTAAACAATAATATGCCTTCTGTAGGTTTGTCGTTACGTGGTCGTTCTACTTTGGCTGATACTTTGGCTGCTACTCTATATTGTTCAAATATATTAACAATGGCATGTTCACTGTCATGTTGATCTAATTGCGCGTTTCAAAAAAAAGAATCGAATCTCGAACCTTGTTCGACCAAGCTGTATTTCTACTTGACCGTAATCGGCACCAAATGATATTTGAAGCGATCGCACATCGTAGATGCCACGTCCGTCAACGCGCCGCTTTTCGTTTAATGCAGCGAGAACAAAGTCTCCTTCGTTGATGCTTGGCTTGAGTTCTTTATTGACCATGTTCAAAGACAAGTGGAAAAGAGTAAAAAAAATAACTCCAATATGGATCCCGCAAAAATTATTACGGTTACAGGTGAGATGGGGCTCGGATAGGATTTTGCTGGTGAATAGGCCCCAATAAAAAATGAATGTTACAGTAGACAATATACAGCACGATTAGAAGCTTCTTGATCACTCAAAGTAGCGGTTCAGTAGGCAGAAAAAACAATTTGTCTCAAAATTACAATTTTGCGTTAGATGATACTGAAAAAGTATGTTACCTTCTACACTCTCCCCACTGACGCAGAAATGAGGTGCTTGCGAAGGGAATGCGGCAGCAGCGCATGACACAAGGAACTGGAGAATCTGATATAAACTTGCTATGTCCAATCCGATGACATATTTTCTACTATTGAATCAATAATGTTGATTGTCTACAGCAACAAGTGGCATACTCGGGAGGACCGATGCTCTTCATCGTTGCTTGACGACAGGTTAAGATGCCATAGGCTGCTATCACAACCAGACTCCTCTTTCGCGTTGTTGTCGTGAACGCAAAGACCTTGCAGACGGGGCGATGATGTTGTTGTGGCCACACCGCTTCTTTTGTTTGCGACGCTCTTTATATCAAGCGTTGCCTTGGTCAATTTTAGTTGTAAATAGTAAAGGGATTTTGGTCTCATTAACTATATTATTATAGCGGGTGGCTGGTATTGTAACAGCTTCAGAACTACCCAACGGAGTGCGACCCTGTTTATTGAGCTACTAAAACCTTTTCTAGAGTAGTAAGTAATAGAGGTCATTTACGAACAACAACTTGCCGTCATTATCATTAAGGAACATGATATCAAACTCGAATACACACACATTACACTTTGAAGCGTAAAAATAATATATCTATTCACTGAAAACTTTATGTATTTTGCAACTGGCTCGGTAGGACTGTTCGAAGCATATCCATGGCGTATAGGGTTTCGATTCAAAGAAGCCAAGGCTTTTTGTACTCTTTTTTGCATTTAGCATTTCACAACGATGATCCGCTCATTTTCATTAACTGAATTCTTTGATTTATCTATCCAATGATTGTTAGTAAGCAAACATTTATCTAAACTAACAGTAGTCAGAGAATGACACCTTACCGTCAAAATGTATACTTTCGCCGGATGAGTTTGTAAATATTAATTTTCGTCCACTGACGACGCTTCCCATAAAAAACGACTTGTCACCATGGCCTCTTCGAATATGTGCATAGATACTTGTGCGATGAGCATATACGGAATGGCAATTTTTGTATGGACATATATAAACTATGGCGCAATGTATGCATGTTAGCCCAATGTCTCATCCGCTAAAAACAACTTTGGGTATTTTATCTTTTACCTTGATTATTTTTTACAATCGTAGTTTTTTCAACCAATATATCATCTCCGGCATTTAATATATTACGGGAACTCTCTATAGCCAGATATCAGTATGGAACTCCCAATGCTTTTTTCATTTTTAATAGCGTACCATCAAACTTAAGTATCTGCCCAGAAGGTGCTTTGAGAACAGTTGAGTGATTTTTTTGTTGAATCAAATTTGGAATATCTCTGCCGTGTATGGTTCGGAGATGTCGAAGAACTCGAGACCTTTGTTTGTAAGCTACGCCACAATTGTTGTACGGACAGTAAAACCCTGTTGAGATGGATCAGTAAAAACAGACATATAGCGAATGAATACGATTATTTGAAGTACCTCCTAAGCCAACCCACTCTACTAGCATTTCCTCTCCTTCTTTCAGCATATTCCGAGAATCAACTAAAGACATGACAAATAATGTTTCATTAGAATTAATAGCGTATCGATAAAATGAAAACAGTGTAAGCCTACTTACCATTGAACTTAATAACGAGTCCAGCGGTGGTTTTATATATGTGCTTGGATCGACCCCCCTCTATTCGACGTAAGCCCGGGAAGTGCTTGCTTCGTATATGGTAAATGCATGTTTTCGAAATAGCAAATATTTGATTACACCCTTGATAAGGACAGTAGAAGTGCTCTAAAAAGTTACTGTTAGTAAGTACGTTACGAAAGCTTATTTTCGCAAAAATATCTTTCGAACCTTGCTTCTGCTGTGTTGAATGCGGTTGAGTACGTCGGCGACGTTTTGATGGTCTTTCTTCGTCCTCTACTGTAATAGCATGGTTACATCACTAAGTACTTTTGTAGTATTATAAATCTTGCGAAAGCAATAGAGCTACCATCTAGTTCAGGGTCGCTGGAACTATCTTCGGTGTACTCAGAAGACTCTTTATCGCATGCCGGTACCACCACAGGTCGTCGGCTGCTACGTTTTCTAGTTCTTTTCACTACGCTTCTTTCGTTTCGCTCTGCAACAGAATCAGGTGTATCTGCTGTCCTAATAACTGGTTGCCGGCGCCGTCGCCGTTGTTCTTGTTGATGCTGTCGATGCTCGTCGCCGGAATCAGCATCGTGTTCTTCCAAGTCTGGTTGGTTCGTTGGAGAAGAACTGCTATTCGCAGGTGCTAATGGTTCGCCCGAAGGTTTTTCACTGGCGCAACCGGATCTTGACGCTACTGTGATGCGCTCATTTTTTCCGAGTAGATTTTTGGATTTTTCTAATTGGAAACAGCTTAGCCAGTATTATAGTAACAATAATCAGACGAGTCAATATAGACGTACCATCGAAGCTAATCCGATTTCCCGATGGACTTGTGAAGATCAGTTGCCGCCGCCTTCCGGCTTCGGGATCTGGCGTGAAGAGGTTGTCGTGATGCTTTTGAATGTGCTTGTGAAGGTTATTGCGGATCGGATATGCGCCATTACAGCTTTTGTACGGGCAATAGTATTCTTTGTTTCCAAATATATTAGTGTATAACTCATGCGGTAGTTAGGGTCTGTATCAATTTTCCAACAGTGCATACCTGGCCTTCTCACCAGATTCTCAACCAAGATATTGTCTTCTTCATTAAGGGTATCGCGGGAGTCCTCTAGAATTATCACGGAGTTAATACAACTGAACAATGGTCCTTAGTTTTTTAGATACCATACCGTCAAATCGTAAAATGCATCCGGTGGGCCCTCTAATTGTGTGTAGACGGCTTCCGAGTTTCAAAGGAGGAACCCTTTGACGGTGTTTCTTTCGAAGGTGACTATAGAAATTATGCTCTATATCGTATGATGCATCGCAGTTTTTGTACGGGCAGTAGAAACCTATTTTTTGCCAGTTTAACAAAAAGTAAGAACAGCAGTGGAAACCTAAAAACAATACCTTTTGAGACGTTTTCTACAGAAATTTCTTCATCGTTCGTCAATAAGTCCCGTGTGCTTTCTAAAATACATATCATAAGAATCATGTAAAAGGTTTCATTTAGAATTATGTAACAGACACTTAATACATAAAAATCAGTATATTTACCGTCAAAGTTAATAACTTGTCCCAATGGGGATTTGAATATAAGGCTACAATTTGTCGTGAGATGGCGAATTCCTGGTGGATGTCGCGCTCGAATATGAGTATATAGTTTGGATGTTGGTGGAAGGGTTGAGTAGCTACACCATTTATACGGGCAGTAGAATCGTTTTTCTAGGGTTCAATCGTATCAGTAGCCAGTAAAAGGTAAACTAGAATGAATTCTTCAAATACCTTCTTCCTGTGTTGATGTTGAAATCTGTTCCATAGCAGGCTCTGTAGCAACTCGACGATTGCGCTTTCGAGACTCTGTTTCGACATCATACAAAATGATAAGGTAGAAAAAAGTACATCGTAATCAATACGCTCATAACGATAATACTTATCTGTGACCAAAAACGCAACATTATTAATACCTCTTAATTCTGTACTTTCTCTAGTACGCTTAGCAGATGGCGACCTGGACGCGGTCTGTAAATATGTTACTTTAATCTTATCATCCTTGTCTAGCTTATCTCTTGAGGTCTCTGTCAATGTATCGTTAGATGTATAATATACGGGTGTCGATAAAGCTCATTGGCCAATCCTTTTTTTTACCATCAAAGTGAATTTGTTCTCCAGAAGGACTTGTATAGATCCGCTTTTTGCATGCGTTCTTGGCTCCAATTACAAAAGATTTATCGTGTCGATTTCGAATGTGCTCATACACTGCACAACGGATGGCGATAGTGTAAAAGCTACAGTCTTTATACGGACAGTAGAAACAGGTCCTTCCATCTTGATCGTTTGCAGTAATCTTGATGCTTTCATTTGTGTCAATTGAGTTTTTTGATTGTTCTTTTAGGGACACACTGTTAGGCATACTTCATTCCATAAATGATACAGTATTTTCGAGAAGTTTCATATAAATTTACCATCAAAATGTATCTCCTCGCCCGAGGGGGTTGTGAATGTCTGCTCCCTTCCCTGATAATTTCTGTTTACAAAGAATGACTTATCATGTTGTCTTCGTATGTGCAGATACAAACCACCTCGATACTTATTCGCACCATTGCAGCTTTTATACGGACAATAAAAAGAAGGCTTTTCCGCTACAAATTAAGCAGTAGGATCTGTGATTAATTGTTCACTGAGTAGTCTCTTCAAAAAATTTATGTACCTGTGTCAGGATCGTTCCCTCCTACGCGGCCCTCGATGATTACATCCTCGCCATCGTCCAGTATATTACAAGAGTTTTCTATACCCATGATTCTATTAGCACTGTATCATTTAAACCCACATGACCTACTTTACGTACCATCGAATAACAAGATCTGGCCAGAAGGCGTTCTGAAAGTTGGTCCGGCTGATCCTGCCGTAAGCTTCGGGAGGTTGATCCCATGTTTGGCTCGAAGATGGGAATAGATGTGAGTCACGTACGTTGATGTCGTAGTGCAGCCTTTAAATGGACAGTAGCGAATTATGTCCCCTAATACGTACTTTATAGTTAATCATCGAATCGAATGCAAAACGAAATCCATGCTAATATACCTTCTGCATAAAACTTTTCAGTCATAAACTCTTCTCCTTCCTTCAACAGGTTCCGGGAGTTTCCTATGGTTCAAAAATCTTATCAGAATGTTTCAAACATCTAACTATGTTTGATTGCTCAATTTAGTGTAATGGAAATAAACAATACCATCGAGCCTTATAATACGTCCTGAAGTAGTCTTGAAGATATATTTGACCTTGCCCATCAACTGCGGGAATAATGGAAAATGCATTCTTCGTATATGGCCTGTAACCATGTATCCTCGGGCTTCTGAATATCGGCAGTCTACGTAGGGACAGTAATATCGGCCTAGAGATATGGATAAGTATCATATCAGCCATATATATCTTTCTGCTATATGTAAAAAATGCGGTTCTTAGACCTTCTCGCGGGAATCCAACTCTATCCTCTGATGCAAAGCTTGCAACAGTCAGCAAACGCAAGGAACGTCCTGCTTTAAATGACAATTGAATACAACAGAGTTACCAGTATCAGGTTCAATAAAATTCATCATCCGTCTACGACAGTGTCAGTAGCTTACTTGCTTCCTCCCCGACGTTTTGGTCTTCATCTTCAGTGTCTCTGGAAAAAGGATCCTTATCAATCTCTGGTATAACCATTGGTAATCGTACTCGAGACTTTGCTCGTCGCTGCTTCGAAGCGGAATGTCTTTTCTTTGTTTGACTTTTTCTGCGCTCTCCTACAGCTATCGTAATACGCTCATCCTCATCAATTGAATTTTTGGACGCCTCTGTTTCCATATCATTAGATTGCTTATTTCAGCATATATGTAACCGGTCTTGCAATTAACATACCATTAAAATGTAACGTTTTTCCTGATGGACTAAAGAATGACAGCGGCGATCCGTAGAGAGCAGTACCGAAATAAAACGAATTGTCGTGATGTTTTCGGATATGTCTATACATGGTTGTCCGTTTGATAATTGTATAATCACAGTTTCTGTAGGGACAACGGTGGCGAGCATCTCCATCTTGAGCTTCTGGATTGGTTATTGTAATACGCTCTTTTTCTTTTATGGAACCCTTTGAATTTTCTGCTTTCAAATTTGTTAGGCACCTGTAGACACAAAATCCATAGCAATGCAAAACATACCGTCAAAACGGATCTGATTCCCGGAAGGATCAAAGTATGATAATGAATTTCCGCCTTCAAAATATCCATCGTGTCGCCGAATGTGTCTAAAGAGTGGACCAAGCTGTACCGTCGAGTGAATACAGCCTCTATATGGACAATAACACCGAAATTGTCCATCTTTGATCCCTGCGCCGGTTACTTTAATGAGTTCGTTTTCATCGATCGTATTTTTTGAATGCTCTGCATACATATCATTAGCACGCTGGTTTTAACATATGTTATCAGTCCCAAATGTAAGGTACATACCATCAAAAAGAATTTCTTTGCCGAGTGGATTTAGAAACGAGAGATGATTTCGGCTAGAAGCACTAAATATAAACGAATTGTCGTGGTAGCTTTGGATATGGATGTACACGGAAGGTCGTTTGAGCGTAATATAATTGCAATCTTTGTACGGACAGAAGTAGCGATTATCTGTATCTTGAGTCTTCAAACTGGTTACTGTAATGTGCTCCTTTTCCTCGATAGAATCCCTTGAATCCTCTATTTGCATTTTGTTAGACACCATATTAAAAAAATCAAGAGTAATACAAAACATACCGTCAAAATATATCTGTTTTTCTGAAGGGTCAAAGTATAAACATTGATTTCCACCCTCAAAATCTTCATCGTGTTGTTGAATATGCCCATAGAGTGTATCAAGTTGCACTGTTGGATAATCGCAGCCTTTATATGGGCAATAATAGCGAAGCTCTCCACCTCCCTTTTTTCTTGTTGTACTGATCACTTAATGCATTCGTTTTCATCGATTGAATTTTTGGAATCCTCTGCAATATTATTGGTAGACAAAATCCATTGTTAGAATTGTAAGTAATAGCAATGTAGTAGTAGAACATACCATCAAAGGTTATCCGTTTTCTAGACGGGTCAAGATATGAATTATAGCCGCCATGAGCAAAAGTCTCATCGTGGTACTCTCGGATATGGAGGTATAGGGTAAGACGTTTTGATGATGTATAGTCGCAACTTTTATATGGACAGTAGAACGGGCCTTTTCTGCTTTTTCTTCTGTAAACGACAATTTGCTCACTTTCACTGATCAAATCTTTCGAAGTTTCTATGAACCAATAATTGTAAGATATTGAGACTTGAAATAACTGTAGGGATATATTGGGTAGTGAACATACCATCAAGATGTATTTCTCTCCCTGATGGAGCTTTGAGTGTTAGAGAGGAGCTGGTTTTCACTTTGAACGATTCGTCATGCCGTTTGCGAATATGCAGGTGTGTTAATTTACGCTTGTTACTTTTATAAATGCATCCCTTATACGGACAGCAGTAGTATGCTTTTTTCAACTTTGTGGTTAGCCAATGAGCTCCATAAATTGTATTAATAAAATATTAGAGAGTTTTGCAGCAACCTACCACGATCATCAGCAACGCCTTTCATGAATCTCTCGATTGAAACAGTGTCCTCGTCGCTGAGCATGTTACGGGAGCTTTCTACTCTCAATTTTGCGAGCGTTAGTGAGCAAGAGCATTGTTATAATACAATTTCTACGTACCATCAAAGTTTATAACTTGCCCAGAAGGATTTTTGAAAACGTGTTCACATTCGCCGCTATTATTAAGACGGGGGATAATGGCTTTATGTGTGGTCCGCATATGGTAATAAGTAGACAACAGCTTTGTGAATGTTGCAATACACCCCTTGTAGGGGCAATGAAATTCTATTTGTTTCTTTCCCTCCATTAGTGATAATAACGGCATTGCTCAGTTTGATCCTAGCTAACAAAGTCTTATAGTTCGTACCTGAAGAAACATTGCTTTCCACCACCATTTCTTCGCCATCTTCAAGTAGATCGCACGAGCTCTCTAAAAACAAGGTATAAAACTACTATTAACTTACACTTTCAATATATGGCCATTACACTAATTTTTGACTATCTACCATCAAACGGGATAACCTGTCCCCAAGTAGTTTTGAAAATGTTTCTGCGGAAACGGCTTCCTCTCATATGGACCAGACCGGGAAAATGCTCCTCCCTCATATGCGTATTGAGAAGATTTTGCCTGTTCCTTGATAACGCACACCCTCTGTATGGGCAGTAGAACCGATCTAAGCAGTTCGTTGAATATCCAAACTAGAGATCAATCAACAGATGTCTAAAAGTCTTTTTTGTATCAAACCTTGTTTTGGAGATGCAGTCGCGTTTTCAGCGGAAGAGTTGGAAGTACTTGCACGCTGTCTCAACGGCGTAGTCTCGTCATCAGAATCTATAGAAATTTTCAATGTTATTGTTAGTGACTCATGTAACAATTATACCTTGCATTTATATTGAAATCAACACGAAAATAGTTACCATCTGAATCCAAGCTGCTTGATGATGAGTCACTCTCCCATTCACTTTCTGAGCCGTTTTCCGAGTCGCTTTGAGCAGCGTCCGAATGATTGTTCGGGCGTGTTGATATGCCGGTGGACCGTTGGTACCTGCTGCCATCATGCGATCGGTAGTTGTTTTGAATACGCTTTGAGCGAAGAACACGACGGATTCGGTCTGAAAAATTTGTAACTGGTTGCGATTTGGCCATCTTCTTTGATTTATCACGACTCTTTGCACTGCGTTTGACAGCATGTTCATGAGAATCTTCTGAGTGCTCCCCTATAGATATGCCTTTTGAGAAACTACACAACAACATACTGTGTTAAAACATTGTATGAATGTCATACCTTTTGAATCATCTGTGTTGCTTTCTGTGCCGCTCTCCCAGTTGCTTACTGAGTCGTCTTCTGAATCAGTTGCTTCGGATACGCTTTCTTCCCAACTGCTTCCTGCGTCGTCCTTGGTGCAAATTCCTGACTCTTCATCGGTTTCCTGTTCATCCCTCTCAGAGGCAACGTCGTTTGTTCCCGATGATGCTCCTGACGTTTCCTGCTCTTCAGAATCATCTAGCACCGAGCCGCTTTCAATAACGCTGCCCTGTCGGCAAAGACGCGTCTTTGTAGTTGCAAGTGCCGCCTCCGTGATACTGGTCGGGCTAATTTTGTTTTGACAGCCGCTGACTTCTCCGAGCGATACTATACTGACTGCTTGAACTCCTTCCACTTGTGCTGGAGAGTACTTAACTGACGCGTCTTGTGTTGCCGTAAGTTGCAATTTCTCCGTTTCTGAATCTTTAATATAAGATTAGGTATTTCAGCGTTAAGCTCGCGTATCTTGCTGTTTTAGGAATGAATGACACGGAAAAACGAACATTGTGTCAAAATGGTTAAAAGTCGTACCTTCAGCTTGAATGCCATAAGCGGACGCACGTTTCTTGACGCTTTTATCATTGTCGTGCAATACTCCAATGCTGGAATCTTTCGACGCGCTTTTCGCTGAGTGCTGTCTGGTGTTTGGGGCCATGTTTTTATTTTCGGTGTGAGAGAAAATAAAAAGAGGAAGATTTGGCTTTCCCTTTGGCGTTTTGAAACATAAAGAAAGGATTGTTACACACGTGGATCTCCTACTTGCATATAGAATACGGATATATGTCAGTATTTTCTGAAGTGAGCCATGACAGTATATGAATGTACACAGCTTGTCCGCATTGAAGCCCCTTTGAACAGCACCTTAGAGACTGTATAAGCTCAACCAGGTGCGGTATGCTACGGTAATTGGCTTTTCTGCTTAGATCCGTCCTTCTTGGATTACTGCCAATTATCATCTTAGTTTTATGCTTTCTAGCGATTATATCTTTTAAACGACCTGTGATGAGTTTCTATAAAAACCAAAATAACCCTAGCAATAGTATACGACGCTGTTCGTCTAACGTCTTAAGCACATCCTTCCGAACAATGTCAAGAAGAAACGCGTGGTAACCATCATCTAGTACCTTGAATATTGTAGATACTACTTAATTTCATAAAGCCCCTATGAGTATTAGAGCTAATAGTTTTGATGGCGATTTTCACAGAAAAAGATTGACATTTTTAGACATCAAAAGCAAGGATCTCAGTACAGCTATAAGCAAGATTTCGTGTTTTTTATAGTAGTCTCAAATTCAAGCCTGTTGAGTAGTGCGTGCCCCGTCAAGCATCAGATTAGCACCCTCACTCAATCAATTTCCTATTGCTTTGCTGTATCAACAACTATATAGAGTAGGATAGCTCTCTGATAGGTAGTTGTCATAGCAGCTATATTTGATGACTCATACCAGTGAAAAGCCTCTAAAGCTTCTGTATAATGTGATTGTCACCTACAATGTTCATTCCTATGAAGCTGTGTATATCCGTATTTGTGAGAAATGGATTTGGTTTGCATAATTCGCCAGGTTTTAGATGGATTCACTTGTCATCGTCCGAAAAACCAGGAACCGCAATGCATTCTTACCCTTCATCATGCAGATTGAAACCCAGAATTGCCAATACATGTTCATGTGTCAGCATTTTCACGAGCCACTTCCCCCCACCATTATAGGTTTGGTGCGTGTGTGGGGTTGTTGTAGCCTTGCATACACCAATAGCACGTTTTCTCCCTGTTCCTTCACACACACCTTTCTCAAATTACCCTGTACCATCATGGCAGCCGATTCACTTTCAACAGCTATTACAAAATTACGATCGTTGGGTCAAGGCACTGTACATTATGATCCAGATTATGCCGCTGGTATTGGCTTGATCACGTTAAACAATCCCGAACGACAGAATGCTTTCAGCGGCAAAATGATGGTCGAGTTTTATGAAATTGTTGTAAAGCTGGAGCAACAGAACCCAAAAGACACTGTCGCTATTATTGTTACTGGAAGTCCAGGAAAAGCATTTTGTGCTGGCCTTGGTAAGTTTTACGATACCAAGAAACGAAAGAACAAAAAGAAGGCGGAGGAGGGGGCCGGCGGGGTGAGCGATTAGATTGAGACTGATAGTACCCTACTCCTGTATGAATGTGATGGAGTTAGATTTATCCTTTGCTCAAGAACACTTGAGAGCCCCCGGTATGGCAGCGCACGTGAACCATTTAATGCATGATGCCTTGTCAAGATTTGCTCGATTGCCGTACATTACAGTCGCCTCTATGGCTGGTCCAGCGTTAGGCGGTGGTACGGAGTTGATTACGGCATTCGATTACGTCTGCATAGCGTCGACCGCATTTGTTCGCTTTGTTCAAACACGAATGGGGATAACCTCACCTTGGGGTAATAATGACAATAGCAAAACCCATCATCATCCATTTGGAAAAGCCCGATTCAATTTAAATATTCACGACAAAGGTCAAAATTTGCATGCTACTACGATTACTGTCATACATAGGTGGTGCACGTCGTTTAGTGAATAGCATCGGTCGCAAAAAGGCATTATGGATATTAGGCAGTGCCCCCAAGGTTGATGCTGCAATGGCAAAAGAGCTGGGACTAGCCGATGTAATCGTGAATTCAACGACGACGGCACGTGGTGCAGATACATATGATGCCTGTCTCAAAGCAAGCACGGCGTTCCTCAGGGGGTTTACCTTTGACGACCGGACCAACGAGCGCGTGACACCCGGTGCAGTTCGTGGCATGAAGAAACTAGTTATAAGAGCAGATTTAGATCAAGATGAAGCGTATGAAGCATCTGTGTTGGCAGAGTTAGCAGGATTATCCAAAATTTGAATGAAGCAATTAAAATCAAAGAAAGAGAGAGAGAGAGAGAGAGAGAGAAAGAAAAGCAAACACATATTAGAAGGTCATGGTAAGGGAGGTTGTTGATAATATATAAGTAAATGACAGGACAAAAACAGACACAAGAAGATGGAGCAAATAGTATAACTAAGAGGGGCTGTTAAGGGAAAAATAACGGGCGAAAAGAAGTTTTCGTTGTGGAGAGAGATAGCTGGAGAAAAGGGTAAGAGTTAGAGTGTGTGTGCGAGTGGAAATATAAGGGCAAAGTTACTATTATGTAGATAAGGGATATTTCTTTTTTTATATATCATATATGTGGATAGGATAGGATAGGATAGGATCGGATGGATGAATGGTCGGTCGGTCGGTTCGTTTGTGCTGTTTACTTTGTCTTGACGTTCTGACTCAACCAATTCAAACCCTCGAATAAACCGTCGCCTGTAGTAGCGCATGAAGGATGAACATACCACGCGCGATCACGCATCTTGTGTAAGCCAAGTTTTTCTGTCACTTCCGCAGGTGACATAGCGCCTGGGAGATCCTGCTTATTGGCAAAGACGAGCAGTAAGCAATCCTTCATTTCACGATCCGAGATAATGCGGTGCAGTTCCTGACGCGCTTCGTCGATACGATCACGGTCCTGCGAATCCACAACGAAAATCAAGCCCTGTGTGCCTGTATAATAGTGTCTCCATAGGTTACGAATCTTATCCTGACCTCCAACGTCCTATTGCACATGGATATTCAAGTTAGTATTCCCGTGTGCATGATGTATACTATCTATTATTATTAAAGGGAGTATGCCGGCGTGATGGTGCGTGTGTATGTTTGTTGATATATATAGTTTTCCTACATAACAAGGAGATCTAAAACACGATACTCACCCAAACGTTGAACTTTACGTTCTTATAAGTGACCGATTCAACATTGAAGCCGACGGTAGGGATCGTTGTCACGGATTGGTTTAACTTTAGCTTATAAAGAATGGCTTGATTGCAAAAGTGTAAGTGAATCTGAAACCTTTGATTCGTTTTTCGTCCCGCACTTATTACTGCCTTCAAGCTTGTTCTGCCCTCTTTCTTCTTCCTCGAGGTTCAATGGGCCTCTCATCATCTCGAAAACAACGAAACAACTTACTGGTTTTGCCGGCAGCATCCAAACCGAGCATGAGAATTCGCATTTCCTTGCTGCCGAACAGCTTGGAGAGAGCTTTTGACATGTTGGCGCCCATGATGATATATGTATAGTAAAGATGAGCGAGAGAGAAAAGGAAAAATAAAGGAGAGGCAAGAGTGTGGTTTTTTTAGGTGTATCGAAAATTAACGTCGTATTAAAAAAAAATGTATCAAAAAGCAGTGTCCGCGGGGCCTCCTTAATGAATTTTTTCGGGCTCTCCAAGGTGACATGTTGGCTGCACAACAACAATCAATTGCTTCCTGAGTGATTCACAACTGTGTTGCTATGGTGACATCCTATTAGTCTTCCCCAAGTGATCTTGTTACTTCTTCTATGGAGGTTCTGATTCCACAAGTTCTTCAGCTTGCTTTTGAAACACCTTGTTTATTATACTTTTAAAGACATCATAGCTTGCCATCTTATAAAACGGATGTCCACACAAAAGTGTGGTTTGCCTTTTTAAGGAACAACCATAGGCTCGTGCTGCTGATCATGATTTGCAGTGTGCGGGCAAAATTACTATAGCGGAGCTATAATTACGCGTAAGGAACAGCAAAAGAATCCACCACTCATCTTTGATAGTTTTCCATAGCATACACTACCACAATGAACGATCCACTACTTTCGCAAATCCAAAAGAACGACGCTGATGATAGCGATGCCAATTCGAACCCCTCTGATGAACAGCCCACCCAAGTAAAAGAGTGCCTTTTGAGCTTATGTCTTTCCCACTCTGTGTCATACATCTTCAATTCATCTGGAGAATGTACTAAACTCGTTTTTTCACGGTCATGGTGGAAATTCAGGAACCATTTCCAGGACGTCAGATGGGACCTCAGACAGGCCCTAAAGGTGTTTTAGCGGATCATGCATTCTATCAGAAAGAGCAACGTGACGCTCAAGGGGAGGCACGAAGGGCATATAATGCCAAAATGCTAGCCAGAGCACCGACAACAACGACGTATCTGGACGACGAGGCAGCCAGAGAACTTGTCCTGGAGCATCCAGCTGATAAAAAGAAAAAGAAGAATGAGGATGACGACGATGATGATGATGATGATGATGATGACTTGCTGGATGATGAAGAAGCAATACGACTCTACAGAGAACAACGACTGGGAGAGTTGAAGCGAATGAACAATCATCAGTCACGGATGATGCACCGTGTATTTGGAAAAGTTGAGGACATTGCAGCAGACGATTATGCAACAGTGATTGATAAAGAATGGCGCACCGTTCCAGTGGTGGTGCATCTGTATGATGAGGTAATTGGCTGTTTCAGAGAGCGAGAGAGCGAGAAAAAGGAAGAAAAGAGGTGTGTGCACCATGTGTGTGGGGGAGAGATACGAGATGCTGATCTTTCCCATGCTGTTATCTTAGTCTATCCCAGCTTGCAGAAAACTGGACGATTTCCTGGTGGATCTGGCACAAAAGTACGCACTGGCCAAATTCATACGAGTGTCGGCAACAGACCTAGAATTCGATTTGGTGGGATCACCTGCGATATTGGCTTACAAAGGTGGAATGCTTGTAGCCAATTTGGTACGCTTCGTCGACTATGTCGGGCCTCGGTTCAGTGATGAAGCGGTCGAGGCTGTCCTAGTAAAGTAAGGCTACGTCATTCTGCATTCATAAAAGGGGGTGTGGGTTTGATAGTGGAGCTGTTGTGGAGAGAGAAAGAGAGAGAGAGAGGCTCTAGATAATGGGAGCATGAACTGATCTTATGAGATTAGATCAAGGGCATTGGGTGAGGATGATCGTTATCAGCGGCCAGTCAACGGCGAGAATGAATGACGACAGAAAAGGGTCCTATTGGCTATTTCATGTGGCTCCAGCGTGAAAGGCTCTTACACAAGCTTTAGGCCATATATGGAACCAGTCAGAATCGTGACCGCGGCGGTGGGTTAGAGTGGAGTGGGTTGGGGGGGTTGGATTTGAAAAAGCGCAAAAAAGGGATTTGGGTGGGGGGGGGGAGACCTGTCTCTGAAAAAAAAAAAAACCTTCTTAAATTGTTTTGCAGTACTGCCTTACGTTGTGCTTTGACAATCCCTAATTCTTGTTTTTTTTTTCCTTGCTGCTGCGTGTATAAATAACCCTGCCAAATTCCAATACATCATGTCTCTTTACCAATCTGCTGCATCTTTCACTACCTCTGTTGTCCAGCGAAGACTCCAATCTATCTCTTCTCACTTCTCCACAATGGTTTCTGCATCAAATCAACGTCCTGTTATTTCCTTTATTGGCGGTGGCAACATGGCCGAGGCCATCCTTGCCGGCCTTCACTCCAGTGGCCATCCTGGCTCCCGTCTGCGCTTCTCGGAGCCCTTTGAGGAGCGTCGCAAGTACATGGAGTCCCGCTATCCTGAGCTTGTCAGCTCCACCGACAACGAGGCTGCTGTCGATGGCGCAGACGTTGTTGTTCTCGCCGTCAAGCCCCAGGTGCTAAAGTCCGTGCTCACAACCCTTGCTCCCCAGCTTGTACGGAACCCGTCCATGTTGCTCATTTCGATCGCTGCTGGAATCACAACCGAGGCCATGTCAGAGTGGTTGTCGTCGGACTCGGTACCGATCGTCCGCTGCATGCCCAATACGCCCGCTCTGATTGCCGAGGGTGCTGTAGGCCTTTATGCCAATGCTCGCGTAAACCAGGACCAGCGCTCGGTCACCGAATCGATCATGCATTCAATTGCAAAGCAGGTCTCCTGGGTCCAGAAGGAGGCTCAAATCGATACTGTCACTGGCATCAGCGGCAGTGGCCCGGCATACTTCTTTCTCATTATGGAAGCCATGCGTAAGTGTTGCATTTGTTTGTAAGGGAGATGTCAGTGGGATTCCAGTAGTTATGCGTAACAAGAGCCTAGATTTCTCATTCTTTTCGTAATGCCCCTATGCAGAAAATGCCGGTATCGCAGCTGGTCTGACGCCGGAAGATGCAAAGGCCCTTACACTACAAACTTGCATCGGTGCAGCACGCATGGCACAGGAATCAGAGGATGACCTTGCCACCTTGCGCCGTAAGGTCACGTCGCCCAGAGGCACTACGGAGGCAGCCATCAAGTCATTGGAAGGCAACAACATCCGACAAGTCATGCAAGATGCCGTCTTTGCTGCTGAACGACGGGGTCAGCAGCTTGCTGAGGATCTATCCCACTAGACAGAGCTTTCATTGTTGAATGGAATAACCAGACATTCAGACACACCAATGCATTACGAAAAACCACAAAAACATTCACAATACCCTATTCCTTTATTCTGACTCTATCTCCGCACAACCATCGCCCTCACGTCTCTTGGGCACCATCTTGCACACATCCCCTCCCGCGAATTCAAAAAAAATAACCTCTCCCCCAACGCACGTTATACAATATCATTTACATTATTAGCTGTGAAAAAAAACAGAATTGACATAATGATTTACCAATGCGGTAAATAATGCGTCCTTTTTTCCAATGATCCCGCTAGGCCTTTTTGAGCAAGCATGTGTGATCAGCAGCAGCAGCAGCACTCACACTCCTATTTTAGATAACTCTGATAGAGCCTTGATATGTTTGATCAATGCACAGGCTGGCTACTCCTCTTTGTGCTCTCTCCGAATGACGCACTGCAGCCCCGAAAATTCGTTTTCATGGTCCCGGTGACCCGCGAATTTTTGAATGTTCGAAATGTTGAAAACGTTCTAAACACTCGGCTGTCTCTGTTTTTAGAAAGTCTCTCTCAACAGATATTTGTTTGCTTGCCCCCACTTCATATTGCCTAGTAAAGACGCTTTGACCCCCCCCCTCCCCTTGACTTGTCAGCTCTCCTCTTGTCTACATATACCAACTGGTCATCATGTCAGCAGCTAATATAGCAGATTTGTGCTTACCCGGGTAACTCCACACTCTCTCTTTATTTTTCTCTTTGCACTTGCACACTTGACGTCATCTGCCTTAATTTGGGCGTTCTCACTGTTTTTCGTGCACAGAAAAATAGAAAAATCAACATTGTAACTAGCATTAACTGCTTTATTTGAACTAGTTTCTATTACCCCATTAGAAAATAGTGTATGTAGCTTAGTATATACCTTACCAAGAAGCTTTCTCTATTTATAAACCGGCGACATTACTTGCTGCATTGATAATTGCTTTTGATTTGGTCAGTGTAAATAGAGACTAATGGGAAAGATAAGCGTCTGCAGCATCACCAAATGATGGATGATCTTGATCACACGTCACTTTCATTCCTCTTTGTTGATGGAGAAGAGGGGGAAAGTCTAGAGAAGCGGTGTTAGATGTTCTGTGTACCCAGCTGTCGACGTTAGGCTGCTAATACCATACAAGTGGGGTGATGAGAATATACGCACATGACCTAGGTTTTTACTTTGTCGTTTGCCTAGAAAAGGGCGCGACCCCCTCCTTACAAAAGAAGTGATTTGCCTAATGCATATCGTAGCTTTCCATTATCATCATTGATCATCCATGGAGATAGCAGCCAGGGTATATTATATGAAATATAGTGATGAAGCTCAATTTATCCCTTCATTTTTTCTTTTACTGTCCGTAGCCCATACAATCCCTAGTCACAAAGGCATTTACCATGACAACAGTAGCTCGGTCATAGCAACGTTGGAGATTGACTCAGCCACGTTCTTTTAACCCTGTGTGTATCACATATGTTAATGACTTGGGTTACTCAAATGGTTGGGTCGAGTCTTTCTAGTGTTCTGCTGTATACGTCACACTCCTTAATATATTATATACACATCTTGCAGAATCTATGTACCGATGACCATGTATCTGCACCTCCCCCCGTTTTTTTTTTATACTTTCTCGCTCTGTGCTGTGATTGTAAGCAAATCTGGCCACTCTCTGTGTTGCCGACGTCAATAAGAGTGAGGTTTAAGTACCCGGGCATTCCTTGTTTTCTGTTAAAATGGATACATGTGGTGCCAATGTATAACCTGTCTGACTTTTCTTGCTCACATAAGATTCTATAAAACGTGTGACACAGTGGTAATGGCGCTTGACCTGTTTGATGTCTTTTGGTGCTTTGGCTCACATAGATTTGGCCGAAAGAAAAACAGTTGTTACACACAGCTCATTGAGCTACTAGTGTACCTGATCATGCTGTACGGGCTACGATAAAACATCTCTGTCCCAAAAAAAACAGAGATGATGGTGATAGCCAAGAGTGTGTTATATACAGTAGGAGGTTGTATCGCTTCCTAATCTTTGACGTATATCGTACAATGGTCATGCTCCCTGAAAAAAGACATTCTGTTATTTCACAGCATCGTTAGTCGTACCGATACCCAAGACGTACTAGCAACGTGCCATGTCGCCATCCGACAACACCGTGACACACACAGCTCTCTGTTGGTGTAGTCCAATATAATTTCGCGCGAGTTTGTTTAAAGAGTTTTAACTTTATTACTACTTTCTCACTCGCTCTTAAAGTCACCAACGACTATAGTAAAATCTGATATCATATACCTGTTTGTTGCTTTAGAAAGACATGTTCTCTCCAACGGTTGCTACGTCAGCGACAACAGAAAATTCTCGCTGTACATAACGAGGTCATGTGCTCCTGTAGACGTAATTCTTCTCTTGTCTATGCAATGAGGAGAGATATCATCGCTTACTTAATTTGCCATGATGCGTAAAATCACGATGTTTCCTTTCTACTCTACAGCATATCACACTCGTTATACAGTATCTATATGAAATTTCCCGCGTTTTATGAAGCAAAAAAGACCTATGACTTGATGTAAAATAGCTCTTGATACTCTACATGATCACTACTACAGTATTATACTGCTATATATGCCTCGGTCACTGCAAATTGCTATGTTATTTCACAAGATTAAACACTGACGTCTGACAGGAGGTCTACAGGTTCTCGGGATTTTTACATATTTAAACACTACAAATAAGAAATGCCAAAAGACATCGTGTAATGTCACATCAACATTATTATGTACTACTTACTTTCATCATAAGCAGAATTAATTATTACCTGTATTTTATGATACTGTTTTTTTTGCTAACCCGACTATGTTCGCGCTTCCGTTAGGCTTGACGGCTACGGTTAGATATAGTATGAGGATTTAGCTTAAACCCACTTGCTCTGTCACTACAGTATTCTATAAAAAAAGGTTTATGGCATGTAGTCCATCCTATGGAAACTAACTACCACTAATACACTGCACCAAAACGATATTAGAAGCTCAAGAATAACAATAGCCCGCCGAATGACTCTTTAAAATTAACGATCTCCCAAAAAGCTGGATGAAGAACTGGCACGTCGACGCAGCTCATTTAAAACCATTTGTTGTCTCCAGCCATCCAGAATAGTGGGTCCTATACTCTATCTTCTGGCCGGCATTACTGCGCCTGCTGCATGAAATTGACCAAGTTAAGCCACTCGGACCCTGACTACGACACGAATGAACCGGTATCGGAAAAGCGCTAGACCTAGCCACTGTGGCATCAACATTATCTCCACTCCTGATCACATTTAAAACATCGATGGATACCCCGTTGCCCCCCTCATATCCTCACCTCTCTCTCTCTTTCCTGTTTTCACTCCGTAACCTATTCTACTCCAACATTTTATTCCGCCTTGGATTTTACCTTCTCTAAAAGGGCTACTCAGTTAAAGTACAACCTCCCTCTTATAATTTTTTCTTTCTTAAGCACCGCACCGCAAGGAAGCGACAAGAATGCTACAAGCGTACCGTCATTAGCCTTCCAATAAATGTTTCTTTTAAACTAATCCATCATATGCTACAAAGTAGAGTTAGAGAAACCATCTCAATAGTTGTCAAGAAGTAGCAACAACCACAATGATGGTTTTATTGTTCAACGCTTTTTTTAAATATCATTGTATTTATGTCTGTTTGAATATTCTCTTCTATAAAAAATCATCTTCCTATCCATACACGATGCGCTCGATCTCCCAATACTCTACCTATAAATTTATGTCGATCCAACTGCTTACTTCCATCGTGTACAAAGCAACTACACGGGTGATGGATAAGGCCATAACGAACGGATCCGATCATCGTTGCTACATTGATCTCGTATTTGTGTGGATCATTGTTGCAAGGTTGAGATACAAAGGCTGGATGCTGTGATGGCCGATCCATAAGGTAGGTCATTGTGTAAGAAACAAAAAGCATACTTCAATTCCATCCAATGATGTATTGACGTCCATCCCACAATAGCATCCCTTCTTTTTAGCTCCATGCCTACAATATCATTTCGTTTTCGTGCAAATGTGCAAGTGATCGTATGTATATATGCGTATTTGTATGTGCCATACAATATATGCATCGTGTATGTATAGCGAATCGTGTTTGTAACGGGTGGTGCAGGGTATAACATAAACGCGGCGCAGAACCTATAGAAATAAGAAATCAAACCTGCAAGTGCTAACTTCATATACAACATATCTTATTCCTTTCCATAGCTTGTCAGTTTTCTATCAATGAAACAAACCTTAGGTATCAGCAGTGCTTGTGGGTACTTGATACAGTGGATGGACGGCAAGGGCGAGTTGAGAGCAGGCAAGAAAAGTGTTGAATATCTTTACTGCACTCTATAAAGAATGAACGAAAAAGACCCTCGCCCTGACCTCTTCCTTTTCCATCAACTAATGAGTCTTGATTCCTATGATTAAATAAGAGTTCAAATGATTCACCAACGATGCCGCTACCAATAATGCAATCACAACGTGCTTTTGCAACGCAAACAAAGAGCAAATGTGTGGTAGTTTCTTAACCGCGTTCTGTAAAAGTAGGGAGAAAAAGCTTTCACAATTCGTACCAAGTCGGTCAAGCGAATCGTTCGAGTAAAATGAGTTGTGTGCCAATGCCAACGATGCTGCTTCGATTGATCCCTTCAAAATGAGTGTTTCTCAGCAATGAATACGTTCTAAAGAAACATTAAGAAAGCAACCATCGTGTTTGTTGTTATTACCGCGTTACATAGAATAAAACAAAGAAATAGCACTTTTCATTCCTTTTCACCCCTCCATTTAAAACCGTTACCTTTTGAATTAGGTCAAGTTGTTGGCATTTTCATGTGGATCTGCAATTGGGAACGGTTTCTTTGTTGCTTTAGAGAATGCTCTCAGATGAGCTGAAAAAAAAACGTTTTTATAAAGGAATATAAGGCACTTGGTAAAATTCTCGTCCCCTCAAATGCCCCTCTGCTGCCCAGCACAGTGTCTCTGGCGGCTGACCTTAAAATTCATAAAAAATTGAGGGGGGGGGGAAAAACTATTAACTCTTATTTTTGTGCCGGAATAAGGGAATACTGCTCTGAGGGTAAAATCCTCCATACAAAAAAAATGTGGAGGCCATAAGGGAAATGCCTCGACTTCGTCATTCTCACCCGGCGATCCGTCTACTCGTTCCGATCCGTGTCAAAAAGACGGATCCGGATCGAGAGCTTTTGGATCCGATCCGACCTCGAATGAGTTAAAGGCAGATTCGATCTGAAGGTGGATCCGTCATTTAATATGTGTGTAAATATGTGAAGTGATAATAGTATAAGAGAATAATATTGGGAGCATTAATTGTTTTATACAATGCCATACTTCCCGTCCTATAGCTGTTTTGTACTCAAGTTGAAAATAAAAAGAAGATTTTGTGAGGGCACAGAAAGTATGAATGGTAGTTTAAAAATGCCCTCATTAAGGTATTTAGAGATTGGAGGGTTAGAGATGAGGACCGTAATTTTTTGGCTGGTCGTAGAGCAGAGAGCAAAATCAGCGAGTAACGATGTAAATAAACTACTCATCCGGTTGTTAGATGAAGGATATTAGATCAGAGAGAAGCATGTATAAAGATGGAGAGCCAAGGCTTCTCAGCATAAATTGTGAAGCAAAACGTTTATTACACAAGTTGTGAATAAACAACTATCAAGACAGGTATGACAGCATAAACAAGCTAAAAGTGTATGTTTTGTTATTGAAGTTATGGCGCAAAGGACGTAATTAAAAAAGTCGCATTATTTTTACCCCAGATCTGTGCTCTTTAAGTATCATATGTATAATTCTACAGCAGCTTAGGTTTTTTTTATTCCTTTGATTGATTGATAGATCTTCTGGCGTTTTTAATTGGATGTGTGTGTGTGTGTGTGTGCAGATGTGGACGTGTGGAGAATTGACTGATAAAGTCCTAAAAGTATATGCAAAGAAGAGGGGATCTAAACAAAGAAGAAGAGAAAAAGGCTAAGGTTTCCTATTTCAGTACTGCTATTATAGTACTACGGCGTCATGAAAAAGATGGCGATAAGTGCGTGGATGCTGGTAATAGTGAGGTACGCCTACGGGTACAGCTGGTGGTGTGGGTACTTCTCGGATGATAATGTAAGTGCGTTTGGGTTCCGGAGATGGCATGGGTGCCTTTGTGATATAATGAAAGCAGCAAAACAGCACGGTTTGTGTGAGTGAGAGAGAGAAGACTTGCTGTTGGAAGATGTGATGTATATTGAAAAAAAGACAGATACATACCAAGAAGCAGACATCGAGATCCTTCTCGTCCACCAGGCCCCATCTGCTATCCTCTTCTTCGACCGCAAGTCGGTAGTTCTCGGCTACACCTGGAGGCAAGCCCCATGCCGAGGGATCTCTTAAAATGTCATAATCCTGCTCTTGTTGCTGTTGTTGGCTTTGCAAACAAATATCGCAAATGAAGCGTACGACCTTTTGCATTCTGTAAGCGTATGATGTCTTGAAATGTGTAAAGTCGATAACCCGGCCACGGAAGAGTGGACGACGTCGCGAATGATGGGGCTGTTGCTGTTTTTCGTTAAAACTTGTTACCGCTGCCGGCGGTTGTGCTGGTGTTGTGTTCCAAAAGAGCTCAAAGCCAATGGTGGAGATGGTGTTCACGAACATTGAGGTAAGAGACCAACATCCTTTGGTTGATCGCTCGTCACGCGCTTCTTCTTGTCCTTGTTGGTTGGTTGCACCTCCTCTTTGTTCTTGTTCTTCCTGTGCTACCTGGTCCCGCTGGTACGGATCATAGCAGGGACCGAAAATTTGTCGCTTCATGGTGCCAAAGATGCCGAGCAGCCCCATCAGACCACTAGGTTGACTAGGCCGTGCTTCGACCGCTGTCGCCATCGTTGTCGTCTCACTATCACTAGTCGCTTGCTGTTGGTTCTGAGCCTTGCCGCCGGTGGTCACGAAAACCTTGCCAAGGAGATATTTCCACATTTTTTGTGCTGGTATTTTTACAAGAAGTTATAGACAAAGAGATATTGGGTACAAGTGTGCGTAATGTGTTGCTCAAAGCACTGTTTGGGTATTGAGATCAAGAGGTAGTAGTAGAGTAAAACAAGGGTTGAAAGTGGAAGATGAAGGAAAGAGAGATGAGAAGATTGAGGGAAGACGCACAGCTTTGATTGATTTTTATAATGTGACAGAGGCACTGAAGTGCATGTCACAGCTTTGATTGATGAAAACGTTCCATCTCCTGTCCGCTCTTTTTTTTTCTCTCACACATACACACAATCACCATTCTCCAAACAGCAGCAAACCCATGCATTGCCCTTTCTCCTGCTGATTAAACGCTTTCCTTTCATAGCCTCTTCACTACTGCCTTCTTTTGTGTATGTACGCTTTCAATACGACTTCTTATTCGCTCTATGTTCTCTTGGGCTGTATCGTGTAGTAGTAGCAGTCATACCCACCTGTTTCCTTGGTTCAGACGTGTACGCAGCCCGAGTTGAAAATAATAAGCAAACATTCCGAAGCCGTAACCTGCTAAGCACAGCCTCCTCAACAGACTCGTAGGTCCGTGATTGCATCATTGTTGTGTTCTTGTAGCTATTTGTCACAATAACGCTTACTCTATCACCCACCATATGACTTGAATGCTATGCCGGTAGTCGTATATCAATCATCATGAGTTTTGCCTGGTTATCGTTTTGAATGATTAATGTCAAGACACATCGCGGAAGCTTTCAAAGCGTCATACAGATGTAATTCTTTCACTCTATCATCTACAATAGGACTTGAATGTTATGCCGGTAGTCGTATAGCACTCATCACGAGTTTTGCTTGGATATGCTTGGATATCGTTTTGGATGATTAATGTCAAAACACATCGCAGAAGCTTTCAAAGCGTCATACAGATGCATAAATCTTTCATTGTTCTGTCGTGATTTTCATGTGTCCTTCTTTCCAGCGATGAGTTATTCGTTTCAGTTCAATAATGTATATACGCCCCGGTGATGCAACGGAGAGACATGAGGATGTAGATTGAAACACCCTGCTGCTGCTACGACAATGGCCAATAAGGATGGTGGACACCTTTACATGTTCACTATAACCTTGGGTTACACAAGGTTTAAAAAGACATAATTAAGCTATTTTACTTTATGGCGAACTGCCTGCGCGACTGTACAGCGAAAATATATAAAGTTCCGGATACCTGGGTTGTCTTTGACCCGTCCATATGATATGTGTACTACAGAAAATATTAGGCTGGGGGAGCACAGGAATAAATAACATTAAACTTATTAAATATCATTGTATTTATGTCTGTTTGAATATTCTCTTCTATAAAAAATCATCTTCCTATCCATACACGATGCGCTCGATCTCCCAATACTCTACCTATAAATTTATGTCGATCCAACTGCTTACTTCCATCGTGTACAAAGCAACTACACTGGTGATGGATAAGGCCATAACGAACGGATCCGATCATCGTTGCTACATTGATCTCGTATTTGTGTAGATCATTGTTGCAAGGTTGAGATACAAAGGCTGGATGCTGTGATGGCCGATCCATAAGGTAGGTCATTGTGTAAGAAACAAAAAGCATACTTCAATTCCATCCAATGATGTATTGACGTCCATCCCACAATAGCATCCCTTCTTTTTAGCTCCATGCCTACTATATCATTTCGTTTTCGTGCAAATGTGCAAGTGATCGTATGTATATATGCGTATTTGTATGTGCCATACAATATATGCATCGTGTATGTATAGCGAATCGTGTTTGTAACGGGTGGTGCAGGGTATAACATAAACGCGGCGCAGAACCTATAGAAATAAGAAATCAAACCTGCAAGTGCTAACTTCATATACAACATATCTTATTCCTTTCCATAGCTTGTCAGTTTTCTATCAATGAAACAAACCTTAGGTATCAGCAGTGCTTGTGGGTACTTGATACAGTGGATGGACGGCAAGGGCGAGTTGAGAGCAGGCAAGAAAAGTGTTGAATATCTTTACTGCACTCTATAAAGAATGAACGAAAAAGACCCTCGCCCTGACCTCTTCCTTTTCCATCAACTAATGAGTCTTGATTCCTATGATTAAATAAGAGTTCAAATGATTCACCAACGATGCCGCTACCAATAATGCATCACAACGTGCTTTTGCAACGCAAACAAAGAGCAAATGTGTGGTAGTTTCTTAACCGCGTTCTGTAAAAGTAGGGAGAAAAAGCTTTCACAATCGTACCAAGTCGGTCAAGCGAATCGTTCGAGTAAAATGAGTTGTGTGCCAATGCCAACGATGCTGCTTCGATTGATCCCTTCAAAATGAGTGTTTCTCAACAATGAATACGTTCTAAAGAAACATTAAGAAAGCAACCATCGCATTTGTTGTTATTACCGCATTACATAGAATAAAACAAAGAAATAGCACTTTTCATTCCTTTTCACCCCTCCATTTAAAACCGTTACCTTTTGAATAGGTCAAGTTGTTGGCATTTTCATGTAGATCTGCAATTGGGAACGGTTTCTTTGTTGCTTTAGAGAATGCTCTCAGATGAGCTGAAAAAAAAAACGTTTTTATAAAGGAATATAAGGCACTTGGTAAAATTCTCTTCCCCTCAAATGCCCCTCTGCCCAGTACAGTGTCTCTGGCGGCTGACCTTAAAATGCAAAAAAAATTGAGGGGGGGGGACTACCAACTCTTATTTTTGTGCCGGAATAAGGGAATTGCGAAATTCGTCAACACTGCTCTGAGGGTAAAATCCTCCATACAAAAAAAATGTGGAGGCCACAAGGGAACTGCCTCGACTTCGTCATTCTCACCCGGCGATCCGTCTACTCGTTCCGATCCGTGTCAAAAAGACGGATCCGGATCGAGAGCTTTTGGATCCGATCCGACCTCGAATGAGTTAAAGGCAGATTCGATCTGAACGTGGATCCGTCATTTAATATGTGTGTAAATATGTGAAGTGATAATAGTGTAAGAGAATAATATTGGGAGCATTAATTGTTTTATACAATGCCATACTTCCCGTCCTATAGCTGTTTTGTACTCAAGTTGAAAATAAAAGAAGATTTTGTGAGGGCACAGAAAGTATGAATGGTAGTTTAAAAATGCCCTCATTAAGGTATTTAAAGATTGGAGGGTTAGAGATGAGGACCGTAATTTTTTGGCTGGTCGTAGAGCAGAGAGCAAAATCAGCGAGTAACGATGTAAATAAACTACTCATCCGGTTGTTAGATGAAGGATATTAGATCAGAGAGAAGCATGTATAAAGATGGAGAGCCAAGGCTTCTCAGCATAAATTGTGAAGCAAAACGTTTATTACACAAGTTGTGAATAACAACTATCAAGACAGGTATGACAGCATAAACAAGCTAAAAGTGTATGTTTTGTTATTGAAGTTATGGCGCAAAGGACGTAATTAAAAAAGTCGCATTATTTTTACCCCAGATCTGTGCTCTTTAAGTATCATATATATAATTCTACAGCAGCTTAGGTTTTTTTTATTCCTTTGATTGATTGATAGATCTTCTGGCGTTTTTATTTGGATGTGTGTGTGTGTGTGTGTGTGTGCAGATGTGGACGTGTGGAGAATTGACTGATAAAGTCCTAAAAGTATATGCAAAGAAGAGGGGATCTAACAAAGAAGAAGAGAAAAAGGCTAAGGTTTCCTATTTCAGTACTGCTATGATAGTACTACGGCGTCATGAAAAAGATGGCGATAAGTGCGTGGATGCTGGTAATAGTGAGGTACGCCTACGGGTACAGCTGGTGGTGTGGGTACTTCTCGGATGATAATGTAAGTGCGTTTGGGTTCCGGAGATGGCATGGGTGCCTTTGTGATATAATGAAAGCAGCAAAACAGCACGGTTTGTGTGAGTGAGAGAGAGAAGACTTGCTGTTGGAAGATGTGATGTATATTGAAAAAAAGACAGATACATACCAAGAAGCAGACATCGAGATCCTTCTCGTCTACCAGGCCCCATCTGCTATCCTCTTCTTCGACCGCAAGTCGGTAGTTTTCGGCTACACCTGGAGGCAAGCCCCATGCCGAGGGATCTCTTAAAATGTCATAATCCTGCTCTTGTTGCTGTTGTTGGCTTTGCAAACAAATATCGCAAATGAAGCGTACGAGCTTTTGCATTCTGTAAGCGTATGATGTCTTGAAATGTGTAAAGTCGATAACCCGGCCACGGAAGAGTGGACGACGTCGCGAATGATGGGGCTGTTGCTGTTTTTCGTTAAAACTTGTTACCGCTGCCGGCGGTTGTGCTGGTGTTGTGTTCCAAAAGAGCTCAAAGCCAATGGTGGAGATGGTGTTCACGAACATTGAGGTAAGAGACCAACATCCTTTGGTTGATCGCTCGTCACGCGCTTCTTCTTGTCCTTGTTGGTTGGTTGCACCTCCTCTTTGTTCTTGTTCTTC